AGATGATAGATATATATATATATATATATATATATGTATTTATATATGTATAAGGTGTTTTCCTCTTCCTCCTCTGTTGTTGACCGAATGGAGGAGGGAAACTGTGTAGCTTTGTGCCCTTTCCTAAATTAATGCGTAGCGCACTTCCACAACAGAGAACACGTATATATAATGGAGGTCATATATACTTTGTTCTTCTCTCCATTCCAAGTAAAATCTTTTATCGTTTTTAGTGATTCCATCCCGCAACCCTCCCCCCCCCCCCTCATACGCACACAACGCATCCTCGTCGCCTTGGTCTCTTCGAACTGAGGAGAAGAAAGAAAGAAAGAAAAACCATTGCGAGCGTGCATTTACGTGCGTGGCTAAAATGGATGTCAGTGGGCTTTGTTTGTGTTTCCTGTCTGTTCTATGTTTACTCTTCATATATATTTTTTTGTTTCGTTTGAGGGCATTTTACGACTCATCAAAATAATTTTTAAAAGGACAAGCGGGCGTTTCGCCTTTCCCCTTTGCAATGGAGTTCCAGTTCATTGCGAGCCAACAGTATGCACAGCACACTTCGTTTTTTCTCTTCTTAATTTGTTTCGTGTTTGCACAAAATTTCGCAAAGTCTTCTAGCAAAGAAGGTTCTCCGCTTCTGCTTGTTTCCGTTATTATCTTTGTTTATTTGAGATTTTGTTTATCTGTGTGCGGCTACGCGAAAAAAGAGAAGGCGAAGTCTTTTATTATCATTAGTGAGGAAAGCAGATACGTCTGTGTTTCTACCCTGATGCGTAGTGCAGAAGGTGGATTTCCCCCTCTACATACTCCGGTACGTATCTGTGCGACGCCTTCACGCAAGGTGTGGGCGTGTGCAGGTGCGGCCTTCCGCTCTGTTTTTGTGTTTTGAAGCTCCGCGAACTAGCCATCTACATTCGCGTCAGCCAGTCGGCTTCAATTGTTTCTCTGCCGCTGTCCATCTTCAAAATTCACGTAGTACAGACTGTTGTGTTTGTGCTTCCAGATTTCCGTATTTACTCTCCTCTTTCCCTCTCCTTCTCTCTCCCTTCCTGTGCGGCTTCGTCTCCTTTGAAAGCAGTTGCCGCCACCTCCTGCCACCTGCTGTTGGTGTATTGCTCTTCTCTTCTGTTGTGCTCCTTGACGCGGTAAATCGACACGTTTGGCGTTGTTGCTGTGTTTTCCTTTTCCTGTTTTTTTTATTTTTCTGAGAGGCGTCTTTGTTGTGTGTGCGTGCTCACTGCTTCTACTCGATGACAGGGCGTATGCTGCTACACATGATCGCATAAAGCAACATTATATCTTGCACAAGCAAAACAAAGCCAAAAAACCTGATCCCGGCAGTTCTACTGTGTGTTATCGTCTCACATCATCATCATCATCATCATCATTATTATTATTATTATTATTTTGAACAAAAAGTTTTTCTTGTTGTTGTTGCTGACTGCACTCTACGCATACACCTCCACGCACGCGCGCCGCTTCTTCTCACCCAGCTACGGCGAACATCCTAATCCCACCTCGTTGTGGTGCTATGAGCGACGGCCGAGACTACCTACTGCGTGTCTGGCAGCTTGCGGAGGAGCTCGCCGTGCAGTCAGGCAAGCCTCTGCACGCTTTCCTTCTCCTTCACCACGTCCTGACGCAGCCACCTCCGCAGCTGCGCAGCGCCGGCGTGAGCACCAAGTCAGCCGCGGCGTCTTCTTCGTCCACCGCAGCCGCGTCAACACCCTTGCATGTTCCCTCGCTCGATGCAGAGTGGAAGTGTGAGGAGCTCGCCACTCGTGTGCGCGCGGCGGAGTATTTGCTGTTTCCCGATGTTGCTCGCCCGGTGGGAAGCTCACCGGCAGCGGAGGGGTTATCGGGCAATGCGGCGCTGCCTTTTGTGACCTCTGCTTCGCCGCCAGCCCACACGCTGAGCCGCGCTGCCGCCTTGGAGTCGCTGGAGCTGGCGGAGCAGGTTCTGGCGCCGGTGTTCGCGGCCTCCTCGCATACGGGCAGCTCTGTCGGCGACGGCCGCAGCAATGATCAAAATTCAATTCCTCAGGACATGTGGAATGTACACGCATCAGGGATGAAGAGGACACTGCTCGACACGGCGCTTAGTGAGGTGGCACAGACCACCATCGGTGGCAGTGGCAGTAGCCCTGCGTCTGCTCGCACCGTGTCTGCTGCAGCGCCGTCTCCGCATTCTCCTTCATTCTTTAAAAACGACTCTCACGGCGGCGTAGGTGTGGTAGAGACGCGTGCGGCGAGTATGTACTTCTTCAGCGAATCCACCGTGACGGCTCTCGCGTGGCCGCTCACGTATTTTACCTTGGCGTGGCCCTTCTCGATGACCTCGCCGTCCCCCACGGCGGCGGCGGCCCCTCTCTCCCTCTCTTTCAAGTCCGCGAACCAGACCATCATGATCGCCGTCGCCCTCGTCGTGCGTGCGCACCTCCTGCAGGCTGTTGTGTGTCACCGCCGGGTGCAGTACAGACGTGCCTTGCAGTGTCTTGCGGAGGCGCGTAAGTGGGTGCAGCAGCAATTCACGGAGTCGGCGCAGACCCGCTCGCTGCGGCTGCTGTGGGCGGACCTTCAAGAGCGATGGTGTTCGAGCGCGTCTTGTTCTGCCTCCCGCACTGAAACCGCGTCCGCCTCTCCTCTTCTGTCGTGCCCGCATCTCCCTCACTTCGATCGCCTCATGACGCGCCTCATGGAGCTGGAGAGGCGTGCGTGTGAGGCGATGATCAGCGTGGAGGAGTGCAAGGTGCACTTTCTGATTCTCCAGTCGTGTGGGTCCCTGCCACCCCCGCCGTTGCTGCTGCCGCTGTCGCCGTCCTACAGCGAGGGCTCCGCGGCTCTTCCCCCTCCTGCTGCTGGCATTGAGTCCTCCGCGCACGCGCCGGACCTGCGTCTGCACTACAAGCGCTATCACGAGAGTGTACTGCAGTTGCATGAGGTCTCGTGGGTGTACGTGCGCCTACTCCAGTGGGTCGAAGAGGACGAAATGGACGACGACAACGGGGACGAGCAGCAGGGTGTGCGAGTGAAAAGAGAAAACGGAGAACGTGACGCGCGCGCGGGTGCTTCCCTGCCGAGGGAGCATGCGAGACGGGTGCAGCGTCAGTTAAGCCCCTTCTGCTTGTGTGCGCTGCATCACGGCGGCTCTTATTCAGAGTTCCACGAGCAGCATGCTCACGTTGTAAGCGTGAAGGCGAAATCAGAAACAAATAAAGACCCTGTCTTGCGAGGGGAGCAACAACAGCGTGAGAGGCCAACCGGTTGGCTGAACTCCACCTACGTGGTCAACTACGATAAAAGACTGGCCGCAGAGGTGCTGGGCTTTTACCACTGCATGAGTTTCCTCTACGTTCTCTATCAACATGCCTCCACCGCGACCTCAGCCAGCAACAACCACAATGCCAGTCAACGGCTTCGTGTTGCTGAAAAGGAACAAGAAGAAGCAGAATTCTTTACTCGTTATGCGGGCGTGCTAGCTCACACGCCGCCCTTCACCGCACGCTCTCCTTCGACCTCCGCTGCGTCGCATAACGCGGTGCAACGCGCGCTGATGCACTGCCGCATCTACGCTTTCGTCTTCGGTGCCTTCTCGCCTTGTGGCGATGACGCCGACGGCGATTCCACAGCAGCGGCAGGGCGATGGCGCTCCCACCTTGCCGGCGCAGGCTCCTCCTCGTCTTCTGCGCCGACGGCGGTGCACGAGGCGGGGCTTCTCTTGTGTCTCGCCGAGTTGGCGCTGAAGGACGACTTCCCCTTCGCCTTGCAGTTCTGCAGCGCGTTCAAAGAGGGTGCCGTTTCCTCGGCTCGGACAGCGGTCGAGGAGAACCGCCCAAGCGATGCGGCGGTTTCTTCGGCAGTAAAAAAAGAAGCGGATGAAGAGGTCGAGGGGGGTCGGCGTCCACCAGCGCAGCCGCAGTCGCAGCAGGCGCGCTCCTCGCTGCTCGCTCCACCCTCTTGGAACTGGGTCGTACCCGGACTTCGGACCATCCTTCAACTGTACGTAGCGCTGATGACGGTGCCGCTGCAGGCGGCAGCAACCATGCCAGCCAGCACACCTCCGCTCTCCCCCGCAGTGTCTGCCATGCGTCTCGCCGCCGTACCCGCCCCTACAGCAGCGGCGGCGGCGGGAACCACGCCACCGGTGCCGATCCTGCAGGCGGGGCTCCAACGTGCAGAGCAGCTGCTCGCGCGGCTTCTCTTCACCTTAGATCGGGAGATGCTCCACCTGACGGGCAACGCGTGGACTCTGGCGGCAGCCCCAGCGGCAGGAAGTGCGACAACACGATTCGGTGTACTGTCGCTCCAACCGCAGCACCGGCAGTCCAATCAAAGCGGTGCTTCACATCGCAGTGGTGATGGTTCTTCTTCCGTCTCTCCTCGGTCCTTCTCACCGTGGATGTGCGCCGATCACCTCCAAAGCTCCCCTCCGGCGCAGCTTCGCTGGTTGGTGCAAATAAAAGCGGCAGCCTTGCTGACAATGGCGCGACATCACCTGACGCAACTCTCCATTGTCCGTGCCGTGCATCATTTGCGCGAGGTACAGCAGTTCGCACGAGTCTTTCATCGTCAAGCGAAGCTATCCTTGCTGCCGGAGATGCACGTGTTGCTTGCCGCGGTGGCCACCTGCATGTCCCTTCGCAGGCTGCCGGATCTCAGCATCTTCCAGAAGCCGCAGCTGCACGGCCATCGACGTGGCTTGAAGCGCAGTCGTGCAAGTGAAGCAACGCTCAGCGAAGGTGAAGAGGGAGAAGGTCACCCAGACGCGGAGATCGACGAAGATGGCAGCGGTGAAGGCACACCCAGCACGCATCCCGCTGACGCCGGTGATGCCGGCTTTGTGGGGGAGGTCCTCTATGCGTTTGCCCAAGGCTGGCCTTCGGCGGACAGCGCACCTCCTTCGTCCGCTGCCTTCTCAATTCCTCCGCGAGAGGAGGCGACCATCGCGCAAGATGTCGGACTGCCGTACCTGCATCTCCTCGCCGCCGAGCGCGCTGCCTGCACCTCCCTATACACCCCGCCCTCCCTCCTGCTACTGCTGTACCTGATGAAGGCGTGGGTGGTCTACCAGCTGGTGGCCACGGGCGAAGAGGTGACGTGGGCCGCGCCGGAGAGGGATGCAGCAGCGGCGGCGGCGGAAGTAGAGAGACAGGGCACAGACGAAATCCGGCAACGGCAGCAGCAGCAACAGAGCAGCGCCGCGGTTGCCTTGTCGCCCCTGTCGCCCGCCTGCCCTCCCCTACCGCTGCCCACCGCCTCCTACGCGACGACGAGCCTCAACACCACCGTCGAGGATCAGCAGCGCCGTATTGCGCGACTCGACAGCCTCACCTCGACACCGACCAGCACACCGACACTGCGCGGGCGACACGCGACGTTGCCCGCGGAGATGCAGCGCATTCAGCTGGAGCAGCTCGCCCTCCCACCTCCCGTCATTTCACCTGTGAAACCGGTAGACTCAGTAGCAGGAGCACAAGATAGCGTCGGACATGTGCAGACCTCTGCTTTTTCTTCCCTCGCAGGTGGGGAGGAAGTCGCGACGAGCAGCGTCGCCGCAGGAGAGTCCGTCGCTGTAGGCCCTCCCCCTTCTCCCTCCGCTTCGCTCTCTTCGCCTGTTCTCCCAGCAGCCCTGCACGAACCGAAGAACGCACCGACTGATGCCGTTGCTGCCCCCACGACTCTCTCCCCACCGGAGCCTCCCCTCCCGCCGCCACCTTCCTCGTCTTTCTTTTCTTCTGCCCATCGCACACCGCGCAGCTCACCCAAGGTTTCATCAATTCCAGTGGCGCAGACAACTTCGGTGGCGCTGACGGTTCGCCACCGCGCCGGCGACGTGTTGCAGCGCATGATGGCGGTACTCCAGCACCACTACGAAGCCTACGCACTGTACACGACGTCATCCGCCACACAAGTTGGGCTCTCTTCCGCTTCTCGTCCCGTTGGAGCGGTGCCCTCCACGGCCTGGACGCCGCAGAACGTCACACTCCTTCGCCTCTTGCGCGGTGCGGTGCTGCTGACGGAGGACCGCGACGAGCCCGCAGCCGTGCGAGAGCTGAAAGAGACGACGCACTACGCGAAGCAGCACCTGGGTGTGCTCCACCCCTACGTAGCGGACGGTCTGGCGTTGCTCACGAACGCGTACGCGTCTTTGGACGTGGACACCGGCTCCAGTGGAGGAAACTCCTTGGCGAGCGGTACGGGCGAGGGAACTTCGCCTTCGTCATTGCCGCAGGACAGCGCTACGCGTACACGTCGCGTCGCCGTGCAATTGGCGATGCGGTGCAGCTGCACAGCTCTTGCCTCTCTAGCACTGTCTGGCAACACATCGAGTCCCTCTCCTTTCACAAAGCCGCCAACAGGAACCACAAGTCGTGGTAGTGGTGTTGGTGATGGGGAGGGGAGCGCGGCAGCAGCGACGGTGGATGCTTTGGACAGCCGTGACAGCGATAACCACATGGGGGGCGCCTCTGCCCTACCGCCGCCGCAGCAGCAGCAGCAGCAGCTCACCGTGCTGCACAGCCGCCTGCGTGAGTGGTGGAGCACACAAGTACTGGAGGAGTTGTGCGGTAATGGCAGCGTGCACCGTAGCATGCGTGCGGTGAAGCAGCTGCGGATTTTGCTTCATTGGCTGCCTGAAACGGCTGAAAAACGGTTGTGACCAGGAAGAAAAGAAAGAAGAAAAGAGGAGTTACCCGAGAGCAACGATGGCGTCTACCCTCCCTTCGTTGTTGTTGTTGTCGTTTTAGGAAAGCGCAGCGGACCATGAATCCCTGTTGGTCGCTCTCTCGCTCTCTCCCCTCCCCACCTGTCAACCGCCACCTCTCGCCGTGTCACGCGTCTCCAACGAAAGAGCAAAACGGACTTTGAACCTCCACGCCGTCTGCGAGCGTGGACGTACACTCCCTTTTTTTTTCTACTGTTATATGTGTGTGGGTGGGTGAGTGTGGAGACCTCACAGCCCCCGATGGCGAAGACGAATTGCTGAGAATCGAATGAGGGAAGCGTTTCTTGTTGTAGTTGTTGTTCTCCCGTAAAACATCTCACGGCTTTGTCTTGTCCTCTTTTCTTTGTCCCACTACCGTCCATCATCACCACCATATATACCTGGTGTTCTTGGTTATTCTACTTCAGCCGACCCTTTCCTCAACCTCACGCGTAAAAGCTCCTCGCCGCTTCCCATTAATCTGTTTCGCCAGCGTACCGTGCTTCCTTTCTAAAGTACGAGTGTGTGAGTGTTTCACGTCAAAAAATATTGCTTCACCTTCAAAAAAAGAATAAGATAACGTATTAAACATGTTCGAGAGCAATTTGCTGTCGCAGATCAACATCGCCTCGCCGCTGCCGACGGCGATCGAGGTGCAGCTCACCACCAGCATCAACGCCTCACTTTACAAGGCCTTCCAATTCGGTCACACCCTCCTCGCGGAGAAGAGCGACTGGGCGCTCAGCTTGCTGCCGTGGAACGATGAGATTTACATGGGCGTCTCCGCCGTGCTGGAGCGCCTCCTCCTCGAGCACGCGGACACCACCTTTACAGAAATGATCTTTGCGCTACGCCGCGCAGAGCTCGACGGTCCCCTCGCCGCCGCCCCCTCACTGGCTTCATCTTCCGGGAACGGCAACGGCGTTGCACCCGGCGCACGGGGGCGCTACCTGCGATGGCTCCTGCTCGGCCCGCCGCCGGTACCGACCCCCGAGGAGCGGGCGATGAACTTCGTGAACAACGGCGCGTCCTCGCAGCTGCGCGTGAGTGCGGAGGCGGCGCTGCCCCCGTCTCCTCTTCCCCCCTCCTCCACCGCGCCGATTCTGCCGGACGCGACGACACCGGCGCAGCTCATTGACGCCGTAATGACAGACGCCAAAGCAGGTTTTGCCGGCGACGCCGACGCTGCCGCGCTGGCCCAGCTGAACTCCGCAGAGCTGCTGAAGGCGGAGCACGCCCCCTACGGCTACCTCCGCTTCAAGCCGCTGAGCCGGAGTAACAAGATCGCCTCTCTCTTCCTCTTGACGGTGATGCCGTACATGGAGCGCAAGGCGGAGCAGTGGTACGCGCGTAACACCGACTCCTCCGTCGACGCCATTGCCATGCGCGACGCCTACGCCTATCGCTACCCGCATCGTGCCGCGCTGCTGCGCTTCTTGGCCCGCTACGTCTACCCTGTGTATCACGTCATGAAGCACGGCTCGCGCTTTGCGTACCTGGTCTTCTACCTCCTCGAGATGACGCCCTTCACGTCTCCGCTGCACCGCATTTTTGGCATTGCGCTGCGCCGCTCAACCAACGAGGACGCCCTCAACACCAGCCCGCGTGCACGCCGAGCGCTGCTCATCGCGCGGGTGGTGCTCATTTTAATCTTCTGCAGCTTCCGCCTGCTCGACTTCACCCGCAACGCGGAGACGGCCGGTACGGTGGGAGCGATGGGCGACACCGCGCTGCCGATTCCGCCGCCGCCGCTGCTCGGGGCGGATGTACCGCTGCCGGAGGACCGAAGCGGGCTGCCCAAGGCCGGCGAGTGCCCCGTCTGCCACAAGCGGGTGACGAATGCAGCGGTGTGCCTCGTGAGCGGCATCGTGGGCTGCTACCCGTGTCTGCAGGGCTACGTGCGGGAGCACCAGGCGTGCCCGGTGACGCAGCAGTCGATGAGTGTCGAGCAGATTCGCCGCATCTTTGAGTGTTAGTACTGGGGAATAAAGGGAGGAAGGGGAGGGAGGAAACAGAATACACGATTTCAACGGACGTCATCACCCTTTTGGGGGGTGTATCTTTCTATTTAACTTTTGTAGCTCTTTGATGGATCGACTACATGTAGTTTTTTTTCTCTTTTGGGGAGGAGGGGTTGTTTGGAGGAAGAAAAGTTTGCTTGATGTCGCTGAGGCATGGTACGTGGAAGGTGGTGTGTGGAGGAAGAGAAGAGAAACGATGCTGAGTAGTTGGTAAACGGAAAGTGTGAGATTATATCGGTGGTCGGTTGTATGGGTGTATGTGTGTCTGGAGAGAGAGAGAGAGCCTCATCCTGCTTCTGGGTCCGGATATCGTTCATATCATGAAGGGGAAGCGGAAATCTCGTTCTTTCTGAAGACGTCCTTTTTAACAGGGTGCGAAGGTGTTTGAGACTGCGGCGGTTTTGATTTTCTTTTCTGTTGGGTAACGATGCTTCGCGGCGGTGCTTTTCAGGTGGTCCTCCTTACATATAAGCCGGCGGTCCATGAAGAGGCCCAACACAACAGCAACCAAAGATAGAAAAATCATCATAAGAGTGTCATTAAGCTCTTTTACTTTTTGTACCTGGGTGGCCCCTCCCCCCCCCCCCCGGGATGTTTGTTTGCAGTTCCTTTGCATTGTGTTCGAGAGAAGTTGAAGTGTAAGTTGCCAAGTCGCAAGTCTATTCGTGAATTCTTTAGCACGTACGCACGTGGAGCGCAGTGCGTTCATCTGTTTTTTCCTATTTCGGTTTAACCCCATTCTCACTCACAACCCTCTTTATATTGATGTGATCCTATTATTCTTATTGTGTGTGTGTGTGTGCATGTGTGTGTGAAACACCGGGCAATCATGTTTTCTCTGTCGTTGTGTGTTCGCGAACTCCAGTGTACGAGAAGATACTTGATGCTCTCTCCGGCTGTTCGTGAAAGTGGATAGTTTCAGTATTATAAGCACAATAAACTGCTGAGTGTGCGTGTGGGTGCCAGAGTTGGCTTGCATTTTCACTATCTAAGATCTTCTTTTTCAAAAGAGAATGGGTGGCATTAAAGGTGGTGTGGGTAGCTTCCTGCTGCGTCGAACGGCAGCCAAGAGCATCCGACAAAAACACCTAACCGGTCCGCAGTTCAACAAGCGTAAAACCTTTATTTTCCCCAAGGGTTATCATCAGCTGCACCGCCGTGTTGCTCCAGCGCTGCAGACGGGCTCGCCGACGCACCAACGCGAGCACCAGCGCTACGCCCATCTGCCAGGAGACGCCCGCACGCGGCCGAGCGAGGACTTCACATTCAGGTCAGCAAACGAAGGCGGCCGCGCTCGCGCTGACAAAGCGATGTACGCCTGGGCAAGGCGGGGATCTCTGCAGCTGTACCAGATGGGCGGTAAGCGCGAAACGTTCGTGTGCTACCGCTGCGGCTACCCGATTCGAAGCGCGCTCGTCGCCATCAAAGACGACAACTGGGACTACCGTATGTGCTACTCGTGCTACACGCAAACCGTGACATCCGGTATGGAGCGAAACACGTAAACTCGACCGTTGTGGATGTTCTCTGCCGAATTCTGAAGCGCAAGGCTGACGCAAAGCAGATTCATCTGCTTTCCTTTGTTTGTTTGTTTGTTTGTTCTCCGATCATGTTACTATTATTCGTAAATATATTGCTGGTGTTGGTGTTTATTGCCTGTTTGCGCGCGACTTTGCTCGCATCATCACATATTTGCTGTCTTGGACAACGTGAATGCCGTGCTACGGCACAATAATTCTTACAAGAACCCTTTCGCTGTTCTAATCAGCGAAAAGAGGACGTCGAAGGAGGGTTTCTTTCTTTGCTTAATCAACGCCTCCATGTGTGTGTGCGTGTGTGTTTCAGCGGTCCATCAAGCCTCCATTCCAATTTGGCGGCTGCGTTGCCCCCCTTCCCCTCTCCTTCTCCAGAAGTATGGCAGCACTGTCTGCATGTGTTTTACGTCATTATCGATTCGCTCCCTTGTCTTCCCTCCTCCACCGCGGTTATTGTCTCCGTAAAACATCTCAAAACTAAAAAAAAAACTGATGAGAAGCTCAGCAGCGGCTTTGTGATTTTCCCTCTCTACCTCTCTGTCTCTGTCATCATGGCAGATGAGAACGTCCCGCCCGGCATTACGGAAAAGCAAGATGAGATCATCCAGTACGTGGCGAAATACGTGGTGAACTCGTGTGACGGTGCCCGCTACCAAGAGAAGATACGCACGCGTACCAAGTACAACTCGTACTTCGCGTTTCTCGATGCGAAGCACCCTTACCACCACTACTACCAATACCTGCTAGACTCCTACCGCTACTACCTTCTTAACAGCGCGGCGGTGAACGCTGGCGGTTGGGGAGACGGTGGCGAGGCCGCACCGCAGCAGCAGCAACAACAATTCACAGAAGAGGAGTACTATCAATACTACGGCGCCTACCAAGGCCAGACCGGCGGGATTGGGTTCCAGACCGGGGAAGAGGAGGTGGCAAGCGGCTCCTATTCGACCTCGAACGCGCAGGAGACCTCGTTGCGTCCGCCACGGCAGGACGACGTGTCGGCCGCTCCCAACAGCGGCTACGCTACGGCGAGTGCGACTGGTGGTGCCTCGGCCGTTGGCAACGCCGCGTCTGCTGTGGGAGGTCAAGGCGAGGCGAACGCGACGGGGGCTGCGCCGGTCAGCACTGGTGAGGCGGGCGCCGAGGAAGACGAAGAAGAGTACGAGTTGGTGATGGAGAACGGGGAGTGGGTGTCGCGCAAGAGAAGCTGAGCATGGTTCATCGTGTTCACCATGGCGCACAAGGGTGTGATGATGGCGTCGTCTTTTCTCTTCTTGAGGGGGGCGGGTGCTGATCGAAGTGGCTTTTTGATCCTCAAGAACAAAGAAGAAGGTCAGTGGTGACTTCCGTTAAAAGAAAAGAAAAGAAAAAAGAAGTAAAAGAATAAACTGAAGTGTTGAAGCCCGTCTCTACGGTTTAACGCCTCAAGAGAAGAAAACCACAAAGAACAGTGAGAAAACAGTGAATCCAACGCGTCAAAATGGCACATGTCGGAGTGGGTTTTTTGGTGTTGTTGTAATGCAGCACGTGATCGTTTTCCGACGATTTCATCTAGAGGAAGAGAGAGAGAGAAAAAAAATTGTAAGACTGTCTTGTCTGCCCTCATCTGTCTATTGCCTTTTCAAGTTTCATTGCTGTTCATTTTGGTCTTCAGCCGTGCGTCCATCCTATGTGGCATATATATGGTCGCACGTCGAGAGTGGGTTAGCTGCCGCCTAGCGTTTCTGATTCCCATTTCAGCCGCTGCTGTTTTCTTCCTCTCTCCTCTCTCTCTCTCGCACGTTGCCTTTTCGGCTTTCTTTTGTTATTGCCGTCGTGATGGATCAACACCGGTTTCCGTCCAGAGCGCGTACATGTGTATCTCAGGTGCGCTTTTGTATCTATAGAGTCTCCAGAGCAAAAAGAAAAAAATGGGTTGCTGCCCTTCGGTTTCTCAGTCCGATGTCGGCATCATCGAGACATGCGGTAAGTTTTCCCGCACCGCGGAGCCGGGCATCCACTGCCTCTGCTGCGGCTCCACTCTAGTGCAAACCGTGACGTTGCGCCTGCAGGAGTACACGTTAAAAGTGGAGTCGAAAACGAAGGACAACGTCTTCGTGAACGTGTCGCTCATGATCCAGTACCAGGTGGCACCCGACAAGGTTGAAGCGGCCTATTACACGTGCGAGTCCTCTGTGATGTGCATGCGCGACTATGTGTTGAACTCCATTCGCGCAAAGGTGCCGCTGTACAAGCTTGAAGCCCTCTATGTGGAGCGCGGTACCATCTCCCAACAGTTGAAGGACGAGGTCGGCGCGGTCATCAACACCTACGGCATCGAAATTGTTTCTGCGCTCATCTCCGACATCGACCCAGGAGCCGACATCACAACTGCCATGAACGATGTGCAGAAATACCAGCGTCTCCGTGTAGCCTCCGAGGACGCGGCGGAGACGGAGAAGCTGAAGCGGGTGCGCGCTGCTGAGGCGCGCTGCGAGGCTCGCCGCCTCTCTGGTGAGGGTTTGGCCGAACAGCGCAAGGCCATCGTGGCGGGCCTCATGCAGTCGATCGAGGATGTGCAGAGCGAGGTGCGCGACTTGACCTCTGACGACGCGACAAACATGCTCCTCATGAACCAGTACTACGACACGCTGCAGGCGATTGCAGCGAACAGCAAGTCCAGCGTGATAATGGTGGAGTCGAATGGGGGACTGGAGAAGGTGGCTGCGCAGCTTCGCCAAGGTGTAACACAGATGATGAGGTAAGACAGCTTGACGTGTTGGGCATTTTCCTTTCTTTCCTCGCACGTTTTTCTTCCTCCTGGAAGCCCTCGCCACCTCGCACAGCGACGGTCCTTTGCTGAGAAAATGCAAGACAAAAGCTGTTAGGTGTTTTTCCCTTTTTCTGCTCTATTTTTATTTCTGCCACTTCTTTGCGCCTGCAACTTCAACCTATCGAGCTTTTTCCTACTTACATAGCTATAGCTATATCTATATCTATATCTATTTATGTTTATTCGCTGATGGAAACAAAAAATGCGTTTTCCATAACGCCCTATTTTTGTGCTTGTTTGCTGAGTTGTGCTTCCTTGAACGTCTTACCCCACCACGCCTGTCTGTGAAGGCGAATTTTTTACTGCCTCAGTATTGTACCGTGTTTTTTTCCTTTCCTATCGCCGACGGAAGTCAAATTCTCTCTTTTCAATACTTCACTTCCTTCGTTTAGCGTTGGTTTTATACGTGCGTTCTTTTTTTGTTTTAGCGGAGAAGCCCATGTGATGCATTCTCTCAGCGCGCACCTATCTTCTAACACTACCGCTAGCGATTTGCAGGAGTTGCTGTGGTCGTCGTCCGTGCTTCCCTTTGCGTCCACGCTCCACCCCTGTGGCCGGGATGCAGCAAATCTCTCTCTTCTTCTTTCAAATGCGAAAAAAAAATGAGCGTTATTATGACTACTGTATGCATGCATGTACGTATAGGTATATGAACGGGTCGCATGATGTCCTCGTTGTTGCTGTGTGCTTTTCCGTGGATGCGAATGTGTCCCCTACTGGACTCTCTCTCTCTGTCCTTCTTCTTTATTATTTCCTTTTCTCCCTTACTCATGCGCTCTTCGATGCGACGCATTTGTTTGTGTTTGTGTGATAGAAACAGTCGAAACGGTTGTCGTTTCATAAACACTTCTTTGACGTCCCTGTGCTTAGAAAAACAAAAACACAGGGAGGCTTATATCGTTATACGTTTTACGCACTGCTCAGTCCTTTGAAGGGGAGAGAAGAAATAAAAGAATTCCCTGCTCGTATTTTACTAGTATTATTATTGGCGTTATCGCTCTAGCAACAGCACGACTTACGCTACAGGTTTTTTGGTTTTTTCCTGCCTCACTTCACACAAACACACACGCTTTCAATGGGCTGTAATTGCTGCACCTGCGTCTCCACCTCGCAGGTGGGCGTGGTGGAGAACTGTGGCAAGTTCGATAGACTGATATCGCCGGGCTGCAGCTGCATTATCCCGTGCGTGGAGTCCGTGCGGGGGAAGGTCTCGCTGCGTGTCGCCATCGCCTACGTCAAGGTCGAAACGAAGACTCGCGACAACGCCGTGGTGACGATCGAAACGTGTCTTCATTACAAGGTGGTTCCTGAATTTGTCAAGGACGCCTTCTACCGCTTCTCGAACCCGTCGGAGCAGATCGCGAGCTTTGCCTCTAGCATCGTGCGTGGCGAGGTGCCCAAGTACACCCTGGATGAGCTCTTCCTCATGTCGGACGACATCAAAAAGGTCGTCAGTGCCGAGCTGACGGAGAAGCTGCAGTCCTTCGGCTTCTCCTTGGAGAGCACGCTGCTCACTCGCATTGAGCCGAGTAAGAGCGTGAAGCTCGCGATCTCGCAGACCCAGATTAACGCCTATCGCCGCACTGCCGCCGAGCACGAGTCGGAGCTCAACAAGATCCTCGCCGTGAAGGCGGCGGAGGCCGACTTTGAAGAGAAGCGTCTGTCCGGTATGGGCCTGGCGGAGGAGCGCAAGGCAATCATGAAGGGACTCAAGACGAGCATTGAGAGCTTTGTGAACACCGTGCCCAACATGAGTGCAAAGGACGTCATGAATCTGCTACTGCTGAACCAGTACTTTGATGCGATGAAGGAGGTCGGCTCCGGCCGCGCAAATCGCCTGATTGTGATGCCCAACTCGAATGGCGCGACTGGGGCAAATTACTTAGCCGATTTAGTTGCTGGGCAGGCAACAAGCACAATGATGGAGTAGCAGGAACGCACCGCTTCGTCTTTTTGTGGGTTTTCATCTTGGGCTTTCGGAGTTATCGATGCCCCAAAAGCACGTACTCTTCTTCGATTCGACTTTCTATTCCGTTGCTGTTTCATTTCTTCTCCTCGGTACTATCGTCTGCTGAATACTTGAGATATTGTCTTGTGTGTTTGTTTTCTTTCTTTGCTTCTTCTTTCTTTGACTCACTGGGATGAGATCGAAGTGCACCCTTCCGTTGGTGCTTCGCTGCACTACGCTTCATGGCTCCAGAGCTCTCTTTTGTCTTTGTCATTTGGCTGAGTCTGCGCATTCACAGATATTCGCCGTTGCACCGTCGTATCGTCTTTCTTTCTTCCTTGTTTACATGGGCGGTTTTGTTTGTCTTAGTACTCTAATTACCTTATATATCTATATTTCGACTATCCTGCAAACTGCACTGCTCGGTTCGCACACACGCAATGAAAGAAAGGGTTGAACATGTGCATCAGCGTAGCGCGTGGCTTTTGCCCCTCCGACGTCTGCGACGCAGATTTCTTCGTCTCCGTGAGAGGGAGGGAGGTGGGAGGGAGGGAAGGGGGTGGACACCGCCGGCGGCCGTCAACTCTCCTTCTAACGCCACTTCATCCTATTCGCAATCGGTGTCTCGCGTGCCTGGTGCTCTACCTCCTCGCCGATCTATGCGAAACGAAGAACACAAAGGAGGATGGGACGTGGAAAGAGGGGGAGAAGGCCTTCGTGCATGCTCGTACTAGCACGGCTATTTTCATTTTCACGGATTTTCTCTGCTGGTGTGTGATGGCTGCTGCCTTCGTGTGTTTCAACTATTCCCTCTTAGATTTCCTTACTGTTCTTGTGTTTTTCTAACTGCCTCTCTTTTTTTTTCTCTCTCAACACCAACCAACCTGCTGTGGATTGATTGAGAAGGCTCATCCTTTGACTCGTACACACACGCACACGTATAGATAAATAGATAGATCTAGAAGAAAAACCTATTGTGGTTTTGCTAACATAGAAGCACACTTGTATAGACGTCCCAATCGATGCATAAACGTGCACCGGAGAAGGCAGAACGCGGACAGTCACTTTCTGCGCATTGAAATAAGTATATATTTATAAGATTCGCGTTGTATGGGATCGAATTTAGGTCGGTTTGCCACTCTTGCTTCGAGCGCTTCTACACGGAAGAGAGTCCGCTTCCCCTTCTTTTTTCTCTTGAGGGTGAGTCATTAGTGTCATCTCAGTCCCGCAATGAGTGACCCTGTCTCGGGCGAGCTCCCGCTGCACCCACACGCCTCGGATGCATCGACGTTCTCCTACGGCGATTACTGGAAATCGCTCGCGACGCTCCCCCCTTCCTCTGCCACGGCGCATCAACCGTCCCCGCTCTCACTCGCACCCTCATCCACATCATCGCCGACATCGTCAGCCGTGCACATCGATGCCCAGGAAACGAGCTCGGCAGAGGTGAGCGCCGGCACTGCAACGCCGACACGCGTTATTCACGCCGCCACCAGCGCCTATCGACTCCGGCTTTCTCTTTCCCCAAACCGAAAGCCGCCAGTCTCCACGCCGCTTTCGCAGCGGCGCCAAAACACACAGCGGCCCAAGTGGGAGGGGAAAGCTTCGACAAGAGAAGGGGTGCCTCGAGCGGCGACGCACCTCTCCCGTCGCAGCACACAGAAGGAAAATACGTACTGTCATGACACTGTCGCAGAGGCGGACACGGTCTCCCCGCATCGGGATCGCTGCTCTTCACCTGACTCGGTTAGCTCTTTTGAATGGAGTAGCAGCGACAAGGAAGTGCGTTGCACGCACAGTGCAGCTTCTGATGCGACGCGCCAGCAGCAGCTGCCCGCAGGTGCCACAGCCGGCGTGCTGCCTCGTTCCACCACTGCGAGAGACTCCTATGTTTTGGATGCGCAGGTCCTCCAGGCCGTGCGGTGTTACGAGGAGTGGCGTCGTTGTCTCGGCGCAGCGGACGGGCGCGACAACGCAAGCCGCACGTTGGATGCGACGGAGAGTTTCTCGAACGCGGATCGCAGCGACGGTGTCACTTCTCGGCTGACAGAAAGACTCGACCCGGTGGAGGAAGACGAAGGAAGACGGGCCAGAGCGTCACAGGAGCAGATACGTACAAAGGCAGTAGAACAGAAGTCTCCTGTTGCGTCAAAGCGCGGCGCCAGCGGTGAAGTGGCGGTTGAGCTGTCCGCCTTGCCAGTGGAAGCCCTTTCCCGTGCCTCTGCACACGATGTCCGTGTCGAAACGACGACGCAAGCTGCACTGCCTGAGCAGCGCCGCCACCGCCGCAGCCTTTCTCTTTTGATCGCGATGGACAGTCAGCGGGCATGTTCCTTCGCCTCCCCCGCGAGTTCGTCGGACGCTGCAAGGGACGGGACAGACAAAAGTTCCAGAGGACAGCGCAACGAGACGCACGGGCTGACCAACGTGCAAACCGAAAGGAGAGGAGGAGGGGACAGCTCTTCTCCCCCTCCCTTTCCCGCAGCAACCACTGCTGGGTCGCCATCGCCGTCAGTGTGGTGGCGGTGGGACGCATCCGTGCTCTCCTCCTCTGCCGCCTCTCCGCTGGCACCGCAGCCGGACGACTCGCTACCGCACGTATCTTGTCTCTTGGACGAGGTCCATGACAGGGCCGAGGTGGCCGAACATTTGCGACTGCGTGCGCGGCCACCACCGATGGCGGACGAAACCAGCGAAGACGCTCGTACCCCTCCGCCGCCCAGTTCGGTTCAGCGGAGACTCTTCGCCGAGGGAGATGAGGAGGAAGACGAGACGGAGGCCGGCCGTGAAAGGAGCCGCGTGAACGCAGCGGGAGAAACACGCAATACGACTGCCACCTGCTCCTTCAACGAGGATGCGGCAAACGGGGCAGATGTTTGCCGGCTACCCCGCTTCGATCCGCCACTCGTAGAAACAGTTGTTGAGCTCAGCTGCAGCAGTAGCAGTCGTAGCGACTCATGCGGCGGCACCGCAGCCGATAGCGACGGGATTGGCGTTGCCATTGCGCCAGAGGACTGCACGGAGTCGCTGTTGCAGGAGGAAGAGACGCTGCTGCGGCAGTCACCGATATCGGCTGCATTACACAACACGGTCCGGAGCACTTTGTCCAGCTTGGCTGGGCAACCCGATGGCCCTCCACAAAACGGGTGGGATCGACAGCCATCGCAACACAGAGCTGTAGAGGTAAGTCGCACGGCGCAGGAGCAGCTCTGCGAGCACCCTCTTTACCTGAAACACCGCGCGGCCGTCTCCGCACTCTACTCCGCACGACTGCTGGAAAGTGAGAAGCAGAATGAAGAACTGCAGCTGTTTCTCTGCTGGGCGCAGGAGAAGGCAGAAAGGCGCGGGTGTCGGCGGCGGTCCGCGCAGACACACGCATCACAAAAGATGGACGCGCCACCCGGACGGCCGCGCGCTACACCTGCTGACGAGGCACCTTTGCTGCCTGCAAACTCCTCAGTCGCTGCTACCACCGAGGTGCCTTCGAGCACTGCCTTCACGACCAGTGCGACGGTGCGGCAGATCTGGCGGAACGCATATACACGCTGTCTAGGGCCACGCTTTCCATGCGGGCCTTCCACCAGCAGCACATGCGACTCCTCAGGGAGCAACGCAACCGAGTTGCCGGCACCTCGGGGATCTCCTTACGCGACGCCACCGTGCGTCCCCGCCGTCTACGTCGCCCCGCCCACTCCTTCGAATTCGACCGCGCCTGCTGTGTCAGCGCTACCCAACGATGATGCGCAGTGGCTTACGCCGTCCTCTGCAAACGCGCGGTTTATAGCGTGGATTTCAAACGATGTGGATGTCTACGAAGACCTTCTCCAATGACAAGAATGCATGGAAAGCACACCTTCTTTTTGCTCCTTTCGATAGATCTTTTTTTTCGTTGCTGCACCTCGTGCTCTCTCTCTCTCTCTCTCTGTGTGTGTGCCTTGCATCCCTTCGTGTGTACGCCAACAACAAACGAAGCAGCATCTCTATGTTTCATAACAAGAACAATACGCGGATCGCAGCGACTATTCCAGTGTCCACACGCATGCTCTTTCGTGTATTCTCGACTGCCGCCGTTCACGTGAAACTCTGAGGTGAGAAATGAACTCAAGATAATAATAATAGCTGATACCGTAGCATGCTGCTCCAGGACAAGTTAGGCTCTCAGTCACCGCTTCCTTTTTCCACTTTTCTTTCTTGGGTGTTTCTGTTCTTTCCCTCTCCCTCCCCCGTTTGTCTCTCTCTCTCTCCGTATCTCTTCTCTCTTGTGTTGTTGCTTGTTTTCAATACGCACTTCTTCTGGCACCCCAACCACGAATCGCGGGCGCTTGCGAAGTACACGCAGAGTGAAGCGATCGACGTCTTCACGTATCAAGCGTACTCCTTCCCTTGTGCTTGTTTTTACTATTCTTCTTCTTTTCTTTCCTTCTCACATCCCTTTAGTAGCCCATCACATTATCGTGCTGTCTTCTCCCTTTCAACCGCTACGGCCACGATCCCCGCCCGCCATGTTCGGTCGTCGCGTCTTCGCCAGCGCACCGCTGCCGCGGCACATGTGGGCCAAACTGCACATCCAAAACGCCGCCCAGGCGCGGCGGATGCTGCCCTCACTGGCCCCGCTCGCCGCTCTCGAAGGGAGGCAGAACGTTTTTTGCTCCGGACTGGCCTTCAACTCTCTCGGACGCAGTAGTGCCGCTCTCGGGGGGGAGGAGGGTCTCGCCAGCCAGGATGGGAAGCTGGTGTCGGCGGAGGTGGCGGCCGCCTGCACGGAGTGGTGCGCACAGGCCCTTCGCTCCGCCATGATGCCGATGCAACACATAGCGAGGGGATCTTCGTGCTCGGCGTGCCCGCAGACGCTAAGAAAAATACTACGGTGCGGAAACTGATCGCTGCGGTGGATGAGGCGCAACCGAGCGACACAGCAGAAGTTCGGTTTTGAAAGTACACTTTCACCGCTCTTCTTCCTTTGTTTCTTCCGGTGCGACGCTCCTAAAGCCGGGCGTTGCGCAGCTGACCTTTGAGTTTTCTTTTCCTCTCATCACACAATTCTCTCTTTTTTTGGTGTTTACCGCGTTGTTTAATAAAGGGAAGGAAGTTAAAACTAACGGCCGCATGAAGCACAAAAAAATCGTCGAAACACGGAGAGACGCTCTCAGCTGTTAACGCTATTATTATTATTACTGTTACTGGGAACGAATGCGGAGCAAATGTGGTTTCTAAGCGCTCGGTTCTGTAGCAGAGGTCTCCCCATTGAGCATTTTTTTGTTGTTGGCTTTGGTGTTTTCTTGAGTGTGGCGTTGCTTCTCTACTCCGAATGCGGTTCAACGATGAGCATCGTGTCGAAGTCATTCTTGTTGCCGGTGGGGGACACGATTTCCTTGTGTTTACGTGTGCATAATGAATCGTTTGCAACTATACGTCGAATGATTCTCTTTCCTGGTTGTTTCGACTGGCCTCTGTGTGCCGCCTCCTTCGTGTTCACCGTTGTTGATTAGATGAAGTACGCGTGGTTTTCTCTTTTGTACTTGCGACTACTTCACCGCCTTTTTTTTTGACAGACGTGTCAGTTCAGCGGACTCCCTTATACGTACTTACATATCCTTCAAAGCACGTCGTCTACACTGGATGGACGTGGACCAATTGTGCATTGCCTGCTGCGGAGCCTCTCCCCGTCAGTGCGTGGTTGAAGTAGATGTTTTATCCGAACCGAAGACAAGAGGCAGTGTTGTTGTCATTCTCGGAGTGTCAAGTCGTAGGATTCGAATCGCAGAAACATGTCTTTCGGCTAGGTTGCACTGCACTGTTGGTGGCGTCTCTCACTCCCTCTCTCGGGGACTTCTTATTCCATTCCTGTGTCTTCTCGGTAACCCGTCATGACGGGCATCAGCTGGGTGTGGGCTGTCGCCTCGACGCAACTCCTGTCTCAATAGCCTTCGCTGTAGGTTTCCACCTCTCCTTTCTCTTTCACACACTCTTCCTTCGTCCTTCTTCTCCTCGGCGCTAGGACACCGGTACAACGCGACGCACAGCGGCACCCAACCATACCAACGCATTCCCCTCCCCACCCCGTCTGCCCCACCCACTTGCAGTTCAGCCTCCTCGTACAGATGGAACCGCGCACCGCCGGCGCCGCCTCTGTAGAAAGCTTTCCGTCGCCCTCACCAGGCAGCAGCGCCGTCCCCGCTTCTACCCTTCCCATCACCACTACGAGCACCGGCAGCACACGCGGCAACGGCACCTCCTCTTCGATCGGGGCGTCGCCGCTATCTGGCCAAAATTATCTTCGTTGGTATAACGGCGAAAGGGGGGGAGGTGGATCCAACACGGGCTCACTTCGTTGCGAGAACGGCCCCAACGCCCCCCGCTCCGGCGCCACAAACGACGTCGTCGTTCCACTGCCGGCGCCCCTCCTTCGGCGAGTTGCGTGTGGTGACCTATTCTCCTCTCCCGTCCGAAACGCCGCGGATGACGCCGGCACGCCGCCCAACGTCCTCTTCGTGCGCTCCGAGGCACCGGAGGACAGGGAAACGATGAAAGAAGAAGACACTGCGCATTTCGTGGACGGGATGTGTACTCCACCGTCATGTCAGCGCACTTCGGATCGCGCGGAGAGGACCGCCGGCGACTCTGACACGTACGTGCCGCCACGCTTCTACCACTTCGAACGTCTCGTCTACGCAGGAGTCCTCCTCGGCTTCATCTTTCGCTCCTACTACGTCGGGATGGGCTTCTTTAAGGAGCACATGCCCCAGCTACGACGCGGTGTTGGTACGCCGAACAGCTTTCTCGCCGCGCTTCTCCCCACCATCGGCTACGACGGCGGTCTCGATCGGCAGTGGATGAGTTTCCTGCGCAGCCTGCCATCGCTTTTCCTTCTCGCCGCCGCACTAGGTGTCGGCACACGGGTTCTACGCCACGCTGCACGCCCTGATCTGATGTCCGGTCACCTGCCGTCACCATCGCTGCAAACGACACCCTCACTCGTGCAATGGCGTTCATTGCACTTCGCCCTCGGCGATCGTGACGCTGCCCGGCTGCAGGTCTGTATGTACAGCGCGGTCGGTGTTGTCTTTGTGGCCGTCGTGCACGGCCCGCACTTCTTTCTGCCGCTTCTGCTCACCCTCGCCAACTACGTCGTCTTCTCCCGGCTGCAGCGCTGGTGCCCCTACCGGGTCTTCATGGCTGTCATGTGGGCTACGCACATCGGCCTCCTCTACATCATCGAGCTGTACGCCGGCTTCGAGGACACGTACTGGTTGCAGTACTACTTTCCCACCAGTTTTGGAAGCACTCGCAGCGCCCTCGGACCCAACTTCGCTCGTCCTGGGTTATGGCGTCAACGCATGCGCTGGTACGTCGCCTTCCGCATGACCACGCTGCGCCTCATCGCCTTCAACTACGACCTGTGGGAGGCCACGCACAATGCGGCGCACGCGAGGGAGCGGGCGACCAGCAAGCACGACACCGCCTGCGTCGAGTGCGCGCAGCTGCGCGAGCAGAACAACGGCCGCGTTGCCGCAGGAGCAGCATCAGCAGGAGCAGGCGCAGGCGCAGGCGCAGGAGCAGGAGCGGCATCGCTGCCCGCGGAGGCGTCGCGCTGCTACAAGTACCGCACCGAGTACGCGCGCGACCCCGGCGACTACAACTTCGTCAACTACCTCGCCTACGTCGTGTTCCCCCCGCTGTACCTCGCCGGCCCCATGTCGTCCTTCAATGCCTTCGTGTCCTACATGCGTGTGCCCAGCACCTCCATGCCGGCGCGTCAGATGATCGTCTACGCTCTCCGCACGGGTGCACTGCTTCTTGTCACATACATTCACCTCCATTTCTGGTTTATTGTCGCGTTGTCGGAGCGCATTGATCTGCTCACGAGCGCGAGTCCTGAGTTCCAATCCTACGTGCTGTACCACTACCTGGCCTATCTTTGGCTGAAGTTCAGCTTTATCTGGAAGTCGTCGCGCCTCTTCGCGATGTTCAGCGGCATCGAGGTGCCGGAAGACATGCGGCGCTGCTTTTCTAATACGACAACTGTACGAAACTTCTGGCGCGACTGGCACGCCTCCCTCAACCTGTGGATCGTGCGCTACATGTACATCCCGATGGGCGGCCGCCCACGCGCCGCGCTGTCCGTCCTGCCCATCTTCCTCTTCATCGCGCTGTGGCACGACCCGGCGCTGCACCTGCTGAAGTGGGCGCTGTGCATCGTGGTGATGTTCGTGGTGGAGCTGGCGGTGAGCGCGTGCTTCGGCTGGGTGGCCGGCTTGTTCCGCCGCGAGATGGCGGCGACGGCGGCGGACGCAGTTGAGGGAGCGAATGTCACGGAGCAGGCGCAGTTCTTTGGCGTGCGACGCACACGTGGAAGAGGCGTGCTCGTCTCATGTGTCCGACTCTTAGCGCGGTGCGCACTCCGGTACCTTACGCCCTTGCAGCGCGGCAGCGTGCATCGCGAGCTCGTCACTGTCGGCTGCTTCTTCAGCGTCTTCGGCCTTATCGTGTCCAACATGATCGGTTTCTGCGTGCAGAACACGGCGGCAGAGGTGAAGGAGCAGTCAGTGACGGACCTGCTGATTTGGAGAGCACTGAGAACGGCGCATGTTCGCTATTTCCTCGGCCTCTTTTGTATTCTGTATAGCGCGTCTGGGATCGGTGTGTCCATGTGGTTCTGGGAGGGTGTGAGGGCGCGGCAGCTGCGCGCGCGGTACCGTCTGAAAGCGAAAGCGCCGACACAGTTGGAGAAGACGTATTTGTGAGGCTGGTCAGCGTGGCGCTCTTTTGATTCGAATCGTGCGATGATGGACTTCTGTGTGTACGCTGCGTAGAAACTGCTTTGGTTGCGGTAGGAACTCTTCTTCTCTTCCTTTGCGTATGTAAACAAGAACTTTTGTTTTGCTTTTTACTTATTTCCTCACGCCCCGCTCTTATGTGTAGATGCACGTGCCTTCTCTCTTATGGGGTGTTGCGGGTTTTTTGTTTGTTTTTCCGAGCGCATCCTGTGTGCAATGACTGCGCAAGAGAAGAGAAGGTGAAGCAAGTGCAACTTCTCAAGACGCTCTTCGAAGAAGCGGGATCCCTCAGTTTTGGCTGCGCCTGCTGCGTGAAAGAACTGCGCATGATTCGTATTCTGTCGCACTCGAATCCGTGCTATTGGTATTTTGCATGGCGATTTCCATTCGCAGATTATTTCCTCGATAAAATACAGAAGCATCTTCAACTATAAAATGAAAGGAAAGAAAACCTGACAACTCCGCCTCTTCTTCCTTCACTTCTGTTCTGCTATTTCTTTCTTTATTATCACTAACTCTTTACAGCCGCTAAAGAAGCAATAGAGCTCTCGTTTTTTTTTCCTGTTTGGCAGATACGTAAACACACCTTCTCTGTCAGCTCTTCGTCTCATAAATCTGCATCATTTTTTGGCGAAAGATACTCTCTGGAGCCTCAGTAAAACTACTATTTTTTCCTTCCTTTTGTTTTATTTCAGCGTCTGTGTACTGGTGCATATTTCCTTTGCTATTTCTCCAGTAGCTCCCACCACGATCACCACATTGATTGTGCTGCCGTTGCCGCTGTCGCACCCATTACTTGTATTTTACATTATTCGACCTAGTTCTGACAAAAAAAAGTACACATCTGATCGCACAAAAAACGAGACGCGTCTCTTTTCGTTCTTCTGTTTTCTCTCCTGTAGCGTACATGTGCATATTAAAGCCGTTACAGCTGTGAAGCCACACCCATCCGATCTGTATTGTTACTCCCCGCCGTAGAGCCTCCTGCAGCTCCACGCACAGCTCACAGTACCGAGTTAATACCGAAGTTGACGGAAGCCTTGATTGTTAGCGAAACTTATTAGTGCATTATTTTTGGTTTCAGCTCCTTTTTTCTTGTGTGTTCACGCTCCGCGATTTCGGAATTCGCTTCCAGACACCCAGCGCGTTACCTTTTCCCTTCCCCTCTTCCCCCTGGTACGCGTCTTTTACGATTCTTTTACAGGTTTTATTTTGTACTCCCTGAGGCGCTCATTCGACTTCGATTGCTTTTCTTTTTCTTTTGGCGTGTGTCGTTTTCCCTCTTTGCGTATAGATATTTATATTAACATTACCCGTTTATGTATACTGCGTTGTGCGCAACGCCTTCTTGTCTGTCTCTTCCATCCTGCCGCCTCCAAACAACAGCCGTCTTGCTTTGCTCTTCTTCTTTCTTCTAATAACTATTACTACTGTCTTCTATTGTCATTGTTTTCTTCATTGTGACTAACTTTGGAGGATATAGCTATTATTATTATTTCGGTTAGTTGTTTCTCGTTGATATGTATGTGTGTACAGACATCTACATATATATATATATACACTGTTTCTCTCTCTACCGTGTTCTGCATCGTATATTTTATCCTTTCTTTTTTCTTTTGAAAGTTCTTCACAGTGCGCTGCACTGACCTTCCAAAGTCGAACACCGTGAAGACCGTTAACCACCGTCCTACTCCATACGTTCGTGTGGTGGTTTTCTGCAAGGAAAAGAAGAGGGCCCTTTATACCACTTCTCTTTTAAGGCTTTGCCATGTCCACAAAAGAAGTGTTCCCCTGCGCTGAGGAAATGGATGAAGAGTCAAAGCTCGCAGTCAGCGCTGTCGCCGTAGAGGGCGCGTCGTCTCTCGAGTCGGACATCTCCTTCAGTGCGCTTTCGGCATCCTCGGCGTCCTCAGCACCTGTGCGTGGCGTCTCGTCGAAATGGAAGTGGCGGCTGCGCCTCCTCTCCCCCACTATCGAGATCGATGTGGGAGCAGCCACCTACAACACCGCGTACTCACACCTTCTCTCCCTTGAGTACCTCCTCGGCGCGGCTGTCCTCGTTTCCATCAACATTTACGGGTTCGTGGTGTTGCGCCGCTTCTGCGATGCGTACCCTTCTCCCCTGCTCGACGTTGTCGCCCCGCCAAACGCCATCATGCAACTCCTCGGCGCACGGGGGTACGATATGACGCTCGATCAATCCTTTGTGACGTACTGCGAATACCTTTGGATCTTTGCGGTGTTGAGTGCGGTCCTGGGTGTTGGCTCGTACGTGTGCCGTCGGCTGACCGCCCCACGCCCACGCACGCCCGCGCCGGACCCCACGCTCACACTCTCTCCTGCGGAGGAGTTGTGCCCCTCGCCAGGTGTCGTTATGCGAGGTGATTCGCGTAGCTATGACAGCGGTACGCCCGCTTCGCTCGCCCCTACATCACGAGCCTTCGTGGACGAAGCACCGTTGAGCGGCCGGACTACGGACCGCGTCCGAACGAAGGGGGCGTTCTTGCTGCCTCTCTTTTATGCAGCGGTCGGTGTTGTCTTTGTGGCCGTCGTGCACGGCCCGCACTTCTTTCTGCCGCTTCTGCTCACCCTCGCCAACTACGTCGTCTTCTCCCGGCTGCAGCGCTGGTGCCCCTACCGGGTCTTCATGGCTGTCATGTGGGCTACGCACATCGGCCTCCTCTACATCATCGAGCTGTACGCCGGCTTCGAGGACACGTACTGGTTGCAGTACTACTTTCCCACCAGCATTGACAGCACGCGTATTGCTTTGGGTCCTCGGTACGGTCGCGAAGGTCTTTGGACTGTTCAAATGCGCTGGTGCGTCGCCTTCCGCATGACCACGCTGCGCCTCATCGCCTTCAACTACGACCTGTGGGAGGCCACGCACAATGCGGCGCACGCGAGGGAGCGGGCGACCAGCAAGCACGACACCGCCTGCGTCGAGTGCGCGCAGCTGCGCGAGCAGAACAACGGCCGCGTTGCCGCAGGAGCAGCATCAGCAGGAGCAGGCGCAGGCGCAGGCGCAGGAGCAGGAGCGGCATCGCTGCCCGCGGAGGCGTCGCGCTGCTACAAGTACCGCACCGAGTACGCGCGCGACCCCGGCGACTACAACTTCGTCAACTACCTCGCCTACGTCGTGTTCCCCCCGCTGTACCTCGCCGGCCCCATGTCGTCCTTCAATGCCTTCGTGTCCTACATGCGTGTGCCGAGTACGAGCATGCCTCCCTATGCGATGGCCATGTATCTCCTGCGTATCCTCCGCATCTATGTGGTGCTCATGGTGTTGCTGCACTTTGTTTTCGTTTCGGCTCTCTCTGCCTACACTTTCCTCACTCTGAAGATGAGCAGCGTTGAGCAGGCGCACTTTTTCTTTTATTCGCTGGCGTACATCTGGCTGAAGTTCAGCTTTATCTGGAAGTCGTCGCGCCTCTTCGCGATGTTCAGCGGCATCGAGGTGCCGGAAGATGTACGGCGCTGCTTCTGCAATACCTTGACCATCCGCGACTTCTGGCGCGACTGGCACGCCTCCTTCAACCTGTGGATCGTGCGCTACATGTACATCCCGATGGGCGGCCGCCCACGCGCCGCGCTGTCCGTCCTGCCCATCTTCCTCTTCATCGCGCTGTGGCACGACCCGGCGCTGCACCTGCTGAAGTGGGCGCTGTGCATCGCGGTGATGTTCGTGGTGGAGCTGGCGGTGAGCGCGTGCTTCGGCTGGGTGGCCGGCTTGTTCCGCCGCGAGATGGCGGCGACGGCGGCGGCGGCGGACGGTGATGACGACGGCGCTGTGGAGGGCAGAGAGGTGGTGGACGAGGAGAGAGTGGAGAGGGCCAGCCGTCCCCCGCAGCCCAGCAGCCAGCGCCGCGGTGGTGCGGGTGAGGCCGTCGCGGTGCCGCTGCTGCGGCCTGCTGCGCGCTTCGCCGCACGTCACATGAGTCCGCGCGCGCGTGCGTGGTGCTACCGCATGCTGCGCGTGCTTGCCGGCATGTCCAGCGTCTTCGGCCTCATCGTGGCGAACCTCATTGGCTTTTCGATGCAGAATTCGACTGCCAATATCGAAAAGGGAGACTACACTACGTCTGCCGCTGATGCGGACAGGTCCATCCTACGATCCCTGCGAAGTGCCTCCGCCTGGTATATGATGGGACTCGTCACAGCTCTGTATTGCTTAGCCTCTCTCGCTGCCGTTGACCGTGACTTAGTCTTTTACAAAACAAAGATGCTGAAAGCACGCTTTGGATTAGAGTGAGGGAAACGGAGTAGCTGAAACGTGTCAAACGTCAGCTTTTTGTTTGGTTGTTTTCTTTTCATTTTTCCCTTCGTCGTGCATAATTGTTTTACTTCTAAATCGCCCACTACGATCGTGTGGATTGCCTGCAGTTGTCGAGTTCAAAGGTGCACCGTCCAGTGGTACGCTCCTACGAAATTCGATGGATGCTGAGGTTTCTCCTCAAGGGACGCAGCTTATGTTCTCTGCGGCTCTCTGCGAGAAGTCTGTTTTGTTTTCTTTTTCTTTTCTTTTCTTCTTCATGCACGAAAGGCCGAATGCGCTGTGTGATGTCCCCCCGTCGAGGCCCCAGCAGTCGTCTCTCCGATACGTACATACACCGCTTCGTTTCGTAGTACTCCTCCTCTTCTGTTTTCTGGTTTGATGATGAGGTCTGCTTACTCCTCTTCGCTTTATCTTTTTTATTACTAAGGACGGAAGAATTGTAACTTCTCCCCGCTTCTTCTCGGTGGGGCTTTCAGTGAAAACGACGCGATCGAGACAAGTGGAATTTGCGACGTCGTTTCTATTGTTACTTTTTTTTGTTTGTTATATATATTTATTTATTTTTTTATTTATTTTTATCCAGGAGGTGTGCGTGCGTCTTTGAGGCAACTTCAGAGGGCGTGCGGTACAACATGACGCTGACTGCGCCGTCTAGCGGGCTCAACCGCACGCGATCAAAAGCAAGGCAGATTTCATACATACAAGGAAGGCAAGCGGCTCCATCAAAAAGTCGCGGTGAGTGCCAATTCAAATGAATGAAAGGCTTGACGGCCGTTGTGCAGCAGGCCGTCCCTCGTTTTCTTTCTTTTATTGGTAGATGTGTGTGGGATGGAAACAACGCCGTGAAAAAACATCCAACAAAAGATTTTCTTTCTCCACACTCTTCCTCCCTTCCTTCTTTCCTTCTTTTTTCATCCGGACTCCATTATGTAGATATATACAGCGGTCGCACCGCAGTCTCATCAGCGCCGCTCACGTAGGAAAAGGCGCGACATCTCGACAAGGTGCGCCGTTGTGTGAGATCGTATCGAGCGCACTCACGTCGCTCTCTTTCTTTCTTTCTTTTTTAATTCTGTGTCATATCAGGGGCTGTGTTTATTCGGTGCTAGCAGCTTCGTATTCTCTATTTGCTTTGCTTTTGGGGGAGTCACCGAGTGAGCTCTTTATGTATATACGTGCAACCCGCTCAACACGTGTTGTGCGTGCCGTAGCTCTTGTCTTTTATATGTGGTCTCTTTTGGCACTGAACCGCGCACGCGTCATTTCCTCCGCCGGAATAGACCACACTGATGGCCGAGGTGCCAGAACGGTGTGTGCGTCTTCTTTTCTGCTGCTCTGTTGTACCCAAATAATGTTCGTACTGCTCGGTAATACCTGACCCGTCGCACTCCATCGATCTCTTTCTCTATATACTTTTTTTCTCTCTTTCTTCTTTTTCTTACTGCAGATGAGAGATCCGTATTCGCATGGTCCTGTATTTCCTAGCGGGTGCGCGCGAAGTGGTTCGACTCCGCTGATCGATTCACAAATTGTCGCTGCTGCGCCACCTAGTCTTCATGCGAGTTCACATACGCAGACACCCAACGAGGGAGGCGCCGTTCCGGTCCGCGTTCCTTCACCCCTCCACGCAGCGTCTTCTTCAGATGTGAAGGCGAGCTCTACCGGCGTCGATTGGAAGAGGCGATGGCGGTGGAAATTGTACTGGCTGAGTCCAACGACCGAGATGGACATCGGCGCGGCCGACTACGTCACGGCCTATCCCCGCCTTCTTTCAGTGGAGTACCTCCTCTCTGTCCTGATCGCGGTCTCTGTCTGCATGTACGGTTTCTTTATTCTGCGCGCCTTCTGCGACCGCGAAGCGTATCACTACGTCACTTTCTTGCTGTATGCGTTCAAGGGTCTAGCGTGGCTCGGCTCGCCTGGCTACGATGACAAAGCGGACAAGCAGTGGACCGGCTTCATCATTCAGTATCCGAAGCTTGTTGGTGTGGCACTGTTGCTTGGTGCGGGAAGCTTTTTTCTTCGCTACGCGGTGTCGCCATCAGGCTCGTCTTCCTCCATAGCGGCTGGGTCGGGTGTTCCTGTGTTGTCGAATGCTCTTCATCCGCTACGGGACGCCGCAGACGTCGATGAGACAGATACGGAGTGGCGTCCAGGCAGTGGTATCGGTACGGTTCGACAGCGAGTCAGCCGACTTTTTCGGTCGTGTAAGGCTCCCGTTCACTTCCGCGGCGTCCGAACGAAGGGGGCGTTCTTGCTGCCTCTCTTTTATGCAGCGGTCGGTGTTGTCTTTGTGGCCGTCGTGCACGGCCCGCACTTCTTTCTGCCGCTTCTGCTCACCCTCGCCAACTACGTCGTCTTCTCCCGGCTGCAGCGCTGGTGCCCCTACCGGGTCTTCATGGCTGTCATGTGGGCTACGCACATCGGCCTCCTCTACATCATCGAGCTGTACGCCGGCTTCGAGGACACGTACTGGTTGCAGTACTACTTTCCCACCAGTTTTGGAAGCACTCGCAGCGCCCTCGGACCCAACTTCGCTCGTCCTGGGTTATGGCGTCAACGCATGCGCTGGTACGTCGCCTTCCGCATGACCACGCTGCGCCTCATCGCCTTCAACTACGACCTGTGGGAGGCCACGCACAATGCGGCGCACGCGAGGGAGCGGGCGACCAGCAAGCACGACACCGCCTGCGTCGAGTGCGCGCAGCTGCGCGAGCAGAACAACGGCCGCGTTGCCGCAGGAGCAGCATCAGCAGGAGCAGGCGCAGGCGCAGGCGCAGGAGCAGGAGCGGCATCGCTGCCCGCGGAGGCGTCGCGCTGCTACAAGTACCGCACCGAGTACGCGCGCGACCCCGGCGACTACAACTTCGTCAACTACCTCGCCTACGTCGTGTTCCCCCCGCTGTACCTCGCCGGCCCCATGTCGTCCTTCAATGCCTTCGTGTCCTACATGCGTGTGCCGAGTACGAGCATGCCTCCCTATGCGATGGCCATGTATCTCCTGCGTATCCTCCGCATCTATGTGGTGCTCATGGTGTTGCTGCACTTTGTTTTCGTTTCGGCTCTCTCTGCCTACACTTTCCTCACTCTGAAGATGAGCAGCGTTGAGCAGGCGCACTTTTTCTTTTATTCGCTGGCGTACATCTGGCTGAAGTTCAGCTTTATCTGGAAGTCGTCGCGCCTCTTCGCGATGTTCAGCGGCATCGAGGTGCCGGAAGATGTACGGCGCTGCTTCTGCAATACCTTGACCATCCGCGACTTCTGGCGCGACTGGCACGCCTCCTTCAACCTGTGGATCGTGCGCTACATGTACATCCCGATGGGCGGCCGCCCACGCGCCGCGCTGTCCGTCCTGCCCATCTTCCTCTTCATCGCGCTGTGGCACGACCCGGCGCTGCACCTGCTGAAGTGGGCGCTGTGCATCGCGGTGATGTTCGTGGTGGAGCTGGCGGTGAGCGCGTGCTTCGGCTGGGTGGCCGGCTTGTTCCGCCGCGAGATGGCGGCGACGGCGGCGGCGGCGGACGGTGATGACGACGGCGCTGTGGAGGGCAGAGAGGTGGTGGACGAGGAGAGAGTGGAGAGGGCCAGCCGTCCCCCGCAGCCCAGCAGCCAGCGCCGCGGTGGTGCGGGTGAGGCCGTCGCGGTGCCGCTGCTGCGGCCTGCTGCGCGCTTCGCCGCACGTCACATGAGTCCGCGCGCGCGTGCGTGGTGCTACCGCATGCTGCGCGTGCTTGCCGGCATGTCCAGCGTCTTCGGCCTCATCGTGGCGAACCTCATTGGCTTTTCGATGCAGAATTCAGCGGCGACGTTCAAAAAGGCGGGGTCGACAAGTGTTGAGACGGAAGCGGATCGCGTCATCGCACGCGCGTTGGAAAGCTACAGTGCAGGGTTTTGGTTGGGTGTGGCATTGTTCATGTATTGTGGCGCTTCGCTTGGGGTGATTGATCGGGATCTGATCGAGCATCAGACCCGTTGGCTGAAGAGCAAATATGGTTTGAAGGTTTCGTAAGAAGTTGCATTTCGCGGAAGCAGAGAGGGGCAATAATTTTGTTTTCTGCTCTTTATGTTGTGTGTGCGTGTCGCCATACGCATCCTTTTTTTTAGTTGCCAACACCCCAAAAGAAAAAGAATAATATTAATAATAATTGACGAGAGGAAGCGTTGCACTCAAGCAATGCTTCCATCATGGGAAGAAGGCGCTTCACGTTCTTGTCCTGCGCTTCTCCCTTTCGAGAGCATATTTTGGAGGATTCGATCAGGGAAACGACGTGGGGCGTCATTCACAATCCATTCGTCGTTCCTTTTCCATATCTGATCGTGCTACTCTCTTCTCATCTCTGCCTTTATTCGTATGCCCTTTGTTCCGTTTAGTGTTAAAAGCTTGAGGCCCCGTTTACGGAAGTAGTAAGCGCGCATACGCAGAATCAAGGGGAGGGGGTCAGTTGTTGCTGTGGTTCATTTCTCGTCTTTTCATTGGGCAATTGGTTGAAATCGCCGGCGCGTGCAACGTATTTCGGTTTGGTGCAAACCTGTTGAGCATTTTTTGTTGCACTGACTGTTCTTCCCTCGGTTCATCTCGTTGTTTTCCCACCTTAAATGACTTGAAAGCCGCCTTGTTTCTATTGTACAGCAACAGTTGCAGGTGAAGCGGAGCAAAACAGAAATAAACGGCTTTGCTTTGTTTGCTTTCGGGTGTGCAAAAACACCCTCCACTAAGAAGTTGATTTTGATCGTCGAACGTTTCTCGCCGCTGTAATCGTCCTGCGACGCACGCACGCCTCCTAAGTTTGTTTCCTTTTTTCCCATGCGAGCGTGCCGATAAAGGATACGTAAGTATAATTGGTTTCTTTTTCTGTTTTGTTTTTCCCCTCTCTAGTATTGGACAGTTTAGATGGACCATAGACAGTCGCACGCAGGCGCACCGGAGACGGTGTACGTCCCTGCGCCGCGCCCACCTGCTCTACAGCTGGTCGACTCACCATCTCGCACAGACGGGCACTCGTCGCACGCATTTGATCGGCAATCTCCCTCCGCCGCAGCGGGCTCCCCCCACGCGGTCAAGCCGAATTACCTCTCCAAAACCTCCCTGCTGTACCTCCTCTGCGTTGGTAACATCATCATCGCTGTTTTCTACCTCGCCGTGTACGATCAAGCCTGCATCAGCCGTGCGCACTACGACGAGCTCAAGGCCAACCTCCGACCCCCGTGGATGCTGTACCGCTGGCTGGGCAGCAAAGGCGTGGATGTGACGGACCTGCAGTGGTACGTCTTTGTGGTCGCCCTGCCCCCCGCCGCGCCGTACCTCGTTGTCTTTCTCTATATCTCGCGCCGACTACGGCGGTACATCGCGTCGCAGCCGGCCACGGCGGCGGCCGTAGTGCGAGGTCATGGCGGCTCGACCAGCATCCACGACTGCGCTCCTGGCGGTAGCTCCGCTGCGGTGAAGGGTGGCTCAGACGCGCCACTGACACCTTTCGGCAGCAACAGCAGTGCTGAGCCGTCCCCGCCCGTGGTGGTGGTCGAAGAGATCTCCCTCGCCTCGTCAACGCCGTCCACGCTGCTCGTTCGTCGAAACACGGCACCGCTCCACGTCTTTCACATCGTCTCCGGCGCCTTCATTGCCCTCTGTCTCAGTGGCCCTGGCTTTCTCTTCGGCGCAGCCCTTGTGTCCCTCAACTTCTTCTGTATCGCCCCCCTCTACAAGAAGTTGTCCTTCCGCGCCTGCATGGCCATCATGTGGGTCTCGCACATCGCCATCCTTTTCCTCAACTTCCACGCTGGTGGGTATAAGTTCGCGTGGTTTGGCCTCAGCTTCCTAGATAATCTGTGGACGCCGTTGATACGGTGGAACACGCAGTACAACATGGCCATCCTGCGCATGATCTCCTTCAACAACGACCTCTGGGAGTCGGCGCTGGTCGGCGAGGATCGGCGGGAGAAATCTCTGCAGAAGCACGAGCGCACATGCATCGCCTGCGCGCAGATACGCGACCAAAACAAGCATGCCGCCGCCACGCTACCGCAGGAGGCGGTGTCGTGCTACAAGTGCCGCACTGAGTGCCCACGCGCCGTGCCGGAGTACACCTTCAGCGCCTACCTGGGCTACATGTACTACCTCCCCCTCTACATGGCGGGGCCGCTGTCGTCCTTCAACGCGTATGTGTCCTACATGCACTACCCGCAGCGCAGCATGGTGGGATCTGCGACGTGGCGCTACGGTCTGCGGTGGCTCGGCCACGCTTTCATGCTCTCCACCTTGATGCACTACGTGTACATTATGGCCATGCTGCTCACCCCGACAGCACCCGCAGGCGGGGCGGACCCATTGACCACCACCACAGCAACGGTGACGAAAGCGATAGAGGCGTTGATGGAGGCGGTGACGGGTCTGCCCAGCACGACCACGACCACCCTCGCGCCGGGGCCGCCCGTCTTGGACTCCATGACCTTCTCGCAAAAGTCGGTGCTGTTCTTCCTTGTCCTCGCCTTTTTGTGGGCGAAGTTCGACGTGATTTGGCGCTTCTTTCGCTTCTTCGCGCTGTTGGACGGCTTCGACCCACCGGAGGACATGCCGCGCTGTTTCGCGAACACCGTCAACATTCAGAGCTTCTGGCGCGACTGGCACGCCTCCTTCAACCTGTGGCTCGTGCGCTACATGTACATCCCGATGGGCGGCAGTCGCACGAAGTTCCTCTCAATATTTCCGATTTTCTTCTTCATTGCGATTTGGCACGATATTGAGATGCGACTGCTCTTCTGGGCCCTCTTCATTTGCATCGGCTTTGTCCCAGAGATCGTCGTCACCACCTTCTTCGCGTCGAAGACGAACAAGCTGGTCCTGCGTATCAAGCGGCATCGGCTTCTGTGGCGGTCCCTGCGTATATGCGGCACGCAGCTGTGTTTAATGGAGCTGACTCTTGCGAACTTGGTCGGCTTCGCCATCGGCACGTCCGGCACAGGGGCCGGTCTGCGTCAGCTTTTCAATGAGATGACCACCGGCTACTTAATTTACACTCCGTTACTCTTCTTCAGTGCGGCGACGTTGGCTACTCAAGAACGTGATCAGAAGACCTACGAAACGGCTCAACTGAAGATAAAATACGGCTTGCAATAAATCAGCAGAAGGTTTTTTCTTTTGCTTGCATTCTGTTTCTTTACTGCTAACACATGTATATGGTTGCTTTCGAATTCCACACACGGACGCACACAATGGATCTTCTTCGTTTGGTCTTGCTCTTCGCTGTGGCTGCTATGCTGTCGTTCATGGAAATGCACACTGGTATTGTTACTGTTCTCAGTCTTCTTTTTTCTTTCTTTTTCCCTTGTTTATTTGGTTTATCCTCTTCTTCACCGAAACTGCGCTGGTGCGTTTGTATAAAGCAGCGGCGCGACGTTGGATATCGCTTCCTCTCTTGATATCAATAGAAGCGGGGAAGAGAGGGGGCCATCGTCTGCGCGCTACTTCGTCGCTTTCCTCTTCCTTGCTGGATCATTTGGTTTTATTTTGCTTAGACGGAATAACATACATATGTGTGTAATGTTGTTGTTGTTGCTTCTTTCCTCCTCTGCCTAATTTATCGCTGACACCGGCACTTGGAGGGGAAAAAACGGGTAATTACCTTTCTTTTGGTTTTACCTAGCTTAATCGACTCCCTCAATGTGCGTCGTACTTCGCAAAAGAGCGTAAAGTAACTGTTGTCTGTGAGAACGAATTCATGTTAAACCCTTTAAACTGCGGTGTGAAAACATGCGCTCATATTTGGCTCTTCTATGTTAAAATGATGCATCGTTGCGGCAATGCTTTTCTTTGTTTCTTCTCTTATGGTGTTGGATCTGCCGCTTTTTCTCAATTACCCCTTTCAGCGCTTTTTCTATTTTTTCTTCTTCTGTGCCTCTTGGGCTCCTCTTGTGCTTTGTATTCTCAGTTGTATCATTATTCTTATTTGGCCAACTTCTTTTCTGCTTTCGCTTCTTTACTCTCTCCACCTCCTTCCTTCTTGTCGTTCTTGCTGTTCTACACAAAAGCAAGTCTCGATTCGTCTGGTGTTCAAGTCGTCGCCTGCCAGCAACACCAGCAGGAAACACAGCCCACTCCGCGGAGACCTCTTTTCCACGCCAGCCAGCCGTAAGGGATGAAATGAAGTGAAGTTAAGTAACATAAAAAACAAACTTAGTTATACTTAGAAAGCACGTCTTCTCTGCTGCTCTGATTTTACATAAGTCTTTTCGAACACCTCGAAGCAATAAAATACGGCACTTGATTGCGTGGCCTGATCAGTTGAACTAGTGCATCGTCAACCAGATTTTAAAGTCGAGCAATGGCCTTCTTTACGCGAGATGATTTTGTCTACGTGTGGAACAGCTACCACGTGCTGGACTGGATCATCCTTGCCGCGCTGAACATCATCGCCGGTTTTGTCACCCTCGCCGTCCAGCCGCACTGCCGCCCCTTCTCGTGGGACGACGCCACGATCAACTACCCGGTGCACCCCGACACCTTTCCCAACTACTCCCTCGTGCTCATGGTGTTTCTCGCCATCGCGTTCTACATTGTTTTTGTGCTGTACCTCGTGAAGCCGCTGCAGCGCCTCGTCGGGGAGCCAATGGAGTGGTACGCCCTGGGCAGCAAGAATAGCGGCGGCAGTGCAAGTCCATACATCGACATCGACGCGCAGGACGGCAACTCGAAGCGGTTTCGCGTAGCGGATCTGCAGACGGGCGGGGGGCCGCTCTATCCGTGGCTGCGGGCACACCTGTGGGCAGTCGGGCTGGAGTTCTGCATGATGGCGGTACTGAAGGTGTACGCTGGTAGCCTTCGGCCCGACTACCTGGATCGGCTCAAAACTGCCGGGTATACGCGCTCCGTGAAATCCTTGCCCGACCCGAAGAGTGAACCCGAGTTCTACTGCAAGCTGATGGACAGTCACCCTGACCTCAAGGAAGGGCGTTTGTCGTTTCCGTCTGGCCACAGCAGCACCTCCTTCGCCGTCTTCACCGTCATGTCCTTCTTCTTCGTTGCCTACCTGCGGCCCTTTGCGCGGCAGGCCAGCTTTACGCGTCTCCTCATCTGTCTGTGTCCGCTTATCGTGCCGACGATTTGCGCGGTGAGCCGCACGCGCGATTACAAGCACCACTTTTCCGACATCGTCGCCGGCGCGTTGATTGGGATTGCGTGTGCGCTGATGGCCTTCTACGGCAGCTTCCGGCAGGTGGGTGGGGCCGCTGGTATTTACTTTTGTCGCACCGCCGCGGACGTCGATTACGACCAGCTACGCGAGTCGGCGAGCGGAACGGCAGCTGTTCCCGGCGTCAGCAGCAGCACCGTCGACTTTGGCGCGACGCAGCAGCGCGAGCACGTCGAACTGCGCAAGAGCGGATCATCACCGACGGTGCGGCGCGCGGGGGATTCGACGGTGCTGATGAGTGACGCACAACGTGGATCGCCGGTGTTGACGGAGCGAAAGCTGAACGAGGACCCCGCCGCCGTTCCGTGGATCTAAAAAACAAGGGAAAATAATTGTGGCGGTTTAAAAGAAAAAAACTAAAAGGCGAGACATGTTCCTCTTTGTTGTTTCGTGTCGGTGCTCCTTCCATTTGATACTGTGAATACGCACGGAACGGGTATCAACGCACGCCGATCAGGACTCGCTGTGGACAAAGATTGCTTTCGTGGGTACGATGTGTCTTCTTCTTTTATTATTGCTACTACTTCCTAGCGCGGAGGTTACGTGTGTGTTTTGTTTCACGCCGTAGCGTGTTGCGTTGCCGCAGAGCCGTCTTCCCCGTCGCCGCTTTTTCGTTTCCTACCTCATCTGCCTCTGCCAATGCACAGTCGTTAAGTGGCGGCGGCGTTTGTGTTTGACAACGGATCGCGTTGTTGCTTTTTATTAGTTGTCATATCAGTCTGAACTGACGGACAGCATCCAAAAAATTCGTAGCGGGGGATGTCATCGCGGTTATTATTAGTTTTTTCATGAACAGTGAGAGAGTGCTTTTGAACATCTCTGATGTTTTGTTTTTTCGTCTAACGGCAATAAGCAGTTCCTAAAAGTGAGAGAGAGAGATAGTGAAAAGGAAAAAACGTTAGTTCAAGGAGAGAAGCCATCATTACCCTGGGTTCCTGTTTTTTAAGGGTACGCGCTATTCGCCCTCAAGCATTTCTCTCTTTGTATGTGACCTGGGTGCCACAGCACGCCCAACTGAACATGGTGAGTCTACAGCGGAGACATATTTTCTGCATATCCGACCTTCTTCCACCATATCCCTTTCACCTTCCCTATCTCGAACTTTTCAACTGGCCCACATCTTCTGTTCGTTTTATTTCATGTCTACGGACGAAACATGCAAAGTTGTAGTTGCGCATTGTTACCTACGGGGGAAAAGCGACAGTTGCATTGCAGCTTCGGTAGCACGTGGCATCACATCAGCAAGAGAAATCAAATCCACAAGTGTGGCAGTCATAATAAAAATAACTTTGAATAGTACCATTAGAGGACAAAAAGTTCTCAGCTTTCATTCTCTATTTTTTGTTGTTGTCGTTGTTGTTTAACGCAATGGCCTCCTCTTCAGCAAACGTCGCAACCGTGATGGTGTTGTCGGTTGCTCTCCTTTTCCTCTGCCTCCACGCGGCTGCAGACTCATCCCGCAGGCCTGACACGGTGTTGTCGGATGCTCTTTTTCTGTACAAGGCAACCGGCTCGGCTACCGCGCCTTTGCAAGAGGGCGAAGTGAACCAGCATGTGGGACGTACTGCTGCTATTTTCTTCTCCGTCTTCGGTGGTGTCTGGCTCATCTTGAGTCTCTTCTTAGCGTACTTCTTCATCTACATCTGTCCAGAGCGTCACACGAAGTAAAGCGCGTTTTGAATTGCGACGTTGTTTTTTTGTTGGTGCTACTCCTATTTCCCTCCAATGTGCAGTTATTATTTGGTTTTCTTTGTTTTGTGTTTTGCTTCCGCCATGTAACGGCGCTCCTTCATGTGTATCTTAATGTTTTCTCTTCCTCTGTTCCTTTGGTGTTGCACTGAATTGGTAATCACTTACGCCTATCTTGCCATTCTGGGAAGTGGCCTGATTCAACGCTTCGGCTTTCGTGTGCCGAGTGAGATCCTCACGATGCCGCAAACACAACGACCCTACGCAAGTCAAGGCGCAATGCAACGTCCGCCGGAGGCACGCTTGGGAGTGTAATTCCCGATTTTTCACTCGCGCGATTGCCTCCGTGGGTCGGCGAGTGCCGGTACACAAATCATGTTCTTCCTTTCTCAGTGAAAACCGCCGTGAAGCAAATCAAAAAGCGCGACAACGCGTTTTATGTAGCACGCATTAAACATTTCTTCTCCTGTGTGTAAGTGACACGTAGAGGTGCAACGTCCACCACCGTTTTCTCGCTTCCCCACGAATATCCTCCTTCTCTTCTTTCTGACCCAACCTTCTATGTATTTGTTTTTCTCTTTTTGTTTTCCATCGTGTGTAGCTCTCGCAGAACGAAAGAAATAAGCCCGATCTCGTACCGTCACTTTCAACCGCAACGACCACGATCCCCGCCCGCCATGTTCGGTCGTCGCGTCTTCGCCAGCGCACCGCTGCCGCGGCACATGTGGGCCAAACTGCACATCCAAAACGCCGCCCAGGCGCGGCGGATGCTGCCCTCGCTGGCACCGCTCGCTTCTTCTCTGGGTCGTAGCACGAACGTCCTGAATAGTCAGGCGCTAACGCAGGCGCGGGACGGCATGGCATCCGAAACGGGAGCGGCGGCGCTGGAGGAGCTGCTCGCGTCGCAGTTCGGTGCTGTTGCACCGGCGGTGCCGAATATTGTATTCCTCGGCATTGGAAAGTTTGCCGTTCCGGTTAATATGCCACTTGTGAGCTTTTTGGAGCTGTGCAAACAAACACTAATGCAAAAGGGAGGTGGATGTGACGGTTGAGTGCCGAATCACGGCGCTGTGTCTTCGCGGATCTACGTGTTGTTGTTTTCGGATGGGAGACTGAGCGTCGGATGCCGAGGCCGAAAGCGAGGAAGGCGAGGAAGGCGAGTTGGATGAGCGGAAAAGGGCAACGTTTCAAAGGAAAACTGTCGTATTGTGTGTGCTCGTGACAAATCACGATTTGCTAGCCTAATGTGGGGCTTTCCATTACTTCTCTTTTGTTGTTGCTGTCTCCATCCGCCCTTGCTCCTTCCCCCCTCCCCCCGCCCGGCAAGCACTCGTCACTGCCACTTCATGGTGTGATCGCGACAAAGGTGCCTTCTGGCTGCACCTCAAGCAGGCCGAGATAGGCTAGTGTGTGCCCGTTGGTTTTCTTTTTCTTTCTTGACATAGTGCATTATGTATGAATTCAAGGGTGTAGTGTTTTCTCTTCACATGACTTTGGTAACACTTTTCTTTTCTGATACATATACCTACATACATATTCAATAGCATTGCATTTGAGGAGAAGGAGCTGCGTGGCACTACCTCGTCACGGCAGATGCTGCGTTCATTGTCGGTGAAGAAGCACGATTTGTTTCTCACACGCGCCTTCTTTCTTTCTTTCTCTTTTTTGATTGTTGTTTGACTGTAGTGTTTTTCAATTCTTTATGTCTCGCTCCAGCTTCACAGATTTTTTTTCCTTTTACTTACTTTGTAATCTTAATTACCTGTAACGATTTGTGTTGTCGCCGTAGCTGTGAATCGGGAGGCTTTTGCAGTTGTTGTTTGTGTGTTTGTATGTCGTCAGCTTTTTCGCCGTTGGGTGGCTGTATGGGTGACTCGGATCTTTATAACGCAAAGGAAAGGCACTATGTACCCGTCGTTATATGCAGATGTGCGTGAAAGGCTGAACTGTGGGCTTCTCTTCTCGTTATTTCTTACCGGATAAAACAAAGAGAGTAAAGGACCGGATTTTGCGCTCACTTTTAGGTTTCGCTTTCTTCCTCTCTTATGAACGGAATAGAAGTAATCAATGCGTGAGAAAATTGTTCGCAGCTGCGTTGGCGGCGTGTGCACGTTGCTGGCTCCATCAATGGCGGCGGCGCTCTGGCGGCATACGTGTGTCGAAGAATTATTCGTTTTACTTTTCCTCTCTTTCTCTCTCTTTCCATCTCCATTTGCCTCTTGTTGTCGTCGCCGTTCCACTCTGCGCAGTCACAAACTTCTATTTCAGCATTTTACCCTGAAATGGACGCAACCGCTGAGAAAAAAATTCAAAAACACAGTAATACATATATATGCATTTCGGCAAGTCTGCAGCGAAGGCGCGATCGTGTTCGAGCATCTCTCTACAGCGGCTCTTCGTTGTACCTTTGTAGCATTTTCTGGCTCCCTTCGTGTTTGTTTGCTTTCCGTAGAAGCACTTTGATTCTCTTTTTCCCTTACTTCGATTATTGTGTTTTCCTTGTTTTTTGAAAGGTGCGGCCGTGTGTATTGGTTTTCTTCTTCTCGCTCGCGCGCTCCGTTGCTGTTGCGCAGACAGCACGTTCTTTTGACAGCTCCTTAACCGTCATTCTTTGCCTTTCTCCTTGTGTGTGCGGATGTGCGTGTATTCCTGAGTACATGCACACCAATCACGTCACCCCAGCTTCGGCCCACGAGGTCACCTCGCCGTCCTCGTCGCGCCACCGAAGTGACACCACGCACGCGATGCTGCACAACACCGACGCGACGCTCGCCCATGAGCTGACGACCCTTCATCGACTGCAGTCCTTCTACGAGCAGCACACCTTCGACACCCAGGGCCCCTACGCCGACCTCTTCGCGGTGCTTCTGTCCTCCAGCAAACACCTGATTGACATCAACACGGCCCTGGTGCGGCATATTCGCACCCACGACGCGGCGGTGCATCGTCACGAAGCGACGTGTGGTGTGCTTTGCGGGGCGGTGGCCCAGCACAAATCGGACATCGCCGCGTTGTACGCTGGGAAAAGGGTCACCCCGATGGAGGCGACGACAGCACCCGCAGCGCCAACACCAGCGGATGACAGAGGAAGAGCGAGGCGCGCGTTGAGGATGCGTCGTGGTGTCAGCGGTGAGAATTGTAAGTACAATAATGCTTTCAACGAGGATGGCGAAAGTTGCGGGGAAGGAAGCGCACACATGGAGAATGGAGCGGCGCAGCAGCACTTCAACGGAAGTCCTGATGCTTCTTCGTCCCCCTCTTCCTCCTGTACACAATTCTCTCAACATCAACCAAAGGGAGAGGAGGAGGAAGCTCGGAGATTGGGATCTGTGCCAATGAAAGCGCGCTCCGGCATCATCACTCCGCGTTATAATGACGAGAGCACCCCGCGGTATTCTAACTGGAAGCACGAGATCGAACGTCGCCTTGATGACGCGGCGGAGCAGATAAATGCTTTGCTGGAGCATCAACACGCTGCACAGGCCCGTTCGCAACGGTCTCCATCTGCGCCAACTTCCCGGTTCGAACTGGCTTCCCTCCCAGCGGATCCCAACTCCAACTCCAACACCGCCGCCGTCCCTACGGAGACACTCGAAACGTGGAAGTGCGCCTTCGAGGACGCCGTCGACGACCGTCTTGCACATCTCGCACACCAAGTCACCCTGCTGGAACAATCTACCAAGCAGCAACAGCACCTCACGCGGTGGATGGGGAATGCGGTGGGCGATGAAGTGCAAGAGACGACTGCGAACCCACGCCCCATCACTCGGAGAAGGCTACAGGCACCAACCGAGGCACCGCCTGCTGCCGTGACGCAATGGCTGAACGCCCAACTTGAACAGCGCGAGGGGGAGTGGTTGCAGGTGCTGGAGGAAGTTCAGGAAGCTCTCGTTGCACATTACAGCAGCAGCAACGACGACGACGAGCGAGTAAATGGAGAGGTCAAAGTGCCTGTTCCCATCACCACCGCCAGCCACGATGGCGCATCGGCAGAGCCGGCGGATGCGGCCAGCACAGCGTGCTCACGTCGAGTGCGGTCCACAAACGTCCTGCTACAACTCCTCCGGTGCACAGACGACTCGCAGCGCACAAAGTTGTTAAGGGAGGTGGCACGGCAGACACAGCACGCCGACGAGCAGCTGCGCGATGTTGCGGCTCGACTTGAAGTGTTGGAAGTCTACGCACCACATCGCTACGCCGTAGCCGCCAGGCCACCCGTTCTCGGCGTGGAACTGGAAGACGTGTGTGCGCCTGCTGTCGGAGTGCGGGTGCGGACGGTGTATCAAGGCTACCTCGCCGACCGTGCTGGTGTCAGTACCGGCGACATCATCGCCGGTGTCGGCCACCAGTCGGCCCACACACGTGCACAGCTTTACGTGGTCCTTGCGGAGCTGACACGCGACTACAACGCGCAGTGTCGCGCGCAAATTGAGGAAGGATACATGCGGCACTACACGGCAGCTGCCTCCAGCGGTCCAATCGACACGTCTGTCTTTACGAATCTGGAGACGAGCCACGACAACGGGAACACGACCAGTTTTGAGTTCGACCATGGACTGCAACGGGCGCGGGCAGAAGCGGTGCGTGCAAATCATGGAGCAGGTAGCGCCGCCGATTTGAAGTATCGTGGCAGTAGCGTGGGAGCGATCAAGCTCCAATCACCCACTTTCTTCTCTACGAGTGCACCGCAGCACAAAGATCTGTTAGCGCGGTGTCTCCCGTACTTCGAGTTGACGCTGCACGTGCTGCGCGACGGCCGCCTGCGAGATGTGACGATGCTGATTCCGCCATCGGAGGCGTTGCGGTCTGTAACCCAGTACTAAGTGGCTCTTCTGTGAATGTGCGATGTGCCGATACATGGCGCGTCACCCAAAAGAAAAGCTATCTCGCACTATCGGAACAAAATGTACTCTTTTCTTTTCCCACTGTTCTCCACCTTTGATTTTTGGTGCCCTTCTATTTTTTTTTCTTTGCGGCTACTGCGCGCGTCGTGTTGCATGTTGCTCCGTGTGCGCGTGGCGTGCCAGTAGAAGAGGCATTCATCTTCTCCTACGACGCGCCTCAATTCCAGGTGTGGCACAAACGCAAAACCGAAGTAACACTGAATGTTAAAGAAATAAAACCTTTTCTTCTCTCTCACTCTCACGCCCCCTAACCCCGCTGGCTTTTGCGCTAAAGCATCGGTGATGGTTCGCAGCGCAGACCTTCTCTCGTTAGACTGCAGTGCAGCGTTGTCGTCAAACGCGCCGAGGCCAAAACACACCCGCCTCACCAGAGCTCCTCCCTTTGAAAAAGAAACCTTTTCATTCTTTCCCCTCTTCTCTCTCTCCCTCTCTCCCTTATGGTGATGGTGACTGCTGTAACGTTCTTCGACACTTTCTATCGGATAGCTGCGATTGAATTCAGTCATATCAAGCTCGTCCTTCGGTTATCTGCATTATGCATAAAAAAACGATCATCTTAACATATTTTTTTGGATGCTCTCTTTGTATTGTTTGTTGGTGAGCTAGTCAAATTGTGTCCGCGTTTTTGCCGAACCCGAAATTGCGGTGAACGACTCCTCTTGCTGTTCTAGTAACTGCGCATCTTTTGTTTGTCTGCGTGTGAGTGTGAGTTATTTTTTTGTTTTTTTCTAAGGTAACCTGTGCGCTATTGTTGTGTTTCTCACAAGTTGAAATATCGTCAACCGCTGGATTCTGTTTTTCTTTTTTGGTAGTGATCTCGTACCTCTCAGGCGAGCCCTATTTGCAAGGAGCGGCTGCTTTTTGCTAATCGTACTGCGCGTATATAACGAGTGTGAACATCACACACTCGCCCTTTTTCTATTTTGTTTTTCTCTTCTGAGTGGGTTTTGTGTTTGCTTGCACTTAACAAATTCGTGTGTGTGTTTGTTTTATTGATATTTGTGGTGGCCTTTTTTTTTTGCGAGGTGCACTCGGCAGAGACGAGAATTATTTTTGTTTCCTCGCATTCTTTTCTAATCGCGTTCATCAACGTAGTTTTTCGAGCGGCGTCGTGCGCTGCGTACATCGTTTTATATACTGTTGCTGTTATTTCGGTTTTATCCTGTTTTCGCTACGCACCTCCCGCGGTACTCCCCCTAATCCTTGATCTTTGTCTCCCATTTCCTTTTTTACTATTGACACGTTATCCTCGTCACGGCCTCCACAACCTCAACTGTACCACATCCCTCCCTCCCTCCTTCTTTCAACTCGCCCTGTCACTAAAGCAAGAGCAAACCATCATCACAACTTTCAACTCGCTTGGTATTCTTCTTGAACTATTATTTTTTTGCTGCTGGTGCTGTTACTTGAATGCGCCGCTTCTTCACCATGAAAGCGCCGCCCATCGCCTCAACGCACGATCTCGCCGCCAAGGCGATGCCGAGTGCCGTCGCCGCCACGACAGCGGCGACAGGGAACCAGCTGCGCGGGCACGGTCACAGTCACGGCGGCCACGGTCACGCGCACAGCCACGGGACGATTGAGAAGAACATCTCTGGCAAGTTTCTGCGGCAGTGCCAAATCGCCACGCTCGCCGGCGGCGCCGCCAACGTGTTCTTCTGTGTCACAAAGCTGTGGATTGGCTCGGCCGGCGGCTCCGTCGCGCTGGTCGCCGACGGCTTCCACGCCTTGACCGACATCCTCGCCGACATCATCTCCTACGGCGCCATCTCCCTCTCGCAGAAGAAGTTCTCGCGATGCCGCTTCCCGTTCGGCATTGGACGGCTGGAGACATCTGGCGCCGTGCTCGTCGCCGCCATTTTGCTCTTCGGCGGCATCGCCCTGCTCGTGCAGTCGCTGGAACAGTGTGTGATGGACGTGTCGCACCTGCTGGCCCTGGCGGTGCCGACGGGCGGGATCGCGGTCGCCGTGATGCTGAGCGTGCGCAACGCCCTCGCCGCCGCAACTTCCGCTGCCACTGCGTCGCTGAGTGGGAGTGGCGAGGATGACTCGGCGGCCTCGCACGGGCACTCGCACGCCGGCGGAGCGGGGGACATCGAATCCGCAGCGGCGGCCCCCGACAGCCACGGCCACAGCCACGACGGAGACGCACACCACGGGCACAGCCACTTCGAGGTCACGCAATACGACGCGTCAACGGGCAAGCAGGTCATCCTGTGGACGATGGTCTGCATTGCTGCTGCATCCGTCGTCACGAAGGAGCTGTTGTTTCGCTGGACACGTCGGGTTGGCAAACGTGCTGGTTCGCGTGTCGTCATCGCGAATGCCTATCATCACCGCGCAGACGCCTGGAGTGGCGGGGTGGCGTTGATTGGTGTGGCCGGGCAGGTGGTCGGAATCCCTGGCATTGATGGCGTCGCCGGCCTGGCCGTCTCCCTTTCCATCTGCAAGATCGGTTACGGTCTCTTCCGCGATGCGGTGCTGGAGTTCTTCGATTACCAAAACGCCGATGAAGTCAGCGCGATTCGGGAGCAACTGCAGGACTTCAGCCTCCGCATTGGACACGGAAAGCGCGTGGTGCCGGCAAAGGCTGCGATGAAGGAGAACCAAGCTGATGCTGCGAAGGCTGCGCAGACGTCGTTGTCACGGTCTGCGTCAACGTCGTCCTCGGTCGCCTCGGTGGCCACTTCGGATGACCCCAACGCGGTCGCTCGAAAGAAGATCCTCTTCATGAACGTCTTTCTCGTCCGCCACGGCCACAAATATGCGCTTCACGTCACCCTGCTGGTGTACGAGTCTGTCCAGGCGACGCAGATCCGCGAGGCGACGGACCTGCTGACGGCCCTCGCGCGAGGTAGCCTGCCCGTGCAGGACACCTTCACGACGATCCTGGTGTGCAGCAACCACACAGAGCCGCGGGAGGAGTACCTTGGCAGCGACGAACACGCGGACGAAGAAGAAGAGGGAGACGGCGACAAGCCCGATCGCGCTGCAGCAGCAGCAGAGAAGGCACAGGATCACTCGCACAGTGCGGAGAAGGAAGGAGACAGCGCGGATGAGCTGCACACGGCCGCAACGGGCAACATCGTCAACCCGTCGCTGGAGCGCTGCATCGCGTCTCTGGAGGAGTTCCACACCTTCTCCGCGCGCATTCGCTACAACTGGGAGGCCCGCACGATCACGGCGCCTTCGTCTGCCTCGTCCGAGTGCGACCGCGACATCGCCTCCGTGGCGGAGATTTTCCGCTGCCGGCTCATCAACAATAGTGCGGCTTGTGGCAGTGGCGCGGCAGGGGAAGCGGAGTGTGCGCACGGCCACGCGCATCAGACGCATTCGGCGCAGGAATAGGAGAAACAGAAAATATATCATCAACGTAAAAGGGACTATTTTTAAGGGAAACATATATACGAAGTAGAAAAGCGGAAGGTATTATTTGTGGGCTTGTGTTGTCGTCTCGGCTTCTCATGTTTTTCTCCCATTTTCTCGGTGAAGATATTTACAAACGGCAACGGTTGCGGTGAGCGTGCGGAAATAAGCAAAGCACAACATCTTCATGTGAACCTTTGTGAATATAGAAGACATAGACGACGATGAAAAACTGGCAGTGCTGCTAGCTACCTAAAAAAAAAAAAGGTGAAGCTGCCAGAGGAAGATGAGACGGCAGCAAAACGGTGATCTGTGTTTCCCTCGTTTCAATGTTGCCTTTGCACTGTTCTCCCCGCTAAGAAAGAAGAGCGAAAATATATGTTTTTAAACCCGCTGAAGTCAGCACCGCTCACGAACGACGTGCACGCTGACTGCTATGTTGCACTTTATTACTATTATTATTATCTCGTTTTACGGTTTGTTTTGGGGGGATTCGGTCCGCAAATGATTCAGAAAGAGGAAGGAAAACAGCTGCCCGTCCATCTAAGCCCCGTTTGTTTTGAGTACGTGAAAGAAGAAGGGTTCATGCAGTCTCGATCATCTACGGATACCTTCACCGCCGCTGCCTGACAAGCTGACGTACAATAAACCTCTTCCTACGGCATTTCAATCAATCTGGTTTTCCAGACTCCTCGCTGCTACCACGCTGCTGCACAGCTCACTACTGACATCCTGTATTTTCCCCCGCCCTTGCTTTTATTGCTTCCTCAACGTCTCTTCTGCGTATGCGCGTGTTTGCGCTGAGCTTCTTTTTTTTGTTCTTGTTGCGCTTCTGCCGTAGCTGTCCCGCGTACTTTCCGAGCATCTTCCTTTCTCCTTTCTCGAGGGGGACGTCGCCAAACCTGAAAGAATGGACGACGACTTCGACGACTTCTTCAACGAGGGCTTCGAAGAGGAGGCGCACGCCGACGTCCCGTTTGCGCACCCGCCCGTCCAACTTGGCAGCGCCGCCGCCGCGGAATTTGGTGACGTTGCCGGACTCGACGACGGCACGCAGATCGGCTCCTCTGCTGCCATAAATCTAGACGGCGATGAAGTGCCCCTCCCCATCGCCAACGTGCAGGAGTACCTGCCGAACGTCTCGCCGGATGCATTCCCGGTCGTTGTCGCGGTTCAAGCGCAGGCAAGCATCTCCGTTGGCATCGACCTCGCCCAACTCAGCTGCGCCACGCGCAACGTGGAGTACATGCCGAACAACCGCATCCCCTCCGCCACGATGCGACTGCACGAGCCGACGGCGGTCGTCATGGTGCACAACTCCGGCGCGCTGAACATCATCGGCGCCGCCAGCGTGAGCGAGGCGCGGCAGGCCGCCGAACTCGCCGCTCGCGTGATTCGCAAGGCCCTCAATTTGGACTTCACCTCGCTGAAGTTTCGTGTGCGGTCTATCACCGCTCGTTTCAACGTGTGCAGCCCGGTTCGCCTGAACGAGCTCGCGCGCTACCAGGTGGATCCGGCCACGTCGGTGGGCGTCGCGGTGGTGCAGGGCAGCTACGAGCCGGAGCGGTTCAACGGCTGCGTGCTGCGCTTTTTAGGCAAGTCGACCCGTGGAGACAATCAATGGAGTGTGAGCTGCAGCGTCTTTGTGACGGGCAAGGTGCAGCTGATGGGAGCGCGGAGTATGGATGAGCTGCGCTTTGCTTTCCACGCCTTTGTGCCGGTCGTGGCGCAGTACCTCGGCACCACCAATACAGCAGCTTCATAGAGAAAGAAGGAGACCACGTTGGGGAGGGGGGGGTGGCCACACACACACACCGAGCAACAATGGGTAAGAAATGAGAAGAAAGCGAAGATGCAGTTTTCTTTTCTTTTCCTGCTGTTGTTTCCACGGTCGTGAGGTCCGCGGTAGCTGTTGAAGCCGCTATCCGGGTTTGCACGCTGCTTTTGGAGGCATCTGTTGGTGTTGAATTCGTTGTTCTTGTTGTTGTTTACACTTCTCTATAGATGAAGCAGAAGACACGCCACACCATATCCCCTTCAGAATTACTGTCACGCAAAAGACCTCAAAACTGTTCCATTGCGCCATTATCGAAACGCACATCATGAAAGTATTTTCGATTCTTTCCCTCCCTTGCCTGTTCACGTTGCTGATGTTTTTCCTTTGAAGTGGAGATCTCAACTTCTCCTCCTCCTTCTTTTTCCCCTCCTTTTTCTATTAAACGGCATCTGTTCTTGCGTATGCCCTCTTTTGCAAAACAACGAAGATTGATGCTCTGTGTGTGTGTGTGTGTTTGTTCTGATTAAATCTTTCTCTTTTCATATATTTTCTTTTTTCTCTGCTTCCTTCCTATCCGTTGTGTGCACCCCCGGTCCCTCCCTCGTACGCACACTCAACAATACCCAAAAAAAAAGTACTATAAGCAGCATATAAAACATGTCAGACTGGGAAGCGATTGCGAAGGAGGCGGAGGCCGTGCTCGCGAAGCCGGACATCAAGGGGTGCCACGACATCCTGCTCAAGGCCTACGTCGGTGGCAACCACCACCCGGAGATCCTCTGGCGTCTGGCGCGCTCCTACTACGAGATGGCGAAGGAGACAACGGACCCCGCGGTGAGTGAGCCGTACCTGAAGCAGGGCATGGAGCTGTGCAAGCAGTCGGTGGACGCCGACCAGAACAACTTTGCCTCCCACAAGTGGCTCGGTATCCTCATCTCCGAGCAGAAGGTGAGCACCAAGGAGAAGATCGCGAACGCGTACATCATCCGCGACGAGTTCAAGCGGGCGATCGAGCTGAGCCCGCAGGATGCGACCTCGCTGCACTGTATGGGCAACTGGTGCTTCAGCATTATGAAGATCGGCTGGCTGGAGCGCAAGGCGGCGGCGCTGGTGCTCGGCGAGCCGCCGAGCTCCTCGTGGGAGGAGTGCCTCGGCTACCTGCTCCGCTCTGCGGAGGCGGGTGACACCATTCACAACGCGACGATGATCGCCGACGCGTACATGCAGCAAGGCAAGAAGAGCGAGGCCCGCACGTGGTACCAGAAGGCGATTGACATGCCAGCTGTCACGCAACTGCAGAAGCGCAATCACGAAGCCGCGGAGGCCAAACTGAAGAAAGTGTAACGACGGACACGCAAGAGCAGTGTGACGAAACGAGGGAGTCCTTCATTCTCTTGGGCATACAATGTGCTCACGGACGTGCGCTGCTTGATATAAAGGAGGCACAGAGTACCTTAGGCAGAAAGCAGCAGAGGAAACGGGGTAGAGCACGGGGTCCATGCTTACCGGAAGAAGACACGATGGCCGATCTGACTTTCCCTCCCTTCCTCCTCCTCCGGGGATACATAACAGCCCGATTTAAGCGGTGCAATACGCCTGCACTCTCACGCCCCACTTCCGTCTCTCTCGCTTTCTGACGAAGTCCTTTTGTTGTGGTTCTGGTGTTCGCCTCGCGCATAATATGTATGCGAGAAGTTCATATCGTCGCTGGCACGCCCTTTGCTTTTCTTGCCTTTCTTTTCTCTCATCAGTTTTCTTTTCCGACTCGCGGAGCTCGATACGCTTTCCGCATCCTCCTGAATCCATTCTGTTTTTCCATCTTCTCCTGTCATCTCTATGTTGCGTTCTCTCTCCTCCGTCCTGCTCCATGTGTGCTCGCAGAAGCCTTCTATAGCATCACTAACGCGTCAGCCTAGCCTTTTCGCGGGACTTCTTCAGCAGCAGTACAAAGATGTCATTCTGACCGCGTCGTCACACGCTTTTTCACTGGCTGTGTCAACGGCTGTGTGTGTGTGTATGCGTGCAGCAATATGAGCCCATGTGAAAAAGGGGGTTCAAAGCAAATATAAAGGGCGAGTGATCTAGTTAAGCGCGCGCGGCAAGAGAGTTATGGCGGGAGAATCACGAGACAACGGCAGACCAAAGAAGTATTTGTTTGTACGGTTTTTTCTGTTTGTTTGTTTTACATTATAAACAGAAACACACCGATGGGGCGGAGTGAAGAAAAAAGAGAAATGCTGAAGAAAACGTATAAACAGAAAACCGATGTGTGCGCCTCTTGAAGCAAATTAGTGGTGCATTTCTACGCGATGGGGACATGTGTTGCTGCACAATGGGGATAGTGGGGAGGGCACTCTTCAACATTGCGTGTAGTCCTCCGTTGTGTTCGTTTGTGTAGATATAGATATATATATTGAGAGCCCTGCGTACTTTCTATCGGCTTTTCAGCTCCGTGTGTTGGACCTGTAAGAAAAATGGCACAAGTAAACAGCGGACACGCGCAGTTTCTTCCCCTTTCAACATCGGTTTTGTAGGTTGTGCTTCTTCTCCCACCCTCCCTCCCTCTACTTCCTTTTGTTGATTGCTGTATGCTGCCTCACCACCACCACCTCGTTTGCAAAAGTAGCTGTATCATTCAGCATCTGAAACTGCACACATCAGCTCACACAGGCGCGGCGGGGCGTAGTAACAACTCGTGTGTGTGTCACGCAGTTCCGAAGCAGCCGTTTGCAGTCGTCTTCGAGAAGTGTTGTTCGTCTCTCCTCCCTTTTAAGCAAGAAGAAAGTAGAAGCAAAAGCCCATCGTCTCCAGACGCACGCACCCACGCGCACTTCAAAACTTGACAGCGTGCGTACATTAGGAAAAATTTGTTCTTGTAACACTTGAAATTATCTTTTTTTTTCGGCTTACCTCTTTAGCAGCTGGTGGAACTTTCCCCAGACAGCACGCGGCTACAACTTGGAACTTGCTGTGTTTCTCTGCGTTGCCACTCGCCCTGCCGATCATTTTTATCTTCCGTCTGCGCTCTCTTAATACTACTATTGTTATTATACGCTTGGTATAGAGAGAGAGCCGACCGATCTCTTTCATCCACTTAGCGTGTGTGTCTGTGTGTACGTGTTTCTGACGTTGTTTACGAACTCGTCTGAAAGGAACCCATCACGGTCTCCAATGACGGACAGCGTGGAAAAACACGAAGCAGTCGCAGCCTTCGAAGAGAAGTCGGCCATCGGCAGCACCGAGCCGAAGCCCACCCCCACGTCCACCACAATGGGCTACGTAAAGTGCTCCCTGTGCAACCAGATCGTCGATGATGAGGTGACGCACGTGGCAACGGAGCACCGACACCTCCAGCACATCTACACGATGCTCCGCGTACCCCTTGCCCCACCCTCAAAAAGAAGGTCAGACGATGCGGATCTGCACGCCATCGGCGTCTTTGCCATGTCAGCGTCGCAGAATGCGGATCGTGGGGCGGAGGCTTTTCAGGTAATGCAGCGTGCGCAGATGCAGCTTCAACGCTTGACGGACGGAATACAAAGCAGCCACGGATGCGTGTACGCCTTTGGCAGCGTCGTGTCGATGGGTTCGTGGGACGGCGTGGGAGATGGCGACTTCGCCTTTATCGAACCGACGTGGTTCTACACCCCTCCGCGGAGTGGGCAAACCGTCATTGTCGAGGCGAGTGAGGACGCGGGCGAGGAAGAGACGGATGACCGACAGGCGGACGGAGACGCAGCGGGGGTTCCAGTAATTGAAGATGAGGTCAGTGATAGCATCACGGACGCTGGCGCCGCTACGACGGATGCGGCACTGGCAATCCCTGTGGAACAGGTGGCCCCCAATAATCTCAGCGGGCAAGTACTGTCCCCTGAGCGGGAGAAGGGAATTATCCGCAGCTTGACCGCCCGCCTGCGTGACGCCGGCTTCCGTTTTGAGGAGTTAGACCCCGTCCTGCACACCCGCATCCCCGTAGTGCGGCGCAAGCGGCCGACGCACGAGCCGCTGAAACTGCGAGCCATGCGTCAAGACCACCTCATCCGTGTCAGCTTTGAACGCTTCAACAGCGAAGAGGAATTTTGCCGTGGCCGCCTGCACACGCTGCTCTCCACGTACAACGCACGAGTGGTGCAGGACGACGGTTGGAGCAAGCGCGGGCGTCAGCTTGTCCTGGCCGTACCGGACGGCTGCGACGCGGTGCACTTGATGAGTCGGCGCGAGCGCATCCCGGGGGTGCGGAAGGAGTGGCTGCAGCAGCGTCGCACGCCGGAGATCTTCGCCGTCGACTTCGACCTGTCCTGCCGCTTTCACGGTATTCGCAACAGCTGGCTGCTGCGGCGGTACATGGAGCAGGACGAGGTGTTTCGCGTAGGCAACGTGTTTCTGAAGAAGTGGAGTAAGGCGTGCGGCATCAACAACTCACGTGTCGGCTTCCTGACCTCCTACGCCGTCTCGGTCCTGTGGGTGTACTTTCTGCTACGCCGCGGGGCGGCTGCCTTTGTGGCCCCGGCCGATGTTCCAATCCTGCCCGACCCGGAGAAACAGATGGAGGTGCCGTACATGCCGCTGTGGCCGGCGCTGGGCGACGCTGACGCCGACGCGGCACGCACCATCCGCCTCGGTGCTCTCCTGCGCGACTTTTTCTACTTTTACGGCGAAGAGTTTGACTGGGCAACCCAGGTGGTGTCGATCCGCCAGCCGTGCCGGGGCAGCGCGGAGGTGCGCACCAAGCGGGACTTAAACTGGCTCTTCGATGACACCCTCAGCCTGCTGCTGCGCGACCGCTGCTATCACATCTTCTCGATTGAGGACGTGTATGAGGACGACTTGGATTTGGGCCGCCACCTGACGGAGGACAAGGCGGCGTGGACGCGGCTGCAGTTTCGCCTGGCGTACGCGCGGTGTGGGAAAGGGACGGCGCAGCTGATGTGCCTGCTCGACGTGCCGCGGAAGCGCGCTAGCGACGTGCTGCGGGTGCGGCTGTTCGATTACCTCCTCCTCGACGCCGAGGACGCGGACTCCGCTGTTGGCGACCTCGATGAGTGCCTCTGCCGAGAGGACGAGGACTTTCCTGGCGAAGACCCGGTCTACCTTCTCGCCGCCTACGAGCTGGGCAACCGTCTCTCAGACTTATGGTACGACAAGGAGCAAATCGGGCTGGACGTGTCTAACCACCGCAAGCACGACCGCCGCGCGAACCTGTACGTCCCACCGGAGGACCCGACGGCGCACGGGGAGTGGGGGCTGCTCTGCACCGATCCGCTGCCGGCGGGCAGGGGTGCCGGGAGCGATAGAGAAAGAAGTGAGCGACGAGTGCAGCTGCAGCCGCCGCGGGCGTGCGAAACCAGTCAGTCCCTTTTCGGCCAGCTTGTGGCGGTGGGTGCGCCGAAGCGACAGCGCGAGGTTCGCCTCACCAAGGCGCGCAACCAATACTTGGAAGTCAAGCGCGGGTTTGCGAAGCAGAAAGAGGAGGCCAATGCAAGGCAGCAGGCAGCCACGCCCAGTTGCGGGGTGGTGGGCATGGTGATGCCCAAGTCTGCCAAGGAGTCCGCGTTCCCGCACTGCTTCTACACCCTGCAGACGCACCGCCTCTTCAGCTCGTACCACGCGCGTGAAGTCTTTTTGCAGTGCCTCGAAGATGTCGCGTGGGAGGTGACACGTCTGCACGAAGAAGGAGAGGCGGTGCAGCTCGACGCCGGGGCGGGCGCGACGGTGGACGATCGTCACCGTCTCTTCGAGCACTTGATGGGCCGCCTGCGCTTTACGGCGATGGCGCTGCCCGGCTACGAGGAAGTGCTCTTCTTCGCCACCGTCGTGAGCTCCGATTATGTGCAGCTTCAAAGGCATCAAGATGTGACGGTGTTCCTCCCCTCGCCGCTGCTTCTCCACATTGTCGGCGCTGACGGGAGCGCGCCGGACACGCCGATGGTGACGGCGACGGCGAGGGGAGGAACAGCATTAGAAGCAGCAACGGGAGCGGCGGCGCCCTCCGCTCTGCCCCACTTCCCGGCAGCTCGCCCAGCGCAGCGGGATGGCAAGGAAGCGAAGAAGGATAGTGCGCGGTTTGGTGCGAAGCCTGTTGTGGCCGTCCCGCCGCCCTTGAAGATGAATCCGGCGGCGAAGAAAATCGGGACCTGTGGTGAGTGCGGGAAGACAAGAGTGGAGATATTCCCCTCCAACCTCCCCGAGCGTGATGCCGGCTTTTACTGCGCCAAATGCTGGAGTCGCTATTGAATAGCAAGGAGTAGTGTGTGTGCGGCCGTTTTTTTTTTAATCAGTTTCTTCTGTTTTTGCCGTGCCTTTCTCGAGCCTCATAGTTTCTATTGAGAGGCAGTTTTCAAGCTGATGTCTGTTTGCTTCGCACATCTCGTTAGCCCTTTACATCGGACACGCCCATGTGATTGATTACAGTGCTTTTTAATTTTCCCTCTCTCTATAGCTAGCGTGCGCTTCCACAGCGTGCCACACGGTGGTTTGTCATGAATGAAGGTCCATCTAGCTGACCCATTGAACTTACCTGTCGGTACGGAGAGCATCTGTTTGACAGACGTCGGTGCTGGGTTGGTCGTGTTTCTCCTCTTCGTTGCTCGACGCGTTCACTACGCGTCATGGACTTCAAAAAGAAGCGTCTCCTTTTGGTGCACAACTGAATCGCCTTTCCTTCTCGCCTCTTCCGTCTCCCGCTGCTACCTTTCACCACCACCTCCGCCACCCCCGAACACCTACAGTGATTGCTGTATCTTTTATTTCCTCTCCTTTTATCTTGCTTTGTGATTCCCTTTTTTTCTCTACTGTTTCTGCTTTTCAAATACACACGCTGATCTTCTGCCGCGTATTAAAGAAAGAAAGGAAAAAGAAATTCCCTTGCTCACTTTCTTCGCTTTTATCTTATCTTTCTGTTGTCTGTGCCCTGCTGACGTATCTCGCTTCCTCTGTCTCTCTCGCACAGCTTCCTCTTGATCTCAGAAAAGAAAACCCGACCGCTTCAAAAATGATGCGCCGCAACTCGTTCATGTTCTTGGTGATTGTGGCGGCGCTGCTCGCGCTGACCTACAGTCCGTCCGCCCTCGCCAACGGCCTCTACGGCTTCATCGACGAGGTCGCGGCGGATCGTTACAAGAAGTTCAAGAAGGACAACGGCAAAGCCTTCGGTGAGAGCGCCGTTGAAGGAAAACGCTTCAACAACTTCAAGGCAAACCTTCGGTCAACGGTGTTTCTCAACGCGCATAACCCGCACGCGCACTTCGACGTCTCCGGCAAGTTCGCTGACATGACTCCGGAGGAGTTCGCGCAGCAGTACCTCAACGCTGACTATTACGACCGCCAGCTGCCGGCACATCGGGCGCGCGCCAAAGTTTTCGAAGGCGCACGCGGATCGTCGTCGCAGTCAGACTGGCGTGAGAAGGGAGCCGTGACGCCGGTGAAGAACCAAGGCCAGTGCGGCTCCTGCTGGGCCTTCTCCGCCATCGGCAACATCGAGGGCCAGTGGGCGGCGGCGGGGCACCCCCTGACGGCGCTGTCGGAGCAGATGCTCGTCTCGTGCGACAACGTCGACGAGGCGTGCAACGGCGGGATTATGGATCAGGCGTGGGATTGGATTATCGCCAACAACAGCGGGAATGTCATGACGGAGGAGAGCTACCCCTACGCCTCCGGCTCCGGCATGGTGCCTTCGTGCAGCTCCACCGGTAAAGTCGGCGCCACCATCAGCAGCCACGTCGCCATCGCACAAGACGAGGCGGCCATCGCGGCGTGGCTCGAGCAGCACGGTCCCATCTCCATCGCGGTGGACGCCTCCACCTGGCAGTTCTACTTTGGCGGTGTCGTGTCGAACTGCTTCTCCCAGCAGCTGAACCACGGCGTGCTGCTCGTCGGCCACAACGACAGCGCCGATCCGCCGTACTGGATCGTGAAGAACTCGTGGGGGACGTCGTGGGGCGAGAAGGGCTACATTCGGCTGGAGAAGGGCTCGAACCAGTGCATGATGAAGGAGTACGCCATGTCGGCGCAGGTGAGCGGACCGACTACACCGCGCCCGCCCATCGCGTCCGCTGCGCCCGCGCCCGCCCAGGCCACAAACGGCAAGGTCATCATCCAGCGCAAGTGCCACAACAGCGGGTGCACGCTGCTGTGCAGCAACGTCACGTTCCCGACCGGTGTGTGCGTGCCGTCGAAGAAGAATGGCGGCTCGGCAATCCTGTCGTGCAGCGGGACGGAGGTGTCGGAGCAGGTGTTCACCTCCAACGACTGCTCAGGCACCGCGCACGTCGCGAGCATGCCGGTGGGTAAGTGCATCCACAGCTACCTCAGCTACCTTGAGAACATCTGCAGCGACGCCGTGGCCGCCACCACCGCCGTGGATACGAAGAACGACGCTGTCCTGGAGGAGCTAGTGCGACCGCACATCCTTGGCCAGCCGCGCACGCCACGCCGTGCTCACTAGAGCCGAAGTGCTTCCTTGGAAATTGAAGAAAAAACTATATTTCCTTTCTGATGTACCGTCTTCCACAAAGCGTGTGCGTTTACGCTGCGTTGTCCTATACACTCTGTCCAGCGGAAGTTCGTTTCGTTTTGATGACTCCACACGTTTCGGTTCCCCTGCCTTTCTTATCTCTTTTCGCGAACGCCATTTTCTGGTTTCTACGTTTCTCTTTCCTCTTTTTACCATGAGTGCTTCGTCACGCTACGTATATAAACGGAGAAAAAAAAATGCTTTGACGAACCCACACCAGCACCTCTAAGTCCCCAGTGATCGTCTGCCTTTGCTCTGGTATTGCTATCTATTCCTACCATAAACGTACTATCTCGTCTTTCCGGGTTGTACACGTGCTTTTTGTTTTGTTTTGTGCGCGACTATTAAAAGTATGACCCTTTTTGTGCGTGGGTGGGGGTGGAGGAGACTTCGCAGGTCTGCGTCGCACGCGTGGGGTCAGAGCAGTGAGCACCTGTCCCGTGTGAACGGCCGCCGTATCGATCTTCAACTGCGACTTGTGTAGGTCTCCTCGCACCTGGAAAAAAACAAAAAGGTATGTACCTTCAGTGTGTGTTGTCTCGTCTGCAAAACTGTATAAAAAAGGGAAAGGATTACAATTATTATGATGAGAAAGCACACCACGTTCCGCCAGCGTGGGCGTGCCAGCTTGACGACACGCGTCTGGCGCACTTCGCTGCGTCGGAGCGAGAACCCACCTCCCAATCGCCAACCTCGTCTTTCCTCGGGCGACAAGGCTTTTGTGGCTTCCATGTTACGTGTATTTTGTTCGAGCCTTCAAAGAGGTGCACTGAACATCAGAAATGGCCGACGCAGCTGCGCAAACGAGTCTCTACTACCCATTGTTCCTCTCCCCGCGGCCTTCTCGGCCCCGCCTTTCCGCCTCTGTGTTTTCTTTTTGTTTTCCCCTTTTCCCGCGCCCGCGCCGCCGGCCAGGGCGCGCCTCGTCCCCGCCCGCCGGCGGGGGGGGCCCGGCCCCCCGGCGGTGGGCGAAGACGGCGAGCCCCGGCAAAGGGAACAGAGGGGGGAGAGAGCACGCCGCCGAGCCGCGGCCAAAACCGCCCGCGAGGGAGCGCAAAGGCGCACACGCCCCCCGCGCAACACGACGGCGCCAAGTCGAGCAAAGCCAATCGCCCACCAGTATTCCCTTTTGTGTGTGGTTTGTTGTTGCAACGGTTGACTTTGAGCGCGAGGAAGCGGAATCGAAAAGGAGAAAACTCAGGCAAATAGGGCTCTGACCAGAAGACGTAGAATGCACCAGAGCAGCGCCGGCAATACCTGAAACGACTCCACTGGGTGCACCACCATCCACGCGACGGCGATCAGCGACAGCAAGCTACTGGAGAAGCCCAGGTAGCAATTTACTACGCGATAGCGACCCACCGGCAGCACGGGAGCAGCAGCGGCGCAGCAGCAGAGAAGAACAAGCAGCTCTCCCTCCACCACAAAGATCCGCACATCCACGGTCGACGCGCTGTCAAAGGTGTGTGACACAAGCGCATTGCGGACAGTGAAAAACGGATGCAGCTGGATCAAATACAAGGCCGCGTAGAGCATCCCAGGCAGGCGCTGCGTGTGCCAGTCCCCCGCCTCTGCAGGGACCTTTGTGACCACAAAATCAGCGCGGAAATGAACTTCCACGGCGTCCGCATCATAGTTCGGTGACTCGACGTCCTCTGCTGCTGCAGGGGTCACCCTTCGGTCCTCTTGCTTCGCCTGCGTCCGGCGAAAGTCTGGAACGAAGAGGAACAGCGCCACCCACGCCATCGCGCGCGCCGTGGGGCTGACGCCCATCGAGAGAAACACGAGATAAAGGCTAACGAGCAGCACAGGAAGGAGCACAGCAGCTGTCTGTCGCCGACGCGGCGTCGCAAAGACCCGTCGGCATCTGCCCACTCTCGCCTTGATGTAGCGCGCCACACTGCCCATCACCACGAGCGCCATCCCGGCGTTGATCCCCACCGTGACGGGCCCGACGGAGGTTAGCACAAAGAAAAGGGTTAAAACGACGAACTGCAGGGGTGCAACGACGCTGGCTGATGTGTGGCGTAGCTGCGGATACGTCTCCCACTGCCAGGGATACGTAGCACCGTACGAAGCCCGCTGACTGGTGCCCAGAAGGTACAGCTCGGTCAGCGTCGCGTACACGGAGGTGCAGCCGTAAAAGAATACAAGAAAAACTGGCACGGAGAACTCACTCGACACGATGCGGTGCAGCAGGGACGCTAAAGGACGCACCGTCCCGCGTTTCATAGGCCACCACTGCAACAGCATCTCCGCTGACTGTCCAACTTGCGGCCACAGCCCGCCGAGGAGCACGTAACCGTAGAGGGACGACACCGCCCACGGCCACATATGCTGCTGCCACAGCAATTGACCGACAAGGCTGACGCGCGACACGATGCCTGGTGGCAGGGGCAGCTGCGCACGTGCGTTGGCGTTCGCCGCATCAACCTCCTCCGCCTCCGCAGGCATCGCGGTATCATTGGCTTGGATAAAAGAGGCAGAGAGAAGCTGCAGGGCACCCAGTGTGACGGCGCACGGGTCCATCAAGATCCCGTCATGTGAAGTGGTGTGCGTGCAGACGGCGCGGTCGAGGGTGTTGAAGAACGCGACGGCGTACCGGCTCGACCATCGGGAGGGGTAGACGGTGGCCGGCTCGATTTGCAGATCCATCTCCCCCGACGTGATGGAAATGAGATGCGGGACGCGGCTCTGGCGGTGTCGGTGGCGGAGGCAGTCATCTGTCAATGTGCTACACGCTTTCACTACTGTTGCACTGGAAAGCCGCACCGGCGACGCAGCACCAGAAACAGCAGCGGCAGGGGTGGCGGCCTTTTCAGCGTGCTTGAGCTCCCCCGCTGAAGAAGGCTGCTCCGCCACGGTGAGGGCGCGGTACACATCCGCCATCGGCGCGTCCAACAGCAGCGGAGGAAATAGATGCGGCGAATTGAAGGTGACGATGCCGCCGAGGTCAACCGACGGATCCAGCAGCTGCGCCGCCAGCCGGGCCACCACACCGCCCATGGAATGCGCCACAAGCCACACGCGATGACGGACACCATCGTCGTCCACCGCACCACGCACGGCCGCTTCGACGACGTCCGCCGTGTAGTCGGCCTGCAGCCCCACCAAACGACCACGATGCACGTTCGCCTGCTCCGCCCACTGAAGGGCGTAGGTGGTGATGCTCGCCCCCAACAAATTACTGGCGTGCTGCACCGCGCACGTCCAATACTCTCCTTGAGTGTGGCTCCCCGCGTTGCCGTGTAGGAAGAAGATGTGTAGGTGAACAAGAGGGGTCATGAAAGGTGCTGGTGCAGCAGAGGTGGTGGCAACAGGGCCGAACAGCGCCGACCACAGGCACTCCGTTTTTTGCAGGTTGTAGTTAGTGAGGGCGGCGTCGGTGCTTCCTCCTGTGCGGGTAAGGGATGCATTCAAGTTCTTCAGAAACGGTCCGTCGCGCACCTGGAAGGCTGGCAGGTGCAGCTCCGAAGTCGCCACAGCGGGGACTGGGAGCCCGCTCGCATTCCACAGAAGTTCGCTGTACTGGGTGAGCGCGTCAAAATCTTTCCTGGGTGGGCGATAGCGCGAGCGAATGTCAACGATGTAGCACGCTGTAGAAAACAACGTCACGGCGCAGATGCACTGAAAGAGAAGGGCGAGAAGACGGCGGACACCTTGGTGTCCAGCATATCGATAAAGGGTAGTTCTCGGCATCGATGAGAGGAAGCTGCACAGCTCCTCGTAAAGAGGGAAGAAGAATGAAAAGGGAAAACCTAGAACAAAGGAAGAGGTCAAGGAAACAGACAACAGTGGCGCTGAACCTGTCTTGGCCAGCTTCGAAAAACAACAGCGAAGAGATGCTGCAGGGAAAAAATGCAGCAACAGTTAAAATCGAGAGAGAAATAAGGAGAGGGAGAGAGAGAGATGAAAGAAGAGAAGAAAAGCAATGGAAAACACAGATGGCTTCGCTCAAAACCGTAAAGACACCACATCCGGCAGAACTCACGGAGCGACGAATGCTTGGCGGTTCATTTTACGTTGAACTCACCGCGCTTGCTCATTCGTTTCCGGCAAGATCTCTGTTTGTGCGCCAATGTATCCGCAGAAGACGCGTTGCGAGAAAACGGAGTAACAAACTCCCATCTGATCCCTTTTCCTTTCTCTGCAGGTTAGAAAAGGCATCGCCAAGCGTATTGAAGTTAAGCCGATGTTTTTAAAAACATGGTAATGGACGAGAATTGATGTATCGTAACATGGCTTATAAAACATAAAGGAAATAATGCATGTTCCTTCGACATCATAAATAAAAAGAAAGCTACAACTTTAAAATCAGTGCGAAATTAAAAGAGAGAGGAAGAGGAAGAAGAAAAAAAATGAATGCCGACTCATTTGATTCGTGCCTTCCAAACAATGGTGGGTCCTTCCTCCGTTTCCACAGTCTTCCTCAGCGTTTGCCACATCAATCAGTTGGTCGAGTTTCTTTTTTCGAATATGGCTCTACTTCCCACGACAACGTATGCGTTTTCTTTCCGTAATGAAGCCGTTTCTGTGAAGGCACACCGCATGTCGGGTGGGAACGGGGTATTCAATCATTTGTTGGTGTCAGAATAGGTGACGTAGAGAAACTTGTCGGTATCCTTGTACCCCTCGTAGACCTCCATGATCGGTTCGTGGACGTTCGTGATGGTGTCACCACGCACGAAGATGAAAATGGGCGAGCTCACCTCCTGTGCAATCCGCTCCTTCAGCAGCTCCATCACCTTCCCCACTGTGATCTCCTGCGACACGAAGAACTTTCGCTGATTGATGGCTGGCATGCTCGACCCCTCCTTCTTTTCGCAGATGATTGGCACCTTCTCGAGCCACAGCGCCTTCTCCGCCTCCTGCATCCGCTCCTTGTGCGTGTAGGACAGCTTGTACTGCCCGAGCTGGGGGGTGAGCGGGGGAATCTCGTTCGAGTACGACACATACAGCAAACCGTCCTCGGCATCCTTGTAGGAGTCGTAGAGGTCGCTGATTGAGATGGAGCACGCCGTCAAGACGCTGTCGCCGATGAAGAGGTGAATTCGCTGGTCCAATTCGGAGGCAACGCGCTTGCTCAGCGCCGCCGCCACCGTGCCAACGGTCATGGTCGGCGCCACGACAAACTTCTTGTTGGCCAGATCAGCGACCTGGCTGCCTTCGCGCTTCTCGCAGATGATAGGGATCTTGCCCATCGCCGCCGCCTCCGCCGCCTCCTGCTTGCGCTCCACGACGTCATGCGTCAGCCTGTACGCGCCGACGCGCGCCGCGGTCTCCGGTGCGGTGTTGTCGTACGTCACGTACAACAGACCGTCCTTCTCCTTGTACGAGTCGTACAGCTGCTGCATCGATATTTCGCTCGCCGTCAGCACGCGTTCGCCGAGGAAGAGGTAAAACGGTTCCGTCACGTGTGCCGCAATGCGCTCCTTGATGAGAACGGAGAAGTAGCCCACTTTCATGGTCGCGTCCACCACGTACTTCTTCTGGTCCAGGTCCGTCAACGAACTCCCCTCGGCCTTCTCGCAGATGATCGGAATCTTTCCTTGCGCGAGGGCCTCCTGCGCCTCGCTCGCGCGCTCCAGGGGGGAGTGCGAGCTCTTGAAGGACCCCATCTGCACCGCGTCGCTTGTAGTGCTGTTTCCGTAGTACACGTAGAGGAAGTTGTCGGTGTCCTTGTAGGCACGGTACAGATCCTTCATCGACGTCCCACTTGCCTTGAGTACCTCGTTTGCGATGAAGAGGTAGAAGGGCTCTTCCACCTCCTCTGCAATGCGCTTCCGCAACAGTTCCGTGAAGGTGCCAACCGTCATGGTCGGCGAGACTAAAAACTTTTTGCCCGTCAGGTCCGGCAGGGTGCAATCGCCGCGCCTCTCGCAGATGAGGGGGATTTTGCCTTTCGCCAACCCTTCCGCCGCATCAACGGCTCTCTCGGCTTCGGAGCGGACGTCCTTGAAGGACGTCATGCTGACGCTGGCAGACGAACCGCGGCGCATGATTTCCAGAAAAAAAAAAAGATATATTGTCGCTAAAAAAAAAAAGAGCAAGACACCCAATGGTTTTTCTATTGTGGTCTGCTTGACGATGCTTGTCAGATGCGGGCGGTGAAGAAACGGGTTTGCATTCGCCTAACTGAACCTCAAACGCGATGCTCCGTAAGTGTCAAGGGCCAGCGGGAAAAGTCGAAGACAAAACACTTGTGAAAGGCTTTTCTTTTTTTTAACCTGGCAGTTCTTTTTGAATCGAATGAACTACAGAGATGCGCACCGCCCGGCCACAGAGCACAGCGAATAAAAATGAAACGCAGAAAAAGAAGAAAAAAGAGACGAAATAGAAGAAAGAGATAGAAGGCGAAGGTGACGAATGAGATAAACACTTGATCTATGAAAAGAGCGTCAGTACATCCACTCAACGCAGCACGTTTTCTATGGCGCTGCACAAGCAGAAGACCCGACAGAGCAGCCATACAGCTTTTCACCGGCAAGCAGCTGTGCTCATCCTAGCAAACAGCGTCGTACACAGCGTCTATGCAAAAAGGTAACGATCGTCTTCACCACTCCCACAGCATCTTCACGAAAGGAAAAAGAAGAAGTAAAGAAGATGCGGAGGGACACGACAGCTGTTGATGCCTTTTCGTGGTTGTTCTTTAACATTTTGACGTAAAGTCAGCATCCAATTACTGCTGGGTGTTGAGCACAAGAGATAGAGAAGGAAGTGGCATTTGGTAAGTTATAGCAATAATCAATAATCAATACAAAATGGTAGTGAAGTCCTTCAGGCTGCTTCATTCACAGTTCACGAGCAGTTCTTTCTCTTCTTTTAACAAGAAAGAAGAGGTTGAGAAAGCAGAGTGAACACTTCCTTGCGTTCTTCAAAAAAAAAAAGCGCCGAAGCTTCCGCCACGAGAGGTGAGAGGTGTCAAGTCAAGCTGGAAAATACGAATAAGCAAATTGAGATCAAGAGTAAACAAAAGTAAAGAAAAAACGAAGTATTTTAAGCAGGACACGTCAACCATTCAAATCTGTAACAAAAAAAGGGCAAGCAAACTACAAAACGAAAACTCATCAGAACGCGACAGAAGCTTGAACACAAAGGAAAAGGAAAAAAGAAGCAGCGTTATAGCATGATACTTTTCTCCCCCAAAGTTAATTTCTAAACAGTGCTTTCCTTTAGTTTTCTTTTTAACAGCTCCTTCGCGTTCACACTACAGTACAAGCACAGAGAGGGAAAAAAATACGAGGGGTGCGGTGGTAACGATGCACGTCAACTAACCGTACGTATTCTCACCCGAGTACGTGACGTACAGGAAGCCGTCCTCGTCCTTGTATGTATTGTACAAGTCGCTCATGAGCGTGCTGTTGGCGGGCACGCTGTCCGCCACGAAAAGAAAGAGCGCCTTCTCGGCCTCCATCGTGATGCGGCGGCGAATGCTGACCAAGAAGCCGCCGACCGTTGCGTCCGGCGGTACGAGGAACTTGCTCTTGTCGAGGTCCGGCACCGGGGAGTTCTCCACCTTCTCGCAGATCACAAGAATGCGATCTGGGGCACGCTCTCGCACCTTCTCCGCGTCGCGGCGACGTGCGCTCAGCGTGTGCGTCCGCTTGTACGACCCCGCGACCTTGGACATGATCCAGTGCAGAGCTTTTTTCCTTAGCTTTTCTTCTTTCTTGTGGTGTTGCTACGAGGGACTTCTGTGTGGAGAGAAGGTACAGCAGCAAGCAGTGAGGTATATTAGAAGTAGGGTATAAGAAAATGCAAGAGAAAAAAAATGACGCTTTCAAGCTATATATATATATATGTGTGTGTGTGTGTATACGGATTGAGTGAACAGTGCGACTGAAGCGCTGTGGAATGGGCAGAACGAAGCAGCGTTTGCTTGCGGACGACTTGTTTAAAAAAAAAAAGGAAAACTTGTGTAGCTGGGAGCCATACAGAGGAGAATGGAAATTGGTGCGAGAGCCAAAAAAGATGAGGGGATTGAAAGAACGAGGATGTCACGCATTTTACAACAGAGAGAGAGGAGTACGGAAGAGAAAGGCCGCTTCCACTCGAGAAACATCGCCAGTGAGTGCGACGACAAAGCCGACACTTCGCACATCCTCAAAAGAAAAAAATAATAATTGAACGTAATAGCGCCCTGTGCCAAGCTTTGGTTTAAAATAAGAAGACGGATAAAAGCTCTTGCAAGCAGGCCTTTGTCCTTTTCCAAGAGGATTGCTTCACCGACAGACTCCTGCGGTCGGCAACGTCCAGAGGAAAGAAAAAGTGACTACCTGTAGTACATCGGCAAACTCAAGATGTTTCGTTGTTGCTTTAAGAGTGATTACGGGTGAAGGCGCACATACAAACACAAAGTGTGCGGAAACTGTGAAAGACGTTCAAAAATGGGCGAAAAAAACGCCGCGTAACTTCATTTTCCAGGTTCGGCAGGACGGATATTCTTTTGCTTTGTCGCCAGCAAGAGAACGTACGTGGACCTGTGAGGTGTGTTCCTCTTCACTTCCTTCGACTTCAATTCCTCCGGTGCTCACTTCCAAACATCCTCCGACTTCTCCTGCGGGTGAGGCAAGGAGGGCGAGTCGGCCCACTGCGTTTTCTGCGGTCCAACCGGCCGCGGCTCAAAGTTTTGGTACGTTTCGACCTCCTCGCCCTCGTCGCCGAGCAGCGCCGACGCATCCGCGGCTTCCAGCGAAGGCAGCCGCACTCGGCGAAAAACAAAGTTGTGGATGAGCATCCGCACACTCGTGTGGACCACGTCCGGGCTCAAGGTCACGTAGGAGCTCGTCAGGTGGTAGCCCATCTTCTCCGTGTGCTCGATGACCTGCTGCGTGATGGACGTTGTCAGGATGTCCGCCGCGCCGTTCGCCACCTTTGTTGTGGCGAAGAACGCCGCCCTCTCGTTCGTTTGGTAGCACTGCCAATAGGTGGATGAGAGTTGCTGATTCAAGTCTCGTCGGATCATCTGCGTCAGCCTCCGCAGCTGGAAACCGTCGGAGCCGTAGGTGATGGTCATGGCGTGCCGCTTCACGCCCTGGTCGTGCTGCATGTGATCGCACAGTTGCACCACGCACACATCGGGCAACTCCATCGTCTGCGCGGATCCGCTCGCGTCGACCTGGCTGTCGCCTGCGGAGGCGGAGGAGGGAAAGGCGTATGGCATCAAGTCCCACGCATTTAGGTTGCTCACCAACTCCGCACGCAGGCCTTCGTCGTTAACGGGCAGTTGGATGTGGTTGGTGCGCAGAAAGCTCAGCACCTTCTCGAAAACATTTGGGTTTGCGTCGACGAAGACGTCTTCGCTTTCCTCCGTGGGAGAATCCGTGGCGGCGAGAGAGGAAGACGGTGTTTGCTGCGCAGTTGCTGACGAGGATGAGGTGAGCCCCTTAAACATTTTTGCGAAGCTTGTGTCGGGGTAACGAAGGAGGGTGGAGAGCCGAGTCTGGAAGCGTTTTCCACCCACGTTGACCTTCACAATGCGGTTCATCCTTGTTTCTTTTCTTTTCTTCTCTTTCTGTTGTGTTGCTCTTTGACACGCGCGCACTGCAGTTTTCGTGGTCCGGCAGTAGAGGTTGTATCTGTTGGACAGCACGGGTGGCCAGACGGGCATTTATTTTATTCGGTTGAAGAGGGTCAGGGGAGAAGAATGAACACACAGGAAAGATGAAGGCATGAGCAAGGCTGACTTGGGGAAGCGTTTCGCGATTGAGTACTTCATTACTCGTTCGCCCTTTGCCTCCGGTGGCGCTGAGTTTTGTAAGCGAAAAGGCGCTTGTACTTTTTTTCGAAACAGCTTTTCTAGGGAGCTTTGCTTGCGATGAAGCACACGGCTTCACCGTGGAAGAAACGGCACTTTTCTTCTCCGCCATTATTGTGGACGCACACATGTAGAGCAAGCGTGTGAGGAAACAGTAATCGCTCGGCAATTACACCGAAAGCCAAGGATGCTGCAGCAGCGCAGCAGCACTAGGCCGATCACGCGGCTCCCACGCTAAACACGTCGCCACAACCGGCAGCGCCTCTGGACAGCTCTCCGCCAGAGAAGTTTCTTGCAGATATGCAAGCGAGGCGAGGTCCCGCGCTTGGTGCATCGCATCAAGTAATGTCCAAAAGCTGTCCGGTGAGCTGATCGGTGTGTGGTCGCCGCACCACGGATGGGCCTTGCTGTTGCCTGTCAAGAGCTGATAGGCAACGATTCCAAAAGCCCACACATCGTCCTGAGCGGAGTGGGGAAGCGAATCTCCCTGCAGACGCTCAGGGGATGTGTACAGCAGCGTCCCCGGTGAGCCGTCCGGCTCGGCTCCCAGTGGAGCGAGCACCTCCAAATCTCCCAGCGAAACTGTACTGTCTTCCTGAAAGGAGAGCCGGGTGAAGATGTTGCCGAGGCTCACATCACCGTGGACGAAAGCGCATACGCTGTGGAGGTGGTGTAGCGCCGTCAGCACGCAGCGCAGAATTTGCTTCACGCAGAGCTCGTTGAAGCAAGGCAGTGTGGTGCGTCGGTCAAGCAGCGTCCTGAGCGAGGGACCGCAGCGGCTCAGCAGCCACTGGTAATGATGAGGGGTGTCGACGTGCAAGGCGAGGTACTGTACAAAACACGACGCCGAGGCTGTCCCACGCGTGCTCGATTGCAGTTGATTAATGCGGGCAGCGATGGCGTGCACGTCGGTGGTCACGGTGTCCTCCTCCCAGAGATGTACCTCCTTCATCACGACAATATCGTTGTTTTGTGGAGACCAGCGCACGCAGTGCACGCGGCTTCGTGTCTCGGTTTCGTCTCCTGCCTCTCGTACATCCCTGACGAAGCCCTCCGGGTCCTCGTCTACGTCCGTAACATCGCTCAGCGAGAAGGACCGAAACTCGCTCATGCGCAACGGGCCCTGCCGGCAATATCGTGCTGTTGAGCTTTTCTCTCCACAAGCGCAGTAACAAAATGCAGTGGAAGGAAAACGGGATTTAAAGCGCGCCAAGCATCCGTTGAACGGGTGAAGTAGAGGGAGAGAAAGCGATGTGGTTCCTTGCGGTGGACGCTTCGAGGTGGCAGAAGATACCTTCAGCCGATGTACATCATTAAAGAAAGAGAGGCCAGAAAAACAGCAGAGAAACGTTAAAAGCAAAGGTAGTTCGCAGAAAACAAAAGGCTGCGCGAGAGAGCAGCACACAGCAGGGAACGTACCAGCACTCTTCTTCTTAGGTTGTGCAGCGTGGTTTTTGGAGCACTTGGAGTTGGCTTAACTAGTGCGACCACTAGTAGCAAACGGTTGCATTTCACTGTGCCTTCATACAGCAGAGAAGAGTCACGGCAAAAGGCGTGCGATCCTAAGCAGTCCCCTCCACAGCACGTAGAAGATCAAAATACGTTAGTCACACAGCTGGTCATTTCCTCTCAATAAGCTAAGTTGCTTCATTTCGTCCGGCGACGATGTTAGGTCACTTCGTGGCGTTCATCACAAAAAAAAAGAATGCGTATAACTGAAGGGTTGCTTGGTGAACCGTGTCCACCTGTGGTGGGCCCTTCGCTGCAAGCACCCGCCCCTTTATCCTCAACTCCTTGCCGTCTTCACTTCTTCACCTTCGGCTGCTGCATCGGACTGTACGCGGCGATGATCTCCTCCACCGTGATCATTTTCGGCCTCTCCGGCACCTTCTCCTTAATCAGAGCCGCCATGCGGCGCAGCAACTCCTGTTTGCTTTCAATCCCCGCCACCACCGCGCTGCGCGTCTGTGTGTCGAAATCACTCATTTTGATGTAGTGCTCATCCATCGGGGTTTTAACAGCCACCTTGATGCACCCACGGGGCACCATCGGGAACTTGCTGGTGCTCTGACTGCGTGGATAGGAAGCCTTCGGCTCGACGACAACGTCTTTATAGCCTAAAACACGCAACGCGAGCAGCATCTCGTCCATCGAGGGGTTTTCTACCCCCTGCTCCTTTGTAAGTCGGCGGCCTTCGCTTGGAGTCAAGCTGGAGTCGATGTACTGGGGGTAGAGGGTCTGATAGGCTTTCTTGTTGTAGTTGGCCGGCACAGGACGCATAACGGGTCCGCGCTGCTGCTGCTGCATTGATGCCTGCGCCGCTTTCATTAAGATCACTGAGCTACTGTTCAAGACGCAAAACAAAGATACTTAAATTAATATTCTTTTAGATTGCTCGATGAACTCGAGGGGCCTTCACATTCACTTCGTTTGCTTCCAAGGAGCGGTGCAACCAATCCAGACGGGGAGCGTGAAGAAAGAAAAAAGGGTTACGTCGTAGTTAGAGAACAGAGGCAGCAAAGTGAGGATTGTCATGTTTGTAAAAGGCTCTAACTATCAGTAGCACCAAGTAACTCAGCTAAGTCTGGATGTATAAACAACGCTCGCAAGTCACATAATAAAGGAAAATCGTGGCATTGAAGACGTGGCGCAGTTGTTGGCCCCTCTTCTTCTTCTTGCGAACGCGCTTCTTTCCTCTGTAAACTCTCTCGCTTAGAAGCGCCTGCGCGTCTTCTTCGTCTACTTCCTCTGAACGCCGCTCATCTTTGTTAGCTTTATCGTTTTCTTTTCTTATACTTTGAGTTGTGACAACTAAACGCTTCCGAATTAATTCCTTCCGTTGCGCATGCACGCACACACACACACACACATGCACACCAGCACGCACAGTTCGGTGACTGGATCCGAAGATGGCGAATAAACGCACTCACAGCAGCAGTGGCTGCAGTGGAAAAGAGCCGTAGTATAAGTTTGCTCTTGTTTCTAAGCAAGAAGCAATAAGCCCTTTTAACGGTAGACAAAAGAAAAGCATCGATCATGATCCTTCATTCGACTACTTCGGATATGTTGTTATTTTTTTATGCTGTAGCAGGAGTAAAAAGAGCGTCCCTGCTCGTGCTACGCCGCAATGCCGCCTCCTCGGAAGCGGTCGAAAAGCGTCGAAGCGCAGCACGCGTTTCCGCGGAGATGGTCGAGCTGCTGCCGGGCCTCGGCCCCACAATCGCCTCCACATCCTCACGCAGCAACTCCTTCTTCTCAAAAAGTGCGGCGGCGAGTTTGCGCAGCACAGCATCGTGTGCCTTCAGCAACGACTTCACGTACTCGGTGGCCGCCGACACCAGCAGAGCCGCCTCCTCCTCCGCCAGCTTCTGCGCCTTCTCCGAGTGCTTCTGATACATCCGCCCTTCGCTCAGTCGCTGGGGTTCGTACGACAGCAGGCCAACCTGGCGGGACATGCCGAACGCAAGAAACTCGCGAACCGCCGTCTGCGTCGCACGCTGGTAGTCGTCCTGTGCGCCGGTCGTCAGGGAGCTGTGCTGCGTCATCTCCGCCAGCCGCCCGCCCAGCATCACGCAGATGTCCGTGAACAACGAAAACTCCGTCGGCATGTCCAGCACCTCCCGCCCAACCTGCTGCGTAAAACCGCCGGCCGCGCCACGGGGCACGATGGACACCTTCACCACGTCCGGCTGCTCCGGCAGCAGCCACGCCACAAGCGTGTGCCCGCTCTCGTGCAGCGCCGTACGCTGCGCCGCAGCAGCCTGCATTCGGTTGCGGTGCTTCTTCCCTACGAGAACGTCGTCGATGGCGGGAAGCAAATCAACGGCCGTGACGGTGGGTTTGTCGTGGATGGCCGCGCTCAACGCGCCTTCGTTCACGATAGCGGCGATAGTGGCGGGTGACACGCCAGGCGTCAACTCCGCCAGCCTCCTCGACAGCGCCGGCGCATCGTCGCAGGTGATCCGGCTCAGGTAGTGCTGGAAGAGGTCACAGCGGGCCGCCTTGTCAGGCATGGGAATATCCACCTTACGATCAAAGCGTCCCTCACGCAGCAAGGCCTTGTCCAGACTCTCCATGAAGTTGGTGGCGGCAAAGACGACCACAGCCTCACTCGCCTCCAGCCCATCCAACTCCGCCAGCAGCTGGTTGATGGTGCGGTTCTCCTCGCTGCTGAGGCCCAACGCGCCGTTGCCGCTGCTGCGCGAGCCGACCGCGTCGATCTCATCGATGAAGATGACGGACGGCGCTTCTTTTTTGGCCCCCGCGAAGAGCTCCCGCACCCGCTTCGGGCCGGACCCCGCGTACACCTCGATAAAGTCCGCCCCGCTGCAGCTGAAGAAGGGCACGTCCGCCTCGCCTGCCACCGCCTTGGCCAGCAGCGTCTTGCCGGTGCCCGGTTCTCCGGTCAGGATGCACCCCTTCGGTAGCCGCGCCCCAAGCCGCGTGAAGATCTCCGGTGTCTTGAGGAAGTTCACGTACTGCTGCACCTCAGCGAGGGCCTCGGGGACGCCGATGACGTCCTTGAATTTGGTATCCTTTACCGTCACCTTAAAATCCTTCTGCCCCATCGGGTTCATCGCCTGCTGCATGGCCTTCTGCATCTGACCAAAGAAGCCGCCGTCTTTGGGCCCTTTACCGCTGGCCGCCTCCGTGGCGAGGCGCGTGCGGCGGCGCATCACTAGGTAAACGATGAGTCCGATGGGCACCGCCATCATCATCGCCCCACCGATGGCTTGACCTACGGTGGGATCTTGGTTCACCACCTTGCGCCGCTTCTCCGCGTCAAAGAAGCCGCGGAAGTAGGTGGGCTTGTGCGGCTCCTCCTCGCCCTTTCCACCCTCATCGCGCTGCATCGGGTCCAACATCGTTGTATGCTTTTTTTTTTAAGTACTGTTTTCTTCTTTGGACGCTGTATTTGGACGCCAACGACGCTGCGATCGTTCGGCCTTCCCTCGCGCGGTTACACAAGGGAGTGTAGCAAAGAGCAGGAAGACAAAGCACACTGGCGCTATAGCAGGAGGAGAGAGAAAAGCGAAGATGTAACGACAGTGAATCACAAAATATAGCAAAAAAAAAAACGAAGCGCTGAATCGCCAAAAGAGATGTATACATGCACACGCACACACGCACAGATTTGTTTACTAATACCGGTATTTCTGCTGCTGTGGCTGTTGCTATGCTTGTAGGTTCTTCGCTGGACTGAGTGCGCCAACAAAGCACTTGAGAGAGATGGGAAGCAGTAAAGGTAGTTTACATTGAGCACGAGGCAGAAGAGGGAGAAACGAGAGAAACCGAAAAACATGAAATGGACTAAACCTTGATAGTATTTTTTTTTAATCATTGAAAGCTGGATTTCAGGGGGCTGTTGCGAACGTTTTCGTGCAGGTCCCGGGACGACAGTTGGCAATGGCTGTTGAGGAGGTGAACTCGTTTCTTTCTTCGGCGGATCGCAACAAAGTACCACTTTCTGCGTCTTTGTAGAGGCAACATCATTACTATTATTATTATTATGATCGCTTTTTGCACAGCACCACAACGGTGCTAACAAGAGAGAGGGAGGCGAGGCAGCGGTAATAGCAGTAGACGCTGACGCACTTGGCGAGTGTGAAGACGGAAGCAGGAAGGGACGGAAATGAGACTAAGAGGAAAGGAAAGAAGTCAAGAAAAAAAACATCGTTCTCTCTCTCTGGAAAACAAGCGACTACATCGCTGAGGCCCGCGCAAGCGTCACCGTGCTGCCTTTACCGCCTCTCGGTAAATCAAAGACAACCTTGGCGGTCATCACAGACCCATCACCGTTGCACACCGGAATCGCTTCGATTATTTCACGCAAACGCACCACAGCATCGAGCGCGGCTCCCCTGTCTTGCTGTGCGATTCGCTGCCACCCCGCGCCAATGTGGAAATACTGACACAGAAAGCGAGCTGGTAAGAGAAAAAGCGGTGATGGAGAGACCGTCTCTTCTGCAGCTTCCGTCCCGGGTGGGTGGCAGTCGCTGTATTTTGTAGTCCTCCGTCCCTTGCGCGCAGGAGACCTCTCCGATTGCACATCCCTTGCCCTTTCTGGAATCGGAGGCAGACCATCCGGGTAGGTGACCACCACCCATTCATTTTCCAGATGGGACGCACCGCCGTTCAGCAGGGAGTCCATGACCGTCGACAGCCTTGCCTCTCGGAAAAGCGCGAGCTTCTCCAGGTGGTCCTTCATGAGTGCGATGCGGGTGCTGGACTTCGCGTCTTCCGTGTGCAGGAGCCTCCATCCGGTTGCCTCCGCAGCCTCGATGTCACACGCTGTTTTTGTCGGCGGTAGGGGGTGAAAGAGAGGAAAGAGACCAGACACAGCCTCCACACAGCACCGAGGCAATCCATGCACCAAGGCAACAGCCTCACGGGTGAGGTAGCCCTCTGGTACGGGGCCTACATCCGCAGACCCAAAGCCTCGCCCACCCTCGAGAGAAGCAAGGTGCCCTTGATCGCACACCAGCGTTCGCAGTCGTGGCGGGAGTTGCGGCACCCATGGGGCGACCGTAACGTACACAGGCACCACCTTGAAGGCCACCACCACCTGCTCTCCGTCCTGCTGTGTTTGATCTCTGCTAGAAAGGAAGGAATCAATGACGCCCAGACCTCGCAGGATCGTGCGCTGATGCACGCGGTCGGGTGCTGCTGATGGGAGATGGCTGTCGACCATCAAAACGACCAACGACAGAAATCGGACAGCGTCACGTTGCGGACTATCCGCTGTTGAGTTTCGCGGGACGCACATTTCGGGATCGAGCACGAGGAGGTCGCAGTTGCGTCGTAGCGCCTTCGTTAGTTGAGGGAGGTAGTCATTATGAGAGGGAAGAGGGAGGTGTGAACCATCGCCGCAGGGCATCTGTCGCGGCTGCTTCATGAGAAGACAGAAAGCTGGAAGTCTAAAAAAAAATGATTACAATTGGGAGAACTCTTTTGTTGTTGTTGAACAGAGAATGAGTCGGACCGGGCATCTGTTGTTTCTGTTGCTTTCTCCTTCTGTTGTGGGTGTGTCTTTCGAACTGTCAAGGACAGTTGGGCGATGGAGAGCAGAAAGGAAAGGTGTCAGAAAAGTGAGAGAGTAGAGAAGAACTTCAGAAAGCGGAGGAGGCAATTCTGCATCAGAACGAAAAAGGCGCTCTGCAACGTCCCCAGACGTACTTGAATTTATGCGAGCGTTTACGTAACTGCATTTCATAAGGAGAGGCGCTGACACACACTGAGGAAGGCATAGAAAAGCAGAGGGGGGAAAACTGGCTCATTCCTGTAAAGATCCGCTGTACTCGTCTTTTTTCCTTATTATTGTTGCAACGTGGTGTAGTGGATAAAAACGGATTAATGAAAGCTACGCTGCGAGAGATTTATGATGTTCCGCGATCAGTGAAAAGCCCACGTGGAACGACGGCAACGAAGCAGTCAAGCAAACGAACGACGCTTCCAAAAAAAAAGGAGAAAAAAACTCCTGTCAAAGGCGATTGATATAGAAAAAAGGCGTCTTTTAGAGCGAAAAGGGGGACACAAACGAGGAAGAGGCACTCGCTACAGAGAACGTAGAGGAACCGCGTAGCACCGCCGACGACATCGCGTAAACACCTCTGCTGACACCGCGCGGCACCGTACAAGGAAAAAAACCTAACAGAGAAAAGGGGCGGTGACACGTGTACTGCAAATGGCAAACACGAGGGTCCCCGATAACAGCAAGAAGTCCTTCAGAATGTCTTGTTAGGCACAACAGCCTTTTCCGGGGTGTAGCTGCCGTCATTCGTGTTAGACAGCTGCAGTGCTCCACATTCCCTTCTCTCTTCTATGCGCAGCAGGAAAAACTCCGCGTTAGAACCCGCAAGACAGCAACCATCCCTTTCCCTCTGCTTCGAAACCTACAAAATGGAGCAAAGATCTTCTAGGCTTTTGCTGACGTACAACAGCTTCTCCAACTCCGCGTACACGGCGCTCAGCAGCTGATTGAACTCCATAAGATTTCGCGAGGAGCGCACCCAGCGGAAGTGCAGCAGCCGCATCGCAAAGCAGTATACCTCGTGCAGGCGCTTCACCCCTACCTCGATATTTTGATCAAAGATGAAACGGCACAGCTGCAACCGTCCTTCACAGGCAGAGTAGGTGGTGTGCATCGTGGGGCTAAACTGATTCACAGTGGTGTTGATATCGATCAGCGTCATGAGGCGCAGCGAGACGTTGAGACCCGCCGCGGCAGTCATAAAGTCAGGGCTCAGCATCGCATTCCATTGCTCGGGGTGCTTCTCTACGAGGTACACCAGCTGTGTCAGACCAAACACGCCGGCCCCGCGGAAATCTGTCGACGGGTCGGTGCCCTGAAAGCCCAACTCTTTCCACCGTGCATTCGTGCAATGCACCTCGGGGGAGAATTTCAGTTCGTCAGGGGCCATGACGATTCGATTGTGGCCGTTCCACAAGCGGCCCAGCAGCGCCACATCGTCCGCCACTGCAGGCCGGTACGAACGCACGTACTCGTCGCGAATACGCGTCAGCATAAACTCGTGATGTGGAGGGAGGGATGGAACAAAAAAGTTGTTGATGAAGTACGGCGCGCGGTCCATCGTCTGCAACCACAAGAATTGAGGGATGTAGTAGAAGGAGCTGTTCATCTCGTCCAATCGAGGGGCGCGAATCTGCAGTGAGGTGGAAGGAACCGACGAGGTGACCGCAGGCATGTTGTGCGAGAAGAGGGGATCGCGGTGCTGCGGCAGCTGCGGTAGAGGCGGTGCTTGACTGTCCTCCTGGGAGTCCGTCTTATCGGCAGGCGGAACGAAGGTTGCACCCGCGCTGCCTTGATGCGGTGCATGTCGCTGACGCATCCTTCGTGCTGTGGATGTTGAGCGTGCTCTTGCACTGGACGCTAAGTACGCTAAAGCAGAAGAAGAGCGGAGAGAGAAGAAAACAAAAGCTCTTTCGGTGGCAGAGATCGGTGCTCGATAAAGGCAATATGATTGTTTGCACTGACGGATAGAGGCAAGCTATCGTTTAGCTCTTCGAGGTTTTTTTTGGCAATGACATGTGAAGTGGTGTTAGAAAAACGCGCGTGACTTACGCGGCAGGGTGGAAAAGCTGCAGAGGCGGCTGCTAGCAGGGAAAGAGGCGCAAGCGATTTTTCTGCAGTTTCGGAAGCTGAGAGAGAGAGGGGGGAGAGAAAAGCAGAGGAAGAGAGCGAAAGAGATGGTGCAGCGCATCATGCGCATCAACCCAGTTCAGAGAACGAAACACTTCTGACCGTGAAAAGTGGGAATAAGGCGGAACAGGGGAAAGAGGGTAAAATGTTTCGCTGAGCGTGAGGCAATAACAGTTTTCGAGAAACACAAATAGCTCCCCCTTTCCGTTCGTTATTCGTCATCACGAAAGAAGTCAAGGTGCGACATGTATAAAACCACAAGTGCAAAGGCGCCTTATATTCGCCTCTGCACATCGCCGCCTTCTTTCTTCATGTGTGTGTGTGTGTGTGTTGCCTTTACTTGACAAGCACATAAAAAGGAATTAGTAAAGGGAAAATGAAAATAGATAGGACGCCTCTGAAATTGAGTTAAATATAAATAAATACAGACATAACATGTCTTCTCATTGTTTAAGTACTTTTCACTTTTTACCCCATTAAAAAGTCGTCTACGTTATGTCGTTTAGCATTACTTAGATTCTACGTTCGCCTTGCTCTCTCGAGAGTTGCGCGCAACAACACACCCCGATTTTCTTCAGCCAGACAAAAAAAAAAGACCTTCAACTGTATCGCATTCTTAACAACACTTTCCCCCCTCTGTCGACGTTGTTTTATTTCATTGGTTCTCTTTTCGAATAATAAAAAAACATGACAAACTGTGTGATCTCTTTTCTTCTTTTAGAGGCCAACCGCCGCACCAACGCAGGAAGCATTTGCTCACTCGTGGCAACATCGCTAAATAAATAATAGTACGGGCGAAAAAGGGTCACAACGGAAAGCATTTTAAAGCCGCGGCTTCTGCTCTTGCTGGAAGCTTCTTCTTGAACGTGCAGCGCAGATGCATACATGTATGCATCGCTCCGTCTACGGTGCGCGGCAGCAAACCGGAAAGCTCGACGGCGAAGCTTTTGCGCTTCAGACATCTGGTCTCCCGCTTTAAATAAATATATATGAAACATGTTTTGGTGTCTTTATTTTTGTTGTGTTTTTCTGCGGTTTCTTCTATGTGGCGCTTCACAGGAGCATGAAGGTAAGGATCCCCCCCCCCCGCGTGACGAAAGACGACGCGGAGAAACAAGAACGGAAAGGGAGAAGGAAGCGAGCAAGTTCGGCCCCGCCACGGTGCATGCGCCCCACGCTCGTTGCGAGCCTACATCTTGGAGGCAAAGAGCTTCTTCTCGTAGCTGTGAAGGGAGTGCACACCACCCTCGCCCTGTGCCGTGGCGGAGCGGCGGTTGAAGAGCACCTGACCGGCGTACATCTTCTCACGAATGGCATCGAAGCTGATCTCGCCGATATCCTGCGCGGACTGTTGGAGGCCCTTCGCGATGTAGGCGAGCAGCTTTGTGGCGGAGCCTTTGTCCACGACATTGCCCGACACGCCCTGCGCCACCTGCACCGCCTCATTCTCGGAGAGGTAGCGCTTGCCGGACTCCTTGCCCTGCGACATCGCCTCCAGGCTGCCCATGCCACGATACACCTTTAAGCGCACGCCGCCCTTGAAGAAGTACTCGCCGGGGGTCTCCGTCGTGCCGCTCAGCATACCGCCCAGCATCACGCAGTTCGCGCCAATGGCGAGCGCCTTGCAGATGTCACCGACGGTGCGCAGACCGCCGTCCGCGGCGCACGGCACACCGCGCGAGGCGCAGTACTGTGCCACCTTGTACACCGCCGTCCCCTGCGGGCGGCCACACGCGAGCACCTCCTGCGTAATGCAGATGCTGCCGCTGCCCATGCCAATGCGGAGCCCGTCCGCACCCGCGTCGATCAGGTTCTTCGCCTGGTCCTGCGTCACGATGTTGCCGGCGACCACCTCAATGTGAGGGTAGGTGGACTTGACCCACTTGATGAAGGCGACTTGGTAGATGGTGTTGCCCTGCGAGCTGTCCAGCACCAAAACGTCCACGCCGACCGCGGCCAGCGCTGCCACTCGCTTGCGGTCCTCCGGGCGGGTCGAGGTAGCGGCGGCACAGATCAGGCGACCTTGCTTGTCCAGCGTGCTGTGCGGGAACTCGCGCGCACGCACGGCATCGCGGCGGGAGCACAGGTAGACGACGTTGTCGGCGGCGTCCAGAATGGGAAGGTAGCCGTGGCGGCTGCGGTTCAGCACGTCCATCGCCTCCTCCAGACGGATCGGGGCTCGCTCTATCGTCATCGTCTCCCGGCGCGTCATCACCGCCGAGGCGGGGGTCTGCTTATTCTTCACGTAGTCCACATCCTTCGTGCACACGATGCCGAGGAGCTTGCCGTGCGGATCGGCGTTCTCCGTGACAAGGATGCCGCTGATGCCCTTTTCCTCCTTAATGCGCAGAATCTCGCTGATCGGGGTAGTCGGCGAGACCGTCTTGGGCCGCGAGATAAAGCCGTTGCGGTAGGCCTTGACCGACTTCACCATTTCCACCTGGCGCTCCACAGTGCAGTTGTTGTGCAACACACCGACGCCGCCCATGAGCGCCATGGCCTTGGCCATTTCGTTCTCCGTGATGGTGTCCATCGGCGAGGACACCACCGGAACGTGGAGGCGGACGCGCCTCGTGAACTGACCCGAAACGTTCACATCGCCGGAGCCGAAGTCGATGAAGCCCGGCAGGATGATGAAGTCGTTGTAGGTCAGTCCGTCACCGGAGAAGAGCTCCTCGGCGGTGCAGCCATCCTTGATGGTTTTGACGCGATAGTTCGAGTTGGTAGAGCTCATCGTGCGTATGTAAATACGCGAGTGTGTGTTTGTAGACTACTCAGACTGTTCTCTGCAGAACAAAAAAAAACGGAACAGCTGTGTGCTTCCCGTACGCTTCGCAGCTGCAGCCTTTTTACTTTTAATTTAGCAAGGCACTGTGCGGCGTCAACTTTTGCCGTTGCGTAGAACACACTGCAAGCGAGAGAGAGAAAAGGATAGAAAAGACGTAGGTTCAACTAGCCGGGTTGTTTTCTTTTTTTTTGGAGGGGTGACTTTGCCAAAAAAGAAGACAGTTTGTCTGCGAAACAAAGGAGAGGAAAGAAGAGAGGCAAAAGGCGGCAGTTCGAAAGCGGTGCTCACAAATGTCCAGAGATCCACGCGAGTGGAAGCAACCAAAAAAAAAAAGCACGATCTTTAAATTGAAATGAATCGGTTCACTGAGGTAGCGCAGTCAGGTGCAGATGCGTCCTCAAAGGATTGAATGCGCACGCACACAGCTGCAGCCTACGAAAATTCCGATTTCTTGTAGCGTTGCAAATACGTGTTCACGGACATGTTGGAAGGGATGCGAGCCTCACGTGCTGAGTCTGAATGATCAGAAGAGCAAGCACTTTGGTTCGAGTCAGCAATTCGGAGAATTTTGTTACGCTTGCTGTGATTAATGCGAACTCTCACGCACAGAAGCGCGAGCGACACACACATGGCAATAACTGTAACTACATCGAGAAAGGCACAGAAAAAAAAGCACTCGCCGTTAGTTAAAAAGCACAATGGAATAGAATAGTGTTAGAGACGAGGTGATTGCTTCACCCTCTCCTCCAAAAGATCGAAAAGAAGAAAGAACGCAGTCTCTCCTTACGTAGCTTATTGAGGTCCGATCCTGTGAAGCATTCGTCTTTGAGCAGCGCAGATCATATTCTATTTCCGGGCCTAACACGGTGTCCACTGCAGCGAGCTCACAGGAGCAGTTAAGCAGTTCGAAAACGAAAAGAAGAAACGGTGTGTCTTGGTCCGCTAGCATGCCACCTCAAAAGAGGGAAAGCTGCGAGAAGAAACCCGATAGAACGCTGCTCGTGCCTCCGACAACCGCAACGGGTGAAAAGAAGAAGGTTTGCTGTCTGGTCAACTGCCTCACGTTGAAGACTGTCTCACGACAGCAGTCCCAACTTCGTCACGAGCATGACACGAATGCTCTGATCAAACGACGAGCACACGGCAAGACCCTCCTTCGATCGGTTCCAGTCCAACGCATTAATCGGCTGATCCCCTACCTTTGCCTTGTTCAGCTCCTGCACCGCGCCTGCTACACCACGCTCTTGCCCATCGCCATCCTTCAAGGTACGCTCGGGGGGGTACTTGTACAGGCACAGCGTCAACTCGCCGCCGCCGCCGCTCATGAAGATTTCGCGGTTTTGCGGAAGCGCCCGCGAGCACCACACCGTGCCGTCCGACACGCGCTCCTCCACGTAGGCGTAGCCGAGCTTAGGGTTCAGCGTCCGCAGGTCGTAGCACCGCACACGTCCCTCCAGCGACGACACAATCAGTTTGTTCATGGCAATGTCCGGCCGGTCAAACTCTAGGTCGCAGACGCCGTTGCTCACCTGCATCTCGTGCAGCATCTTTTGGGTGCGCAGGTCAAAAATTTTGACGTCGCCGTTGTCGTAGCCGGCGGCGACGACGCGCTCGTCTGGGTCGAAGCTGTTGCCGAAGCGCACCGTCCAGCAATCGCGCGCGCGGGCTGGGTCGGCCGGGTTCAGCGCTACGACCGGCTTGGTCGATTGGCGGGTATCCCACACCTTGACGGCGCCGTCGCGGCTGCCCGTCACCAACTCCGGAGGCCCTGCGTAGTGTGCGCCGTCGATGGCGTTGATGATGCTCTCGTGCGCGTGTGGAATGTGGAACAGCGAGGCCGCTTCCACATCACTCAGCGCGTGCTTCACGGGCGTATCGACGGCCGCGAGGCGGGTGACATCGAAGACACGCAGGCTGCCAGCGAAGTCGCCAGTCGCCACCTGAGGAGCGCTGCCGGCGGCGGCCGTGTTTGTGCTACTGCTGCCAAGACCTGCGTTTTGCCCAAAGGTGCAGCACTTCAGCGGGTGCGGCAGTCGCAGCTCCGCCGTCGTCTGCAGCTCGCCGTGGTCGAGGCGATAGATGGAGAGGGCGCCGTGGTTGTTGGGGTACTGCCCGACCACCGTGAAGGACGCGCTTTGTGGAACCCACTTGACGTCGAAGGCGGTGTACAGAAGGCTTTTCTTTACGTGTTGGATGATCTGTTGGCGGCTGAAGCGCTTCGCCCCACCTTCAGCGCCAGAATTAGTTGAAGACGTGGACATCGTAATGTGTTGAGGATTTCTTCTGTTGATGGAGAACAGAAAAACAGAGCATATCAAATAAGAATGTCCGCGACGTTTGCAGAGAGCAGAAAAAGGAAAGGAGTGAAGAGAAGCGTGAAAATGCATGATTGACAGATTACAAAAGAAGACACCTTCAAAGAAGAAAAGAAAATGCGGTACGACGACTCCTGCACCGTGAACATTTTGCTGTGTTAAACCCCAGCGAACGCAACCGCCAAAGGACGTACTTGCTCCCTGGGACGCAAAAAAACAGCAGTGAAAAGTCAGGTTTGACGTCTAATGCTGACAACAACCTCTTTATTCCCCTAAACCTCTTTTAATGTAACTCGGAATTCCACACGTCACAGTGGCGTTTCGCAGCGAAGAGAAATGGGGGACAGCCGAAGCTGCTCGTAATTTGGACAGCTGCAGTTTGTGACGGAAAGGAAAACGGAAAGAAAAACGGTGCCAACGACAAAGTGAAAATGGAGGCAACTCTAAGCGTAAAAGGAAAAAAAAAGTCCGCAGAACGGCGAACGGGAAACGAATTCGCTACGATAAAAAAGGGCAAAAACAAAGCTGTGAGAGAGAGAGCGGCATCCACAACAAAACTACAGTACCGGAGAAGAAGAACTGCATCACCTGTGCGGCGAAGCGCCTTTTTAGGAGGGGCGAACGAGCTCGCCGAGCGCGTCCAACGCGGTGACAATCTGATTGCCGAGTGTCCGCGCGGAAGTGGTGTCGCAGTTCTTGCACGATGTGATGGTGAGGTACAAGACCTCATTTGCGCAGTAGCAGTAGGAGATGCCGTAGCCATCCGGCGCGACCGGCCCAAACCCAAACCCGGGTGTCTCATGGTTCACGCATCCCTCACCGGCAGGGTGGAGGTGATCCATCAAGTACCGCTGACGCGCCTGCGACGTGCTCACCTTCCACTGCGTCTTGCGCAGCACTGCTGTCAAGAAATCTGACGGCGTGGCGTTGTTCACACTTGCCATGAAGAGGGCAAACAAATGCCGATCAAAGCCCCGACCCGACACGGCCGCCTGAACAGCATGCTGGTGGTGCGAGCAGGCCTCCATGAGAAGCTCGCGCTTCCGCTCTAGCGACGGCGCGTCCTCCTCGTCGTCCGCAGTGGTGGCGACCATGGCCTTCACAAACGCACTGCTTGCCTCGCTCACGCTGCGCACCGCCTCTGTTCGTCCCTTCGCAAACATATGCTGCGCCACTGATTCGTAAATTTGACTAAACTGCGCGTCCTGGTTGGTGTAGTAGGCGAGCTGGATGGCCAGCTGCACCCACGCATCTGGACTGCAGCCCATCGTCTTCGGGAGCTCGCATCCGTAGCCGTCGTAGCGCACCACGTGCAGGTCGACCTGCGACCCGGTTTCCAGCATGAACTCCGTGTGCGCCTCACGAATCGCGTCGGCGAGCTTTTTGTAAATGGTGAAGCGCAGCCGCTTTGGGCAGAGAGGACTGTCCAGCTGCGGGGCATGGAACGCCTTCTTGCGCTTCTGGTCTTCTGGCAGCTTCCTTGCGCTTCCCGTCTCGGAGTCGTACCACAAAGCGGCCGCCTCCTCCTGGGCTGACACGTGCTCCATGAGCCCCAAGAATGTCGACATGTCACACCACGAGTGCTCCACGTGCAGCCCAACGTGGGCGTCGGCGCGGATCACCAGATTGAAGCTCTTGTCGCACCATAGGTTCGACCCGTTCCCGCAGAGGTAGTGGGTGCAGTCTGCAGACAGACGCTTTTCCTCGACAGAGGCAGAGGTAGTGGAGGGGGTCGTCGGCGACCCGCAGCGCTCGTCAAAGCTCACGACAAACATCGCCTTCTCAATCACACGCAGCGGGGCGCTGTTGTTGGAGTCGTGGAGGAAGAAGGCGGTGCGCACGTCGGCCCACTGCGCGCGTGAGGCGGTGGTCAGGGCCGGCACGAGCGACTCCACGACGCGGTAGGATCGCTTCTTGCCGAGGGTCTCGAGCGTGTCCTCGGCGTCGTCTTCCTCGGACTCGTCGCGGCCGGTGCTCACCTCCTCCTCCACCTCCTGCAGCAGCTGGTGAAAAATGATCTCCAGCTGGTGCGGTGTGAGCTGCCGCTTCGCCTGCGGGTCCACGACGGGCACTTGGTAGACGCGGCCGCGGTGCAGAATGACGATGTACTGATTCTCCCGCTCCTCGTGGTGCTCGAGGAAGTCGACCTCGCGACCAGGGATGCGTGTGGTGTTGAAGGCCATCGCGTATTGATCCATCGATAGAGGGACGCAGTGTCGAGGCCCGACGAAGTTCGGACACAGAGTGCGCCGCTCAATACGACTCTTGAGCTGCGTCAGCAGGTAAATTATGACGGCGGCGCGAGCCTCTGGCAGGTGCGTCGGCACATGGTTCGCGAAGGGGACCACGTAGAAGTTGGAGTGCAGGCACAAGGACGTACGAGCCGAGAGGAACACGTTGCGCTTCCACGACTCAGCAATGTAGTTGTCGGTCATCACATGCTGCAGCCGCAGGTGCTTCTGCAAGGCAGGGCCCTCGTTCAGGAGAAACGACTCCGCCGAGCGGCGCAGCTCGAGCCAATCATTTGTGTCACTGTCCTTCTGGTGGTAGATGGCACGCATGCTGGACAGGTAGTGGTTCACCGTGTGCTGCAAGGAGGGAAGGGGCAGGCTGGGGAGGCAGCTCTCGTACACCCCGGTCTTTGGAATGGTGGGTCGAGTAAAAAACGTGCGCACCACCAGGGACCACAGCCGTGTTTTCCACGAAGGTTTCTGCGGGTCCTTCTCCAGCATCCAACCTTTGTACTGCAGCAAACGGCGCAGGGCAAAACGATGGAGCACCGCGGCACCACCGAGAGCCACTACCCACACCTTCGCGCACAACACAGGTGCCTGCGCCGCCAGTGGAATATAGCGGGAGAAGGGTGTCAAAATAGAGTCGAAGTAGCGCAGCCACGTGCTCACGGGGTTCGTGTGCACCCATGACGTCGCAGGGACCCGCCACACATACACGCACGACCCCGCAATGCAGAAGACCACACACGAAAAGGGAAGGGGGTAGAACATGGCGGAGACCTTGTCGAGGTTGTCTACCAACGTGCGGTTTACGCCGCGCCACAGGTAGCGCATGGGAGGCACGTGAACGTCTACGCCGTTGTTGGTCCACGAAACGCGCATCTTCGACATGGACGCGCCCGCCTCTGCCGTTTGGTTCGACGGGTGCGGCTGCTGACTCAGAAAAGCTTCCGCCATGACGGGCGTCTGCGAGCACCGTGAGTGCTTTTCCTTTATAAATATATGTAAAACAAAGCCGACAAATGCTGTTGGCAGCTTCTTTGCTTTTTTGACGAAGAAGTACTGAGCGTGAACAGAATCGAATGTTGCAGCGGGACTATGGTCGTATCTGCTGTGAGCACTTGTGCATGTAGATCCGACGCAATCGAGGATGAGAAACGAAGAGAAAAAGGAGGTTCACAAGAAAAAGTCTGTTGAAGCAGCCAAGCCAGAACTCCCAGTGCAGCCACCGCAGCTGTCGACGACCATCTTCCAGAACCTCTTTGCGGCGTGCTGCAAGAAAAAAGAAAGAGAAAATGGTGTATAACAACAGTTCTCCTTTTTATTTTTACTCGCTTAGAAAGAAAGTAAAAACTAATCTTGTGGTACAGAGAACAACATCGGGTGCTGCTCAACACGTTCCTAGTACATACAGAGAAGAAACGAAACCTATTCCTTTTAGGCGAGCGGATAATGCAAATACTTGTTGTGTTTTTGTTTTCATTACTTCTCAGATATTTCTCTTTTAACTGCCCGTTTCAAGACGAACGCTTTCTTCGTGTTCCTTTTATATCTTTCATGCGGTGAAAACGTGGAAAATAACAAAGATAAATAGGTTCATCAGGAGATGGGACGCTTCCGCGCACGCGGATGCAGACGCACTCACACACACTCTCCCTTTGATAGTGAAATAGGGAAAAAGAAAAAACCCGTATTTTTAAGGCGTAACGTGTCGCTGCACCTTTGTGAAACGATTGCACACAGTACTTGCGACGCGCCTTGAAACCGTCACGATCACAAGTGGCAAACGCCTACGAGAACAACTTCTTGAACATGGACTTCTGCTTCTGATCATACGCTTTCTGTGACTGCTGGATCTTCGACTTCAAGGCCGCAGCGTCAGTGTTGCTGGGATCGGCCGCGAGGATCTTGCTCACATTCTTCATGGCAGCATCCCAGTCCTGCATCCCGTCCTGCGCCTTGGCAAGGCGGAACAGGGCTTTGGTGTTTTCAGCGTCAAGGCCAAGCACCTTCCGCGAGAAATCTGCGGAGTCGGCGTACTTCTCGCGCATCAGAAGCACCTGGGCGAGGTTGCCCATGACGCTGATGCGAACCCGGTGGCACGCCGGCTTGTCGGCGTCGTCGTAGCCGTAGTCCTCACCGACAAACTCGAGGGCGCGGCGGTAGTACTTCTCCGCAAGGACAAGATCGCCCGCCTTGAAGGCGTCGTTGCCGGCATCCTTTCGCTTCTCGCCCTCCGCGATCTTCGGCAGACCGTCGAAGTCGTACGTCTTCGATCGGCTCATCGCGCTCACCTCCACCACGTACGTTACGTCCAGATGGTTGCGGTCCGCGCTCGACGGGATGCCGAACTCTGGCACGGCGTCTTGGATGAGGTCGCTGCGCACGCGGCACGCCGCCGCCTCCTGCTTGCGCATCTTGTGAAGGAAGTCCTCCAAGTACGGCGGCAACGGTGTGACGCCGACCACGACCTCCCAGTTCGGCAGCGCCTTCACCGGAACGTGCTCCTCCTCCTCGCCCTCTGGGTCAAACTTCCCCACATAAATTCGAACATCCATCGTGACGGACGACTCAAAGGCTGGGTTCTCGTACTCGACACCGTCCTTCAGCACGTCCATCATTAGAGACTTGTCCTTTGCGGCGGAGATGTCCACCTCGCGACTCCACGCGAAGAGTTCCACCTCGAAGAGCAACGTGGCGTTCGCAGGGATCTTCGGCGGGCTGCCGCTGGCACCGTAGCCGTACTCGGGTGAGCACTTCAGAATTGCTTTCTCACCAATGTGCATGGTGGCCACACCTTTATCCCAGCCTTTGATGACCTGGCCACGGCCGAGGGTGAAGTCGAAGTACTCGCCACGGTCGCGGCTGCTATCAAACTTCGTCCCGTCCTCGAGCGTGCCGACGTAGTGCACCGACACCTTTGCACCCTTCACCGGCCGTGCACCGGTGCCCTCCACCAGGACCGTCTTGTGTAGACCGCCGTTCGTGTCCGGCACCTCGACCTCCTCGTTGAGAGGGTAGTTCACCTCCATCGGCGGCTGGCTGTCGTCGCTTACGGAACTGGCATTGCTGCTGACGGCTTGGTCCTCCATGATGCGCGTCGTAAGCACAGCGTTACGTTTTTTTTTGTGTGTTTTTGAGGGGGGGTCAGGTGTGTGCGTTTGTTTACGGAAATGTGAATAATCTGAGTTAAGAGTGTGTTTAGGAGAAAATGGAGAGAAGAGAGCAACCGCAATGGTATCTTTGAAAAGATAGAACACGAAATGCATCGCGCCACCAACGCAGCAGATGATCAGTCCAATATAAATTGAAGCAGAAAAAGAAAGAAGGGAGAGCAGCAAAAGAAGAAGTTTGACCAGGAAAGCAGTTATCAGAGCAGGTTTTTTGGGGGAGAGTGGTGCTAGAAAGCACCGCAAATACGTTCATGCACGTCTGGCTAAATAAATGCACAAAGAAGGAGGTGTCGCTGAGGAAAGCAACGAGCGCAGAAAAGAAGCATTTCATTCGCTGCCTTCAGCTCTCATTGAAAAGTTAGAGTGTGGTCCATGCGTTGTACTTCTGGCAACTATTAACCTTCTTCTTTAAAGGCTTGTCGAGAAGAAACGAGAAGATGAACGACTCTTGTCAAGTATTGACCATTTTAAAAAAACACTCGTCATCAGTGCAGACTATCTTAAAGATGCCTCGGCAATTATGAAATGTGAACATGAGCAAAACGCGATCAGAAGGTGTGGAAAAGAGAAACAGGTTTCTTTTTTCCTCTTTAACTTATCACACTGTCCAGGAGAGAAAGCCCTGTTGCCGTCGGAGACACGACGGCGATTTGAAATTCAATTTCAGAGGATGAAAGTTTACGTTACGCAATATTGCCACGTGCAACGAAACCAGTGAATATAAGTGGGGGAAAAACACTGCTCTGAAGATGAGCACTGAATTCTACTTTGTCGCAAAGCCGCGGCCAGACGCTCCGCTATCTGTCGCCTTCGTCCCCAACGTTGCAAAGCCAGGACCGACTGGTGGTTGCTTCGTGCGGTTGTTCTTGAGGCCGAGGGCCTCCTTGAATTCGCCCATCTCCAACGCAGGACCCTGCGCTGTGTAATAGAAGCGATCGAGCTGCGTCGGGTTCTCTGCCGTCTCGCCTTGGTCGTGCATTTCGCTGATCGGCATGCCAGCGCGTTTGCCGAGGGCGGCAGCACCGCGACTTGCCTGCTCCAGGTTCGACTCGGACGGGTACGACCACCGCTCGACCGACGTCGCGTGACTCGCGCGGAACGGCGCCGTTATGTTCACGTCACCGCGAGCGGCGTAAATGTCCTTGTTGCCCTTCGGGAGATAACCCAACATCACCTTCAGCGCACGCTGCCGTTGCAAGGACATGCCCTCGTCCTTGTCAGCCCACGCAGTGCCCTTCTCCAGTTTCAGCATATATTGCAGCCGCTGCTTCTGCGTAACCTTCTCGTGAAGGTCATCAAAGTACACCTCCTTCTCATTCTCTAGCACGCTATCATCCCGCGCCTCCAGCACCTCCTGCGGGGAGGGGTGCGTGACGGTCGTCTTGGGGGACCGTCCAGTAGACGGGTACAGGTAGCAGTAAATCTCGTCGTAGTTCCAGCGGATCTGTCCCGCGGTGTGGTACGCCTTGAGCTGCAGACACTGGCGCTTGAGCTCGTCGAAGATGCTCTGCAGAACTGGAAAGCCTTCCCGTGGAGTGCCAAACTTTGTCAGGTTAATGCGCACCGCGTGGCGGTGAAGGAGGTGCTTCGCAACGCCTACGCATTTGAAGCGAATGGCGTGTGGGTGTGTACCGCCTTTGAAAGGCACCTCAATGCACTCCTTTGTCGGCGGAGGCTGCACGCCGAGCTTTTGAATCTTGAACTTGATCATGTCCCGCATGTGTTCGCGGTGGTCACCGATGAGGCACAGCGCCACAATGCGGCGGTCCGTTTTTTGAGAGTAGATGGCCCCGATGCGTATCAAGTCAAGACCCAACTCTTGCGCCATCCGCCGTGCCTCTTGCACGGGGATATCAACATCCATGTTCACACTCTCAACGATGCTCTTTACCCCCTCCCCCGCTTCCATCTCGACAGACAACGGCTCATACGGGTTGAAAGAGATGCGGCCGCCCCCACCAGGTGGCGCGAACTGCCGAATACGGACAAAAGGCTCCTGTATCATTTCGTTGATCGGATGCGCTTGGAAGTACAACAGCGTCTCCTTTCGCACCCTGTTGACGCTATACTCCACCTCGCTCGTGTCCACCGCACCTTCTTGAAGAATCTCGCGGGCAAACGCCTCTGCGCGATATGCGCTGCGCTCCTCCACGCGACGCCGGTTCTCGTGGCTGCTCCAGTAATCCGCACCGCGCACCTCTGGGAGTCGGTGATCTGCGGGGCGCTGATGATATGCGTCGTAGACCATCCGATTTGCATCCTCGTCCTCCGGCGAACACGAAACGGTGGTGAGCCTGGACTTGTAGTCCGTACGTGCGTTGATGACAATCTCGTTGAGCGACTTCGGCGCGGAGAGATCCCGCACCGCTTCTCCGTCCTTGCGGCTCTGCGCCTGCCCTGGTTCATGTGAAGTCTCCTCTGAGGTCCTGGTGCCCTCTGCGGCCTCCGTGGGGAAATGCGGATTCTCCGACGCCGGAAGATCCGCCGCGTCGCCACCGGTGACGGCGTCCTCACCGCCTCGGCAGAGGTTATGCCCTTTGCCGCCGCCACCTCCCCCGAGCGCGCGACGGCGCTCCTCTTGTTGGGTTTGGTAGGCTTCCGCGAAGAGGTGGTACGCCGCGAGGTTGCGGTTTGCGTTGTCGCCCACTCCGCCCTCGCTCTTCCGGTTGACGCGGAAATCGGACGAGCGCAGGTGAGCAAAGGAGGAGGAGGGCGTCCACTCATGGCGCTTCCCGCGTCGCCCAGCGCCGAACTCGGCGAAGACGCGATCCGGCGGTGGCAACTGCGTCCCTCTTTGGTGGTACTCCCGTAGCATGTCTCTTTCCAGTCGGTCCAGATCGCTGCCGAAGACGGTGCTTGTCGGCGTCACCGCGTACCGGTGCTCCACTGCGTCCTCGTGCGACGTCCAAGCCTCTTCCGCCTGCGGCGTGACAGTCAAAAATGATGCGGGCGAAGCAGCTGTGGCTGCTCCGTGCGCAGCTGAAAAGTCGCTTAAAGGTGCGGTGTCCTCGTCTTCGTAAGTGCGAGTTGGTGTGATCGACGGCGCCTGGATCCTCTCGTCCTCGTCTCGGTGATCATCGTTCGCGATACCACCCGGCAAACTTCGGCTATCCATGGGAGAGGTCATTTCCATGTCAGAGATGTGAATACCAATGGACGCGTTTTGTTTCGACGGCGACTCACCTCTCGCCACTCGCGTCTGCTTGATAAGCTCAAAGAGCTCTTTCTTCACCTGTCCAAGTGTCGGCGTCGAACTACTCGTTTGCGGAACTCGCAGCTTTCGGCGACGCTTCCTGATCTGACTGGCTTTCATCTGCTTTGCACGCAAGTTCACGTTGCTCATCTCGCCTTTCCCACTGTGCCTTCCAAAGGACGGCGGCAGCACATCCTCAAACCCGCCAGGAGGCATATGAAGGAAGCGATATTGCTGATTAAGCAGAGTGGCGGCAATTTGACGAGATTCGAAGCTCGTGCCGTACAGCGGTGCTACACATCTCGCCGCTCCTCGCGATGAAGCAGAAGCAACACGATGCATTACAAGATGCGGCCCATGTACGTGTATACACCTGTGTAAAAGGTGAGGAGAGAACAGATCCTGTTCAGCGCAATAGAAGCAAAGCGACAAAAATTTGAGAAAGTGTTGCTTTCGGCAACGACCCCCTGCCAATAGCAAGAATAAAAGTGACAAGCCCTGTTTCACTGAAACTGTCAGCTTTCGCTGATGTTGCTGCTGTTGTGAAGATCTTGTACTTTACGCAGAAAGGGCACAATTTGTTTTGGGGCAGTGAGCCAGGATGCCCTTCTTGTGAAACTGCGAAAGAAAGAGAAAAGAGTGAATGAAAGTGAATAAAAGGGAATAAAAGGGAGAAAATGCTTACACAAAAGCGACCAATGGCAAGCACAACTTTGCAGTGACTGCGAACGGAAGGAAATGAACACTATATGACTCACCGACCTTAAAGCCAGAATACAAAAAACGCAAGGGATCAGCGATCTTTCTTTCCCTCTTTCCTTTTTGTTGCTTTACCTTTATCAGTATCCGAATGAACAACCATTGGTGAGGACGATTCGAATATGACCAGCACAACCACGCTGTTCCTACGAGATTTGGCGTAAAGACAATCGATAGATAGTAAAAAATTGAAGTCGTTTTCGATAGTTTACTACCTGTGTGTTTAAAAGGAACAACACAAAAAGAAAAACACAACGATGCATTAGATACCTTTGTTGGTGTTAACAGAGCAAGTTACGAACATAGTCGGACAATGAACGAGAAACAAAATGGCGTTACAGTGAGCACAACCGCGTAGCAAAAGCCGAATGACTCAATGATGAAAAGAGAAAAGAAACAGAACGCTCAATACTGCACGACACGCAACACGCAAAGATATCAGAGCCGAGGGTACACCCAGCTGTGAAAATCTAAAGGACCAAAGCGTAAGTGGCGACGCACACGTACACATGTTTGCGTAGATAGCAAAACAACCCATTTCATTCAACTACGTTATATTCAATGATTACATCCTCTACGGAAGACTGAACACAAAGAAGCAAACTTTTCATCTCAAGCATCCTTTTCATCTGAGCCTTCCTCATCATGCGACACCTCAACTGTCTTGAGCTCTGCCTTCTCCGCCTCTTCCTTCGCCTTAGCACCCTCGGCCATTTTAAGGTTTGTATACCAGAAGATACCGGTTAAAGTGAGTAGGATACCAGACAATATCCGGAAGTTGATGTCATCGCCGAAGGCAACAAATCCCAGCGAGAGAATCACGCACAGCTTGAAGTGGCCGAGGACGTTGTACGTCACCGGTGACGTCTCACCAATCACCAGGAAAATGGAGATGTTCACGAAGAAGGCCAGGACACCAGAAAAAAGGATCCAGCACATGGTGTCGAAGCACGGCATGTAGAACGTCTCCATTAGGTTGTCGGAAAAGAACGAGATTGGGATGAGCATCACACAGGAGATCGGAGCTTGGTAGTAGAGCAGCTGGAAGCTGTTGCACTGCAGTTCCGTCTGCTTCGTCCCTACCCAGATTTGGTACATGCAGGTGATCAACAAGGCTGAAAGGGCCACAACGGTGCCAATAAAGTTTGCCTGGCTGTCGCTCCCGGTCGCAATCGCCACACCAACGCAGGTGATAGTCAGAGCGAGCTTGATCTTGAGGGAGAACGTTTTGCCGTAAAAGAGAGTCTGAATAATCACCAGCAAAGGGGTCGTCAAAACTTTGATGAGTTGGTAGAAGCCGATGGTGTTGTAGACGAGTGACATATTCGTGAGCGCCACAAAACCACAGAAACTCAAGCACAGGGGAATGATCTTGATAATATCGACCCGCTTCGTCTCGAACACACCGGCCATTTGGCAGATAAAAAGCCCCAACGTCGTGATGGCGAAATGAATCACCGTAAGAAGGGTTCCATAACCGAAGCCCTGCGTCTTGAAAATAACTTTATTCGTGTAAACAATTCCAATGCTGCTCACCGCATTCAACGCCAAGAAGAATGGGGTTAGGTACGCTGGTGGGATAGTGTACATTGTTTTTATCCGCGGCACGGAAATGGCTCAGTTGCAATGAAAACAAAAAAGGGAAAGGGAAAGAAGAGGGAAGGAATGGTTAATCGGACCGAAGTGCTCGATGTAGATTTGTACCGAAGAGGGAGAAGAAGAAATTAGGTGTGATGACGGAGAGTACTTATTGAGGCATTATTATTATTTTGAGAAGAAGGACGGGAAAGAGAAAACATCAATCAATAAAAGTGAGGTTGCGCTACGAGATGGTAAGAGGGAGATAAATAGAAGAAGAAAAACTGTCCTTACGTAGTTGTTGTGTCAGCCACTTGTCAACATGCATAATAGCGTCTAACCTTTCTTAATTGTTCGTACAGTCGTGCCTGACAAGAGACCGTGCAACGTTCTTGTGGCACAAGGATATCGTTTGTATTAGCTTAGCGAACTCGGTCGATTCAATGTTGTGTGAGGGTTTTTTTTTTAACTGTTCCTAGAAGTGAAGTCAAACAAACACCAACGATCTCGGATTGAAGAAAAAAGGGGGCATATGTGACGCAAAGACCTAAGTCATATCGAAGTTCTTCTTCTTTAAGTGTTTTGCGCTGACAGAGTCTTTTAGCTATTGCATGTAGCCTACGCATCAGAGCCGTAAAAAAGTGTCTCCTTTTTGAATTTCAAAAGCTGGTGAATGACTTGTTCTATTTCTGTGTGCAACAGAGATCGGCAGATGCGTAAATAAGGAGCCTGCAGGGCACACGCAAAAACCAAAACGTGAGACGAAAGGAAAACAAAAAGTCTTTTAATTAAGTAAGAGTGAAAAAAAAAAAGAAGGCTTAATTTGATAAGCACAAAAAAGAAATAGTAACAACAAGAAAAGATGTGAACAACGTGTGAAGAGATACACAAAACCTCATTTGTCACTTCGACACACTACAACGCGTAGAAAAAAAGGCTTGAGAAGAATAGAACACAAAACGAGGACTATGAATTCCATCGCAAGACTCCTACATAAAGCACATCACGCTTTCTCCGCATTGTGCTACTTCATCCGAGACGCTGAGCTTCTGAGAGGTGAGGCTAACAATTGCGTTCTTTGGTCGTGGTGGTGGTGGTGGAAACCCTAAAAATTCCTGTGAGGGACTAAAACGCTATAAGTGCACATTGTATCAGATATCGTTCGAAGCAGTAACGGACTGGCGTTGATGACACCGAGCAGAGCCTGTGGCGACATACTCAGAAGCGAAAGCAGATTCGAAGGAGATGCAAGATCGCTCGGCACAGACTCGCTGCCCGTAGCCAGAGAAGCGAAGGTGTTTGCACCGCCACTTACGCTGCGACCGACCAGCGTGCTGACAGAGATGAGCGGTGGCAGCATACGGTTCGCCTGCCGCGGAGAACTGATGCGCAGCCTGGTATACATGCTAGCCGGAATACGACAGCTACTCGCGACTCGACGACCAAACATTTTTTCTTTGGTGCCGTTGCTGTGTTACGTTTTCTGTTGTACACGCAGGATTGTTCTCTCCCTTCTTTCTAATATACCTATTTTTTATGAGTAACTACCCCGACAGAAACACGTTTATTGTGTGTGTGTGTGTGTGTGTGGAATGAGATTTGGTCGGTGCGGGGAAAAAAGAGAAACAAGAAGAAAATGAAGTGATTATCGCGATGGCGTTTTAGATTGGTTGAAAAGGAGGGAGTCCATTACCTTTACATAAGTCGGACCTTGGCAGCGAAAGCTATCACAATGATCCTGATACATCGAATGCTCCACTGACATTTTAGCAAACGCTCTCCGCCTCGTGGATCAGGTAGACAAAAGAAAAAAAAAAGGATACTCTGTGATATCCTTCGTTATTAAAACGAGAATTGCCGTCTTTCTCTCCGGTCCTACGTTACGTCGCCAACGACAGCCGAAGTGAGTAGCTTCAACACGTTGAAATTTGTTTCTGTTGTTGCGTGTCGCAAAGAGGACAATACTTATGAGTGAAAGCTGCTATTTAAATAAAGAAGAAAAACAGGTTGAGGTCTATGGTTGGGCTAATTCATCTACCGACTTCCCGGTTATTTGAAGTTTCACATCGGTATAAGTCTAAGAAGAAAAAAAAGAAAGAAGAGTTCTCTTCTTCACAGTGCCATTATGGTCGCGCAGTGAATAACGCACGGAAGTCGGGGAAAGACCTCCCACTACAGAACAGCGACAAGTTGCGGTGTATTTATATTTCACAAGTGTGTATCTCACAGCTCCATTGAAATTGAGTACTTCGGTCTAAACGGTTGCGCGGGGCTATTCCCGCCCTTCACAAACTCTTGCTTCACCTCCATCAATTCTCGATGCGCGACATACGTTATAGTAGAAGGCAACGCAGTCACTTCTCTCGACTTTGGCGCAGAGGAGCGTCGCTTGCGCTCCGCGGCCTCTCCCTCACCGTTGCTCACTCGGCTCGTTTCGCCGTCAGCCGCCGAGTCCTCGGCGTTAGCCGTCGGGTTCAGTTGCTGGCGGACGAATTTGGCAATGCGCATCTGAGCCGCTGCGTCGTCGGCGCTGCGGGTCCACAAACAAAGTTTCCACTCACTGACGCCAGCAGACCCGTGCGCGGAGGGAGAGGCACGCTGCTTTCCCCGGCTCACCGTGACACCACAAATCTCCTCTTCCTCACCAGGAAACAGCTCACCAATGGCGCAGAGGCACAGCGTCTGCCATGCTACATCTACAGGCTGCATCCCCTCCTCCGCCTTCGCGGCCCTTGCGAAGAAGGGAATGACCCACTTGCCGCCTCGCCGGTTCGCCTCATGTTCCCACATGGGAGCGATATGCTTGCGGAACAGGTAGAAGGATCCGTTTGGGGGAAGCTGCGAGGGATTGATGGTGCAGTTGAAGATGCCCCAAAAGCCCTCGGCGCTGTCAAAGAGTCCGATGCTCTTTACTTGATCTAGCCAGTTTGCTTTTTCTGCGGGGTACGCGGGCTGGCGCTGTGGGATGTCGCACCACATCTCCCACGTTCCCCACAGCAGTGTCAGTGGCAGCTCCTCGGCACCCGTTTCTGTGTCCCCAACTGTGTGTGTCTCCATTCTTCGTTGGATGTTTGTTTCTTTTTATTTTGTTGTTGTTGAGCTTCACTTCAAGTGTTCTAAAGCAGCGTGTACCTCTATGTTTGTGTGCGTCAGCGTTGTGTGTTGAAAAGAGGAAAAAAGTTTGGCTGAAAGAAAAGAACAAACGCTTGGGTCGGCTGTGTGGACCGTCTGCTGTTGTAGTGTGCGTGAGTTTACACCGCGGAGTGTTTTCCTTGGCGGGTCTTCGGCAACGATCATCAGAATATGTCACGTTGGAGTTGAGAAAAGAGAATAAGATAAGGGAGAGGGAGAGAAAGATGAGAAGCACACAAACAACGTTTTTTTGTTTCACAGCATTGACAAACATGCAAGGATCAAGATTCAGCGCTCGATCTCCGTAGTCGTAGCACTCATTGTGCTTTTCAATTAGACTCTGTCGTGATGCAGAGCCGCGAATTAAACATCATCTATTATTATTTTTGATTTCGAATTTCGGAGAAAAAAAAAGCTTGTGGTCTTTTGAGATCCCAGCAGCAGCATCAACGGGAAAAAAAAATGGCTATAAAAGACTCAGTGTCAGCATATGAAGATATCAAAAACCGTAAATATATGGACGCTCTCAGCTCGTCAACAACACGTGAAATAAAGAACTTAATTTCAAAAGGAAAAAGCACTTGCGAGGAATTGAAAAAAACGTGTCCCGTAGCGGTTAATGAAGTCGATATTAATGATGTTCAAACATGAGGTAAAACGCTCTAACTGTGAGAGTGATGAGAACGCTGATAATACCGGCAACATCAAATCCTGGCGACAAACTAAAAAGGAGCCGCACGGAGCCACAACTAAGCATACAGAAAAGAACCGAGATATTTTCTTCAGAATATGTAAGCATAAACTAAAAGTGTGTGTGTGCGTGTGTGATCGCGGTGATGAAGAAAAGATCACAACAGCCACTTTAGAATTGCTGAGTCTAAAAGAAAAAGATAACGCTTAACAAACGGACCTTGTGTATTTCCGGAGAAACCTCGTACTTTATTAAAAAGATAAATAAGGTGGGGAATTGTAAGTTATATAAGTGTTTAATAAAGAATGAAAACGCAAAAAAGAAAGAAGATTTTTAAACAATGAGTTTATGCATCTGTTACTTTTGTTTATTGGAGTCTCTTGACCCGATAACAACTGGTGCAAAGCTCAATGTTTGTACACTAAAAAATAATAATAAGCAAGTGGATTGTGTTCGCTTTTAGCACCCCTAAATGACAGAATGCAGGCAGTGCGCGTATGGGCATCGGTACAACGATAAGACGCGGATAGTAGAAGGGAAAAGGAGAGCCGCGAGTACACAAATAGCCACAATAAATTTTTCAAACCGCAGCTAGATATCACTCTAGCCTTAAAAGGAGAAGGAAAATATATACACACACAGCAAACGCTTTAGTAGATAGCGGCGGAGTACTTCTGTACGTTGGTAGAGCTCAACATTTCAGGAAAAACGCCGCCGTTCTCATTTTCGCTTTCAAATTGGCGAGGTATAGTTGCAACGAGTCCTTGTGCGTCTTGGACGAAAAGCCAGCCGTCGTTCTTGCGCAGAGACTGCACGGAGTTTTGGAAAGAAGTAGAGAGAAGCTGCCACACCGAGGCGCTGTGGTGAAGCCCTTTCTCGTGAACAATGTCGTCAAAGTCGCCGATTTCCGGTGCAATTTCGGCGTACGCGTCGTGGTGCTTGAGCCATGATGAGTTCAAGCACTCCAGCGCTGACGGGCGGTCTGCCGCTTTCGGGGCAAGCATACGCCGCAGAAGAATTTTCGCCGACTGCGAAACGTAATTCCACTGCGGTCCGCTAAAGTCCGGCCCGCTCTGCACTGCATCCATGTGCTCTTTGGAAGACAAACACGGGAACGGCTCACAGCCGGTAAGCAGGATGCAAATAGTGACGCCGGCGGCGAAAATGTCCATGCGCTTGACGAGATCGACGGGGGTTTGCGGCCGCGATGAGGTGTTCATCGCATCCATCGAGTCCCGATTGGAGCGGAGACGCTGCGCGTCGTACGCCGAGAGAATCTCCGGCGCTGCAAAGCCGAGCGTCCCGCACGGGGTAGAGGAAATAAGAAACGTTTTGCGGTTGTTCAGTCGCGGTTCTGCAGAGGGTTGGTCCTCCGCAGCGTCATGGGAAGTGGGGCGCAATGGCGGCAGATGCAACTTTCCGGACCGGGCAGGGGACGTTGGGGCGGCAGCGTAGTCGTTGCGCGGGAGCACCTTCGCACACCCAAAATCTGCCAATCGGATGTACAACTCGTCAGGGGAGCTAAACGTACCGTCTAGTGCGCCGTTTTCTATAGAAAGCTTTCCAGAGTCCTGCTGATGCGGTCGGTGGGCTGAGACAGGTTGCAAAAGAATGTTTTCCGGTTTAATATCGCGGTGCACGACACTGCACACCTCGTGCATGAAGTAGAGCGTTTCGAGAAGCTGTCGTGCTATCACCACAACGTCGTATTCCATCGGAATTTGCTGGCGAACTAGCCAGTCGAAGAGATCCCCGCCGGCAACGTATTGCAGCACAATGTAGACTTCGCTAGGGCCCTGTGCTACAAAGTGCAACTGGACAACGTGGCGATGGCGACACTTTCGTAAGGTGTCCACCTCGCGTTGAATGTGCTCCCATTTGCGTAATGAGAAGACGGTCGCCTTCCGGATAGTCTTCACTGCGACGGTAGTCCCGCCTAGCGTCGCAAGCGTTCGCACATCCAACCCGTCGGCAATCAATTGGGAGGCCTTTTGCACAATGTCCCTTCGCAGAGTTGCTTTGTAAACTTCGCCGTTTGCACCTTTTGAAATAAAAGACTTACCTTCGAAAAACATGCTCCATCCGTATCGAGTGTACGGATAAGCAAGCACGACACCCATCTGAGTTGCATGGCAAAGCTGCAGTAAGCGGTGTTTCGACGTGGCGTCACAGAACTCGTCGATAACCCGCCAAACGGACTGCGGCACGTTCAGAATCAGATTTGGTTTGGAGAGGCAGTGCGCGCACACCGGCACAAACGCAGCGACGCCTTCATGACTCTCGTGCGTGGCAAACTGTGAACCATAGCGGCGCCTGGTAAAACAGTTGAGGCAGCAGTGACAGTGGCAGCGGCTGCATTCTTCAGTGGGCATTCCTCCGCCCCTGCCGGCCACCGCGCCACGCTTCGCCTCTGCTCCACACAACTCGCATAGCGAGTATGTTGTAGTCGAAGACGACGATGCAGCCTTAGTGTTTCGAGCTCCCATTTGATCCAGTGAACGATCACAAGCGCCGAAGAAAAAAGAGTCAAACCAAGAAAGCTACGCAACAGAGCCAACGCTGAGGGCGATGCAGTAGATGCAGACAAGCGTGTGTCCCACTGCGGCGTGAATTATTGTGCTGGATACTTTACACGATGCACCAAGTCCAATGCGCACCGTCTTGGATGGCGTGCCAGGTTTCGCACCAGCACCAGATGTCCTCTTACTGATCAGCAGAAACTATCACAATGCGCGGTCAACAATTGAGAATTCTTTTTGTGGAACTCGTTGAATGTCATGATGGCTGTATCGGCAGCTGGACAAAGAAGCCAAAAGAAAGAAAAAATAGGAAGAAACCGTATTTCAAGTGTAGCCCGTACGGGAAATCATAGAGTTTTTAGCACCGGAAAAAAAAGGACGTGATGCGCACACACCGAGGCGATGAATGCAAATGCAATCCGTTTTATGTTGTTCTCTTGTGTGGAGGAAAAAGAGATCTCAGATTTACGGGAAGAAAGATGGAGAAACAGAACGGGAAAGGAAGAAAATGGGCACAGGGACGAAGTTTTGAAATGAAAGAAAAAAAAACAGCAGACGCCTTTTACAAAGCAAACTGCGATACCACTATGAATAAAGAGAATTGCTTTTGCAAGCTCAAAGGAAAGCTGTGGAGAGACTTTGTAGCGTCCATTAGTATTCCACTTTTCTTATGGTAAACGCTTGATTCTTAGTTTGCGGGGACGCAGTTGACCAATTGTCCAACGCAAGTACCTCTTCTAATGCGTCAGGAAAAACAGAGATAGCATAAGCATGTAAAGCGAACACGATCAACGCCAAGATCATCCCTGCTGCGTCATTCACGAGACTCAAAGAAAAAACGATTTGTGAGCAATAAGTTTTGAAGAGAGCAGAAGAGGCATTTTCTCTTGTCCGCAGGAAAAGATCTGTGGCCTTTTCTATGACTTCTTCACGCTTTCTGCTTCGGACCCCTCCGCTGCTAAGCGCAGCCGCCGCTTCTCTTTCGCATGGCATTTCATCAGGTCTACCTTGTAGGGAAAATAACAGGCGACGTGCTTCTGATACACCTCGTAACCCTCGACGTGATCCGCCTCCATGCATTCGTAAAAAAGACTATTTAGCTCGTAGCACGGATGGTCTGGCTTCATGTCTGGGTCGTACGGGTGGTACGGATGCCGTCCTAGAAGCTCGTTGATATGCTTCTCACCCACATCTTTTGTCGGCAGATTTTGGAGGTAAGCATCATCGCCGTACATCCAATTGATTGCACGACGGAAGTAGGTGTCTTGTGGCATATTTACAAATCAATAAGATTGTGCACTAGCACTGTGCCGATTCGGGAATGATTATACAAAATGTCATCTAGGGAGAAAATAGCGGTAATTTCGGGAAAGAGGAACAAACAGAGTATGAAAACGACCTGACATAAAACATCCAAGGCCAAAGAAGGTACTCCTACACTTGTAAACTTGAAATAGATGCTTCTTATGTGTTTATCGTGCCTTGCATTAACTGTGCATTAACAGTGGCAGAGTGTTTGATCTAAACCGCCTCGTTTGAGCTTTGCCTTTGCGCATCACTCAGAAAAAGTCTACTCGACGCGAATTTCTCCAACTTTTCGTTGTTATTGTTTTTTAGGGGTTTCTGCGATAGAGGTATACGACGAACAGATTGCCAATAGAGGGGGAAAAATTGACTCTTTAATCTTTTTAAGGACGTTTGCTACGTCGCTGCAGAAAACGGAGACCAGTAGCACATAGGTGGCGAATTGCTATTGAGCCTTGTTGGACTTTTTTGTTAAGGCGGTGAGTACAGTCATGGCTTTGGACTGGGCAGCGGCGGGAACAAAGAGATGATCGTGGTAGTAACCTGCGAACACGTTGCAACTGATTCCAGTTTCTGTCAGCGCGCGACTGAACGCAGCGGTGAAGCCAACTGCGGACAGGCTGGAATGGATGCGCATCGTGATGTGGCCCATGAGCGGCAGTTCCTCCTTCTCTGCAAATGCCTTCCAGAAGGATTTCAAATCCTCGCCGAGCAGCTTCCCTCCTTCTTGAGCGAGCAGGACGTGCTCTTGAAGAAAAGTGGACTTTACGACAACGGTAAGACCCTCCTCCTCATTGAAAGTGGCGATTGCGTGGTTTGCCACGATCTCCCCAATAGACGCGGTGTTGCGTTTCGCCAAGTCATGCGGAACGGTAAGGAAGATGTACGACGCTCCTTCATCCAGCTCTGGCTGCATGCCCTCCAGCAGCTCGTAAAGATCAAGTGTGCCACTCATGGTTTTAGAGAACCAATTGGCGCAGCGAGCATGTGCAAATTTACTTTAGGCTTCAATGCCGCAGTAAAAGTTTGAAAAGCTAAAAGAAAAAAGAGAGTTTTTCAGCGGTTTTCATCTCTTTTGGGCAAATCACCCAGAAGCTCCTTCTCTTTCTAGCGTTCACGAGGGACCACAGCCACGATGATCAAAAAAACACAAAGTGGAAATGAAAAAGAAAGCTGGGCATCATAGAAGAAAAAAGAAGCGACGAGAACAATTAATATTCGCCACGAACTGAGCCTGGTCGTCTGGAACCATAAGCACATAAATCGGGCAACCTCTTGTGTGAAAAGAAAAGCACACATCAGTTGGGCGGTAAGTTGTCGATAGTGTCAGCGAATTAACTACTTGCTTGTACTCAGTATTATGATGTAAGCATGTTTATACGTTGCGGAGTTAAAAAATGCTCCCCGTGCTCCAGTTGTCAAAAAGGAGTCGACCTTGCTTCTCCAACATGAAGATTCTCTGCTCCCGCACGCTGTCGTCGTCATCTGCTTCCGCGAGCAAATCGCATTCCAGAACCTTCCGAACTGCGCGTAGCGCACTTGCGGGGCCGCACACAAACATTTGTCCCGCATTTTCCAGCGCATTCACGACAGCTGTCTGATGTTTCTTGAGCAGATCTGTAACATGGCTGCGGTTCTGCCCCTTCTCTTGAACGCGCGAAAGGGCGCACTCGTAATGGGTTATAGCACCGGTTGACAGCGCCGACTCAAGTTTTTCGTGGTACACCAGCTCCGCCTCCGTTCGTGCACCGTAGAAAACCCAACAAGGGTACGGTGCGTCGTCGCCCGACGAAGACGCTCGGAGGTACATGAGCTGGGACACCGCCGCGATAAGTGGGGCAATACCAGTTCCACACCCCACAAAAAAAACCATGCTGCGCAGATTCTTAGCACGCGAAGGATCGCAGACGAGGGAGCATCCAGCATGAAGTTGTTTTGCAAAGTACGTTCTCCCGAAGAGAGAAGAGCCGACGTACATCTTTCTTGGCAGGGTCAAAGCACCCTTCTGACTTGTCCGTGCTGCATTACAGAGCGGATGAGACGTGTGCCCAAAGAAGAACTCGCTGGAGTCAGAGGAAACTCCGTACGAGGCTTCATTGAGCATCTCAGCAACGCGCCGCGGGCTTCCGCTCACCGCGCTCGCATTCAGGTTGCGTGAACGCGGTGCACAAACTTCTCGCATGCAAAGTTGGATGTGATCAACTGCAGCGTTGCTTGGAATGTAGTTTGTGACGCTAAATTTTCGTGGTTGAAGGGGTCCGGTGACTTCCAAGAGTCTGTCGAGAGGAACCTTTACAAACGAAAAGGCCTCAAGGACGTCTGCGAGCGAGGGATAGCAGAGGGGAGCCGCGGTGTTCGCCATGGTACGAAGCACTTCCGCTCCTTTGTCGGTGGAGGCACACTCCTTCAGCAATTGCACTTTCTCACGATCGCGTGTGCTGGGTGCGAGGTCGGATGACTTTGACATGGCTTTCGAGTTGTTATAGATCCGTAACAAACCCTCGAAAAAACTGCGATGAAGCAGGTAGCTGCTACTGCTAACGTCGATGTAAAAAGAAAAGAGGTGTCCCACCGTGATCGGCACTTCGAGCGGAAGCCATGGCGGGAAGTTGTCTTCAGGCACAAAAGGAGAGCGACGCAGCTCGCACCAAGTATTCGGGTCAAGCCCCAGGGCTTTGCAAAGCCGCGCAACGTCGTCTCCTGCGTTGGTTCCCGTGCTGTTTGGGACAAGTATTTCTACCGTGTCTCCCGGCATGGGCCGCACCCCTGAAAAAGGTGCGTGAACATCAATTATGTTGACTCCGGGAGTGTTAGGATCAAACACACTCTCACTCGACTTGATCAAGTTGACTTTTTCAATCGGCACCAAATTGCGCAGCTTCACCTCTTCCTTCTCAAAGTCTGAGAAGGTATACGCGGAGCGGTCAGAGAGCTCTGTGGCACCAAGATACTTGACAACAACAGACCCAACGTAACTGATCGGCGTATCGTCTTCCGAAGACACACTCGCCTCCTCTTCTTCCCCACCATTGGCGATAAACTCCTCGAATTTGGCCAGTTCATCGTAATACATATCCCAAACACAGCGAGTGCATCCGCTCCCGCAGCAGTCACCTGGAGCCGGTTCACGTGGTCGTCGCATCTGAGCGCGGCCGATCAATGTCATAAAGATTATCGAAAGCAAACAGAGAAAATCGAATTCAGCCGACGCTCGAATATTTCACTGCAGAAAAAAACTGACAGAAAAGAAGAACAGAGTAATGAGTTTGGAAAATAACAAATTCTTTTTCCTTTCCAGATTTTACAGCAGACAGATTAGTTCACATTTTTAGCTGTTTCTGAAAATACAGCAGTAAAATGATGGATGCGGAGGAGGATGAACACCACCTTTTGGAAAAAGAAAACTTTAAGCAGCAGTTACTGGCATTAATTGGTAATATTGAATCTGAAGCAACTCCGCACTTTGGGGGTTCTAATTTGAAGAGATTTTTCTTGAGCATAAACACAACTGAAAACGCCTACGAGAGAAAAAAGGAAAACATTTCTTACTCGTTTGGGGCTGAATGAGCATCCACGACCCTCCACAGATCTTCGCGAAGTTGCTCTGCCGTCTCTATGTGGCTGTGATTCCACACAAAAGGATGCGGTGCGTCAGCTTCTTCCGTTGCATCTCTAAATTTAGAAAAATAAGGGTGCTCCATTACCTGCTTCGCTGTCAGCCGCCTTGCCGGATGAAACACTAGCAGTTTAGAGAGAAGATCCACCGCCTCTGGTGTTGCCATGGGGAAAATGTCTTTGAAAGGGATTGCCGCCCGGTGTGGTTGGGAGAGAATAAACGTCTTTGCCGCTGGGCTAAGGAATTCCATGTCTTCCATACATGGCGACCCTAGCAGGTTGATTATCATTACGAGCTGCGCGATGTAATCCGTCCCTGGCAGCAGTGTGCGTCCTACCATGAGTTCGCCGAAGATCAGCCCTAGGCTCCACACATCTACCGCGCTCGTGTACTGGTTTGAGCCCATTCCCAAAATTTCAGGTGGTCGATACCAACGCGTGACAACGTACTGCGTCAGATCAGAGGAGCTCATGACGTCGTCGTCGCGAGCAAGTCCAAAGTCGCAGATCGCGAGCGCGCAATCCGCATTCACCAGCAGATTACTCGGCTTGAGATCGCGATGCATCACCTTTGCGGAATGCAGATAATGTAAGCCGCGGAAGGCTTGAATCATGAAATATTGCAGATGCTCGTCGGTGAGTTTTTGCCTGCTGCGAATAATACGATTAAGATCTGTGTCGTACAAGTCCATCACCAAATACATGTCTTCGAACGTTTCCTTCGATTGAGGTCGCATGAAGTGATGGAGGCGAATAAGGTTTGTGTGCTTCAATGACGTCATAATTTCCATTTCACGTAAAATGCGTTTACCTTCGCGCAGGTCGCCAAAAACGCGCGCCAGTCTCTTGATTGCCACACGCTCGCCGGAGTCATTGCAGATGGCTGAGCACACCGTTCCATAGGCTCCAAACCCCACGACTTTAATCAGATCATAGCGCTTATCAATTTCGAATTTTTGGCCACGGACGCTGTATACCTTCTTACCACCAGGCAGTTCAGCTAGAGGAACGAGGTGGGACATGACACGCAATGACCCTGGTCAGCTTTTGGTGAGTCTCTAGGCGAATCAATTCGCAAGATATTCGCTATACTGGCCAGTAACTTTCACAGCAAAAAGAGAGGTTACAGAAAGAAAAGTTCAGCAATGTTGTTGAAAGCCGGGAAAGAGAGAAGAAAAAGCCGGGTCAGCACAAAATTGACGATGAGAAAGACAAACGTGGCTTAATAATTACAGAATCGCCTAACGTGACAGAAAAAAGCAAACGAAGCACAGAGCTCTTTGCTTATGTGCTCGTATCTTACTCGCCTATACTACAGCAATCGTTTCTATATTTCTTTTGCTGAATGTGATTCTTAAAAGAAAAACGTTTATACATCAATAGGACACGTCACGACAAGAACATGACTTGCCTTCACGAACTTTGCCCTTACACCATCCGTGACAATCCTCACAGGGAGCTGTGTCGCAACTCCGTTGATCTCCAAAACTTTCTCTGTAGCGGAGAGATCAACATCGTGCAATGAAGTAATGTCCTCTGGGACAACAAAGCGCACCACAAGCTTTTCATTCGATTGCTCAAACGCGACTTTTTTCCATTTCGAGTTTGTGAGCTTGTCACAGTTCGCATTGTGCTCCTTCTGCGCTTGGTACGAGTGCGAAGTTGATGTGGTTGCAGGCACCTCTTGGGATTTGGTTTCTTTTCCGAACGACTGTTCCATATTTCTTGTGTCAACAATTTTGCACTTGTTGCGAAGCGATTCGGGAATGTGTGCAAGGGGATCTGGCATCTTTCCTGTGCCCTCAGAACTTCCTTCTGGGCCGTACAGCCTTGCATTTCTACCGTTCAGAAACCCCTTCTTGATTCCTGGAGAAGAAATTACCTCTTGTATGAGCGGCTTTTTGCTCTCCTTTGGTTCATGGTTTTTCAGATTCAGTGCGTCTGGCAGATGGGTTGATGCATCCTCAACACCTTTCCGGCTTTGACTCTCTTTGGTGTCCAACAGCTCAGCAGCCATCTTCATCACCTCTTTGAGAGACTTCGCATCAGCTTTGACGTCTGAAAAGTAATACGGATTTCCGAGAAGAATGCAGCTTTCCCGGAGCAACTGAACTCCCCATTCGCTTCGAACCCATTCCAGAGACAGAGCTAAAAGCTTTTCCGTCAAATGACGGTATAGATGATGCCCAGAAACGCATTTTTTTATTAAAACCGTATGCACTACGACATCGATGCAGAAAGCAAACTCTGCCTTTGTGGTCTGCTTAGGCTCGCTGACAGAGATGGGAATAATAAGGTTATCGACCCCGTTGTGCTCGATGTAGTTGTCATCAACGGCATTCATGCTTCTTGCAAGCGGTAGCCCTACTGAGTCATGTCCGCAAACATTCACAACATACAAAGTCGTCCCATCTGCTGCGAACGCTTTGTACGCAAAACCTACCAGTAACCCAAATGGAGTCAGCATTTTGCAGTGCCTAGTAAAAAGAAACAGACATCTGCATTTGAAAGTTGTAGAGAAGATGGAAGCGAAGAGAAGATGAAGTTGCCGTGGATGAAGCCACAATGTACCTCAAGCGAGAGAGTGTGTTTGTCCAGCACAAACAAGAACAACAGAGCGCTGGGAAACTTCAAGGCAAAGCCGCGCTATCACTATTACACGCGTTCACAGAGCCAGATATCGTGGCAATGAGCTAAGTAACGTATATTGTCATGTGCCACTTCCTGAACAATGGTTAATGAAACGCAATCGTTCTTTCTTCACATCTATTTATCAACACTTTACGAGCATCATTCTTCGACATTTTGGCTGCAAACTCCTCCTCCGAGGTGCGTCAGTTTCACATCAACGGTGAGCTTCGACGCAAGAACAGTGTTTGAGATACTTCCTTCCATCTTTCAGCACACGGCATTATTGCCTGATCAGCAGTCTCCTCTCAAAGGTGACGTTGAAAAGATGAAGAACGTCGGTTCACCATTGCCGCCCTTCGCAACCTACAGCGCCTCCTTTTCCGCTTATCGGCTTCTGTCGACGCGCTTTTCAACGGTCTATGAACCGCAAAATCGCAGTCAGCGCCACCCTAGCACCTACTGCTATCAACGCGCACGCTGCCTTACCTTCCCCTTTAGCCAGCCTGCCATCCCTTTCTCCTTTGTGCCACAGCTTCTACATTTTCTAACGAAAACCATCAGCTGTATCTCTCCCCCCCCCCCCCTCATCCATCCAACCACTCATGTGTTTTGATTGCTCCAAAAAAAACCTTTGAAACGTTGGAGCGGTGAGCTTAACAAGGTAGAACGACACCCTGACGGAAATGTTAAGAGCATCCTCGTCGCATTTCACCCCAACCCGCATATGGGTGCAGAGCAGCGGAAAGATGAGCACTGGAGGTCTGAGTGTCGCAGCCTTCAAAAATCCGGAGGTTACAGGCCGTCAACGAGCACGGGAAAGTGAACGAAATACTTGCAGGGGTTCTCGCGGTTTCAGATCGAGACCATGAAATTAGTCGAACGCGCGCCGCAGCATCAGAACTGAAAGGAAAGCCGCTTGAAAACGACACCAGTTGTGGCCACGATTTACGCGGGAGCCACCTCACACGCCAGGAAGACCGCTGCGTGATCGCGCTGCCTGTCGTTCAGCGCTGCCATGAAAAGCTCTACCTCCTTCAGCGTTGCTGGTACCGCTTATTTCTGCGGAATTCGGTTGATGGAGTACGTTTTCATCATCATCTTCACGGTGCTGTCTTCCATTTGCGGAAGTTTCAGTACTGTTCGTGCTGTCACTGCGTCGGTTGACTTTGTGTTGTTGTTGCCCTTCACTTCCGTGATTGCGTTTGCAGACCGGTAGTATATGGTCTTCGGCGCTATTCTGTCGACGCTGGTCTTCTTGGTGTGCTTCTTGGTCGCCGCAATGCTGTGCACCAGATTGCGGCAAATGTGTCTGCGGTTTTGTCATCCTCGGAAAAGGCTCACAACAATGAATACGGGTCAGATCATCTGCGAGCTGAAACAATCAAACGCAGCACTGATAGCGCACTCAATCAAATGAGACGCTTTAAGTCGTCACACAAGATGTGCAGCGCCATATCAGCGGAAGCAAAAATATATTCCACTTTTAGCAAAGAATGGCGACGTCAAAGCCACATTGCGGAACACGATTCGCTACATCATCGTCCCCGTGACGTTAGCGTAAGTGATCGAAACCCAAAAAGGCAACATGAATCTTATGATATACGAAGATGGAGAAGACCAAGACGACCTTCTCGACATCACGAAACGCATAGCAGATCCCTTTTGAATGCAGCACCGGCAAATACAAGAGAGGAACCGTTCTTCTGGTGACAAAGGAAGCGTCGCAGGTCGCGACGGCCATCTCGGTCGAGGCGTCTGGAAACGGAAGAAAGTTGCCTTTACAGAAGACGACTTCCAACATCCGTTGTACGTCGCGGAAGTCGCGCCTTTCAACCTTCAGAAAATTCGGTAACGCATGCGTCCAGAGGTCCCCCGGTGTGTGGACGATCTCCTTTACCTCCTTGGAGCAGACTGCCTTGCGCACAGCCAAAACACACAACAACCCCCGGTTTCTGACTCCAGGGATTACCAATCTCAAAAAAGGTACACCAAAAGCGCTCCAGCACTCCTCGAGGACATGTGAACAAACTTCAAATGCCCAAAATCATCCGGCAAGTTCATAACACGAACTCCAAACAGCAGCAAGTCGAGGCAGAATGCAGCATACTACTAAAATAACTACGCCGTTTACGGTCACGGGACCAAGCACAACGCTGTCAGAATACGCTTTATTGCATGATGGAAGAAGAGCGACGGCTATTCAGAAGCACAAGGCTACCAACCAGTCGTGCTACTCCTACATGTTTCGGTGCGTCTCGACGCAGTGAGCGCCGAGATGGGCAGCGTACACGACCTGAGGGCCAGTTTCTTCCAGGTCGAGCTCCCAGAAAGAGACCAAGAAAGCTCCGTCTTAACAGATCCGAATAGCGGCTCAACAGCGGTGCGTGACGCGGTCTCCGATGGGACACTCGGCCTCACCGGAAATCGTGCAAATCCTCACGTCCACCGTGGCAGGCAGTCTGAAGTGTACGGGCAAAGGGTTCATCGTGAACGACCCAGCCCAAGCCTCAATCGACGTGGAGATCGACAGCATAGGGTACGCAGGCACGCGTCAAGCAGTCAAAACGGCGTTCAGGAGGATGTTGACCACCGCAAAAGAGTGTCCAGTTTCTTTTTACGCGAATGAGAGGTACACGGGAGAAGTCGTCGACTTCATAGGGGATCTATTTCAACAACGCAGCTCACAAAGTGGGAGCGGCAGATGACCCGAACCAGGTGATTGCTGGTCCGACGCCAAAAATGACGTGCCGCGACTTAGAGTGACTGTACGCACAACTCCTCCGCAGCTCGTCAATCTCACATATCCGCATCGCAGTGTTCTATTGGGCGTTGAAGCTCCTTAGGCGAAGGCTGCCGCAGCTCAGTTGAACACCTTTCCCAGTGAAGGAGCCGGCCTGCACACGCCCAACGGCGCATGCACCACTCAAATAATGGTGCGACCTGGCACAGAAGAACCGCCCACGAGCGACAGCGCCAGCCGTGGCAACAAGAATGCCGACGCCTCTGGAGCCGGTCGGGGAGCGGTCTTGATCTGGGCTGATTCCCAAGAAATCGTGAGCGTTGGTGAAGCATGCTCAGCAGCACAGCAGCGCCACATAAACACGCTGGAAGCAAACACCGTGGTTCTGGCGGTGGAAGACTCGCGGCGATGGATTCCCGCAGGGTCAAACCTTCATACAAAGATGGACAACACGACGGCCTTAGCTACTCTTAAGAAAAGAGCCGGGTCGACAAAGGCGCCCAAGGACATTTCATTTCGCATGCAAAATCTCTGGCAAAAACTTAATATATCCTTTCCAGTAGAATGCTTTCCCTCCACAGAAAACTTGGCTGATGCACCTTCACGCATCTTTTCCGTGAAAAGTGGCCCATAAGTTTATCCTTTTTGTTCGTCTTTTCGACGGAGAGACAAGTCACGAACGACTCTAAAGGATGCCTCTGGCACAACAGGCTGAGGATATTTTCATCTCTGCTGTTACGGTTTTGCTCTTCAGAAAGCCGAAAACGATTTCCTTGTTTCTGTTTCATTCGCTTCATTCTTTCTTTGTGACTAATTTCGCGCCTCAAAAGGACAACTTTCTTTAAAAAATTCTTCTCTTTCCTCAACTCTTTTTTTATTGTTTTTACTGTTTTCCTCTACTGTGTTTTCCGTTTTATTTCTCTATTATTTTTCGAGTCGGTGCGTGCGCTTTGGGCGTTTTGTATCCTGTTTCGGGCGTGTGTGCGCGTGGTGGCGCGGATGTTGGACTTTCAGCTGCGCCGCGCCGCGCCATCCGCGGGGTTGGGTGTGCTCCCTTTTTTTTTTTGCGTTCCGTTGGCGCCCCTCTTTGTTTCGGTGGGGCGGCCGGGGTTTTGGCTCGCTGGGGCCCCTGGCCGGGCAACGGCCGCCGGCCCAAAGCCCGCCACCCCGAGGGAAACCCAACGGGCCCTGGGAGAGGCCAGCAGCGCCGGCGGGAACCCCGACACAGGGCGCGCGGCGCC